CCACCATTTGGCCGACTATGCCCAGGAGGAAGGCCTCTGGTTTCTTAGGGAAGGTATACTTAAATACCTTTTTAATTCATTATATATCATTTCCCAGAAAGCCTTAATCTTTGGGCACGTCCACCAAAGGTGAAAAATGTACCTTCAGTTTCTTTACATTTCCAACATTTGTTATCGGGCAAGTGATAGATTTTTGCGAGCTTGACTGGGGTTATGTACCACCTGTATATCATTTTCATAATATTCTCTCTTAAGGCATTGCATGCCGTAAATTTCATACCTGTGGTCCATAACTGTTCCCAGTCAGCAAACATAATATTATGTCCAACGTCCTGTGCCCATTTAATCATAGCCGATTTTACCATTTCATCCTGAGTATTCCATTTCAGCAGCAAGTTGTACATTCTTGACAGATTCTTAGTTTTGGGTTCTAACAATTCTGTTTCTAATTTGGATCTTTCCACCTGGAAGCCAATTTTCCTGTCCAATTTAAATGCCTCCATTATCTGATAATAATGAAGCCAGTCTCGCACTTTAATTTCAGTCTATCTCCGTCTTGTTCCAAAATTTCCCAATATTTCGGCCATTTGACCTCCATATTGACCTTTTTCAAGGCTTTCGCTTCCATTGGTGACAGCCACCTTGGGGTTTTGTTTTCTAACAAATCCTTATATCTTAACCAAACATTAAATAGCGCTTTCCTGACAATGTGGTTTCTAAATGCTTTATGTGCTTTGACCTTATCATACCATAGATATGCATGCCATCCAAATACATTATTAAAACCTTCCAAGTCCAAAATGTCAGTGTTCTCAAGAAGTAGCCATTCTTTCAGCCAGCAAAAGGCTGCTGATTCATAGTAATGAATGCCTAGAGCTAAGCCTTCTCTTCCGGAACCTGCACCCTTCATACCTGGAGCCCTTATTGGATGTGGGCAACGCCAGTGTCAGATGCTGGTGGTGGTTGCTCGTGAGTAACCAGGCAGGACTCCGACCTGTCTTTTACAGGTTTTATTGTGCAAACTATTTACAGTGCAGATCTACCAAGTTATGTCCGTCTCAGTCACTTGCAGAATCCGGGAGTGGCCCCTTCCAGCTTCTCCCCCAGCGTAAGAACTTCAGCACCCCAAGTCTCCTCCTCCCCTCCTTGTGTTTCACCCCTCTGCGCAAGCTGGGCAACGGAAGTGGCGTGCGTCCCTCTTGGTCAGCCTGGCGAGGTGAGGTGCTGGGGCTCTCAGAAGCATCGTCAAGCCCTCTCTTCGTTTGGCTGGCCCCTTCCGTCTCTTCACCTCCATCGTTCTGCCCGGACACTGAGGTCCAGCGCCCGAGGGCCTTCTGCCGGTTCCCTCGCTGCGAGAAGCCAAGTTACAGGGAACCAGGAAGAGGGCCTTCTCAGTGGTGGCGCCTGCCCTGTGGAACACCCTCCCACCAGGTGTCAAAGAGAAAAACAACTACCAAACTTTTAGAAGACATCTGAAGGCAGCCCTGTTTAGGCAAGCTTTTAATGTTTAATAGACTATTGTATTTTAGCGTTTTGTTGGAAGCTGCCCAGAGTGGCTGGGGAAACCCAGCCAGATGGGCGGGGTATAAATAATAAATTATTATTATTATTATTCACTGGAGGTGTGGCTTTTCTCACTGCTGGAAGAGATACTGCTCTTCAGGAGTTTTGGAGGCTCTCTGTATCCCAACGGCCCCCCTGCCTCTCTCCCCGGTTCCGATGGCAGTCCCCTGACAGCCAGCCAGCTAGGCTGTGCAGCCGATCTTGCCCGACTGTGTTGCATGAAGGCTGGAGTGGCGTCGTAGCCATCCCCGCTTGCAAATGTCAAGCGTGGTGGATCTGGCATGGTGGTCGTTGACTGGCGGTGTGCGCTGGAATCAAACCTTGTTTTGAGAGTGCGGGTGGGAGAGCTTGGACTGGCAAAACCCAGAACTGGAGCAAAACCGGGGGGCAGACTGCAATGCATGAGTTGTTTTTTTTTTTTAATTAATATTTGTTAAAGTTTCACAAAAAATAGAATCACATTAATAAAAAGAAAAATTTAAAAAGAAAAAGAAAAATACACAATACAAAATACAAAATTCAAAAAGATAAAAAAGAAAAAAACAGTTAAAAACAATTCCGTCTTTTCATAACTTCTTTTACATTTACTTGTTTCCCGGACTTCCTCATACCTCCCTCTTTTGTATTCCAATTCAGTTTGTTAGTCCAGCAATTTCTTTTCCTCCTTTTTAATCCCAATCCTTAATTAATATATTATAACATTAAGTTTTTACCTGTTAAAAACCAATTTTTCCATTCTTTTAACCTTTTTAATTCTAATCCTTAATCTTAATATATTTATAACTTTAAAGCCTGTACAGCTAGAAGCCACTTAACTTCAATCCAACATCACTGTAACATTCTTTAATCTTGCAATATTTCTGTAGATAATCTTTGAATTTCTTCCAATCTTCTTCCACCAACTCTTCTCCCTGGTCACGGATTCTGCCAGTCATTTCCGCCAATTCCATGTAGTCCATCATTTTCATCTGCCATTCCTCCAGTGTGGGTAGCTCTTGTGTCTTCCAATACTTTGCGATGAGTATTCTTGCTGCTGTTGTTGCATACATAAAGAAAGTTCTATCCTTCTTTAACACCGATTGGCCGACTATGCCCAGGAGAAAGGCCTCTGGTTTCTTCAAGAAGGTATATTTAAATACCTTTTTAATTCATTATATATCATCTCCCAGAAAGCCTTAATCTTTGGGCACGTCCACCAAAGGTAAAATGTACCTTCAGTTTCTTTACATTTCCAACATTTATTATCAGGCAAATGGTAGATTTTTGCAAGCTTGACTGGGGTTATGTACCACCTGTATATCATTTTCATAATATTCTCTCTTAGGGCATTACATGCCATAAACTTCATACCTGTGGTCCATAACTTTTCCCAGTCAGCAATGCATGAATTGTTGGGGGGGGGGGAGAGAGATGTGGAGGTTGATGTGGCAGGACCCAGGAGAAGGGATTATCCTGAGAAGCTGAAGGCAAAATGGGCCCCTGGCAGAGGAGCTTCAGGAGATGCCTCCTGGATCCCAGCAGGGGTCACAGGCTTGGAGGTGGGGAGGGGGGCGCCTGCCTGTTATAGGAGTCATAGGATCTGGAAGGTTCAGGTGTCAGCTTGTTAGTGCGGCGCCCCCCCGATGCAGTACATGGAGCAACATCCATGCAGTGCTAGATGCATGTAAAAGAAACATTCAATGAAGTACGCTAAGAGAAATATCAAGTAAACTACAAAATGTGGGTCCTGAGACTTGGTTTCCTTCCTATGCAGTTTCAGATAGTACCGTTTTCGCCCGAATATGAGCTGCACCCGAATATAAGCCTTTCCATTAAAATTCCACAGGCACTCACACCCGTTCCGTTTTACCGCATGTCTGTTTCAGCAGCGATATCGTAAAAGCCAATTTTTGTAATTTAAGCCGCACTTTGACTTTTCACGGTCGGAATTTGGGGAAAAAGTGAGGGTTATATTCAGGCTAATGCGGTAATATTGACGCAACTCATAGGATTTTTGACACGCGGATCAGTTGCTTCAACGCTGTCCTTGGCACCTGTCTGTCTCGGGAGACAAAGCCAGAGTGTGCCTTTGGGGTGAGGTCAAGCTGTCGGGAGGTTGTAGCGTCTGCTCTGGCTGTAGAGACCGATATGGGAGAGACATGTTTTGTTGCAGCTGGGGCAGATGAAGGCGTCTGATTGTGCTGCTGCAGATGCACCACAGCATTTCTTCACCCTGCGTTCCTCCCAGAGGTCATTCATTCTCTGGTCACTGCTATTGATGCACAACCTGACTGTCTCCAGGCCCTGTGGTCATCTGCGAGTGACTCCCATCCGGCGGAGTTGATGTTCCTAGTGTCACATTTGCAGACATCTTTGTAGCACAGGGGACACGGGTGGCGCTGTGGGACAGAGCCTAGGGCTTACTGATCAGAAGGCCGGAGGTTCAAATCCCCACGACGGGGTGAGCTCCCGTTGCTCAGTCCCTGCTCCTGCCAACCTAGCAGTTCGAAAGCACGTCAAAGTGCAAGTAGATAAATAGGTACCGCTCCAGTGGGAAGGTAAATGGCGGTTCCGTGTGCTGCTCTGGTTTGCCAGAAGTGGCTTAGCCATGCTGGTCACGTGACCCGGAAGCTGTACGCCGGCTCCTCGGCCAATAAAGCGAGATGAGCGCCGCAACCCCAGAGTCGTCCGCGACTGGACTGGTCAGGGATCCCTTTACCTTTACTTGTATTTTTTTTTTAAAGCAATTTATTGGGTTTTACAATAAGAATAAACATAATAAACAATATAACATTTGTCTTAACATAGTTTCACATTTTCTTTGGACTTCCTCACATCCCCCGCTCCCACTTTCATCGTTATAACATTTTGTCAGCAATTTATCATCTTGTTTAAATTCTTATATCTCTTCAATGTTTCATAATCTTATAGTTCTCATAAAGAGTTAAACTTTCACAGTCTTACTTGTTTTCTTAAAAACTTCTAAGTTAAGTGGTGCTCAGTTATTTAGTCTAGCATCTTATTTAGCATTCACTCAAATCACAATATTTTTGTAGATAGTTCTTAAATTTCTTCCAATCCTCCTCGATTCTCTCTTCTCCCAGGTCACGGATTCTGCCGGTCATTTCAGCCAGTTCCATGTAGTCTATCAGTTGCATCTGCCATTCTTCCAGTGTGGGTAAATCTTGAGTTTTCCAATGTTTTGCAAGAAGTATCCTTGCTGCTGTTGTTGCATACATAATAATGTCTGGTCCTTCTTTGCCACCCCTTGGCTGACAATACCCAGAAGGAAAGCCTCTGGTTTCTTGGTAAAGGTATATTTAAATACCTTTTTCAATTCATTATAAATCATTTCCCAGAACGCCTTCACTTTAGGGCAGGTCCACCAGAGGTGGAAGAACGTGTTGATTTAAAGCAGAGTCTGTCGTGCCCAGCGGAAGGATGAGTAATACGTGCTCCATACTCCATATAGCTTTATTTACAGTTCAAAGCTGGTATATTACAGAAAGACATCTTGCCTCTGCAGGAGCAGAGAAATGCATCCTCTCTCCTCGACAGCTTGGAGAGAATCACAGTGAAAAACAGGAAACCAGTGTACGTCACATCCAGTCTCCCTTTCCCGTGAGAAACTCCAACAGTACAGACTGTGGAATGTAAAACAATGTCTTGTGACTGCAGTTGCTGCACAGTGAAGGAAATAGAAACCAACATCCTCCCCCTTTCTGTGAACATCACTGGGCAGCGTGTTCGTACAGTATCAGTACAAACCCAACTTCTGCACATAGGTACAGTGTTGATCCCTTGATACAATCTTGGACAATACATCAGCAGGAATTTCATTACCTGGCATATAGGACACCGTTACGAGTCCCTTCTGAATACATTCCCTAGCATGCTGCAACTTTAATTGCAAGTGCTTTGTGCTTTGCTTACAACCTTCAGACTTCAGCAAAGCCAAACATGCTTTGTTGTCCTGGTAAACCTGGATTGGACATTTGACAGGAATTTTCATATCTTTGCACAATTGTACTAACCATTCACAATCCTTAAGTGAATAAGACAGTGCATTCAGTTCGGCTTCACAAGTACTTAAGCTAACTGTTGTTTGCTTCTGCATGACCAATCAAACAGACTCTGATTGTACATGTAGCAAACTCCAGACGTACTTTTCCTGTCTGTAGCGTCACTTCCAAAACTTGCATCTGCAAATATCTCAAGACCACCAGACTTCTGATTGTTAAATCTCAGTCTGTAATGCATAGTGCCTTTCAAATACCGCGCTATGCGTTTCAGAGCTTTCAATCCTTGACACTAGGATTGTTGACTTGTCTGCTTAGCAAATTACAGCTAACAGCAATGTCTGGTCTTGAACATCTGGCAATGAAGTTTAGCTTGCCTAGCACACTCCTGTACAGTGTAGTGTCAGAAAATGCTTCTTCAGTGTCATCTACCTGATAACCTGTTGTCATCGGTGTGTCTACAGGGTTAGCATCCATCAGATTTAGTTTGCTTAACACATCAGCAATTTTCCGTGACTGGTGTACTAGAATGTTACCATCTTGATCTCTCTCTATTTCCAGAGATAGGTAGTTGTTTACCTCACCAAGATCTTTCATGTCAAAGTGCTCTTTCAGTTGAGCTAGGGCGCTATTGTACATTGCAACATCTTTCCAAAAGAATAATAAATCATCAACATAAAACAAACAGTACAGTTTCTTTTGCCCCTCCTCTTTGACAAATACACATGGATCAGCTTTCCCTTGCTGAAAACCTAGAGAAAACAATACTTCAGTGAGTTTTGTGTGCCAACACCGTGCACTTTGTTTGAGACCATAAAGGGATTTCTTCAGAGCACAAACAAATCCCTGTTTTACCTGTACGCCATCAGGTGGAAGCATATAAAGTGATTCATCTAGAGATCCGTACAGAAAAGCTGTATTAATATCATGGTGACTAATGTGTAGATTTTCCTCTGCAGCTAGCTTGAGCATAAGCCTAATGCTTTCATATCTCACTGTGGGTGAATAGGTCTCGTGATAGTCTTCACCTGGTACCTGTGCAAAACCTCTGGCTACCAATCTGGCTTTGTGTCTGACTATCTTGCCATTTTGATCTGTCTTCGCTTTGAAGACCCATTTGCTTCCAAGCAGTTTCATTCCTGGAACTACTGGAACTAGCTCCCATGTTTTGTTCCTTTCCAAGGAATCAAGCTCAGCCTTCATGGCATTCAACCATGGCTCAGCTTCCTTTGAATCCAAACCCTGGATTTCTTGGAAACTTGAAGGTTCAAATACCTTCTTGGAGCTTTTAACAGCTGTTACTGCTATCGTAGCAAACTCATCAGCAAATCTCTTTGGAGGTTTGCTTTTGTGGCTCTCTGTGACCTACGAATTAGCCTTAAGTCTTCAACACTCTCCTCTTCCTTCTTAGGAGAAAAACGACCTATTGTGAACAATGGTTCCTCCAATTCTTGATCAGAGCTTTCAGAGGGTCGCATAGAGGCTTTCGCACTCTCGAAATCCTCTGAATCACCCGATTCAGTTTCAGATTCAGACTCAGAACCTTCATCAGTGGGTGTGGGTTGTTGTGGTTGCTTTTGACTATCCTCAGTCTCATCACCGTCATCAGGATAACATTGGAAAATTCCCACATTCTCCCCCACTTTGCATTGTACTCAACACTTCTCGTGAGCTTAATTGTCTTAGAGTCAGTCATCATTATTCTGTAAGACCCTTTCTGATAACCTAGAAAGATACCATGCAATCCACGCTTGTCTAACTTGGAGTTTTGTGGTGAGCGAACCCACATGTCAGAACCAAAAATCTTCATGTGTTTGATGTATGGCTTCTTGCCAAACATCTTCTCATAGGGGGTACAACCAATCGCTGAAGATAATCTGCGATTGTAACTGTAAACAAAACACGAGAGAGATTCGGCCCAATAACTCTCTGGAAGATTGGCATCATGCAGCAAGGTCTTTAACCCTTGAAGCAAAGTCTGATTTGCCCGTTCCGCAAGTCCATTCTGCCATGGCGAGCGAGGACTAGACAAATCGTGTTGAATTCCTTTCTCAGTCAGAAAAGCTTCAAACTGCTGAGAAGTGAATTCCCCCCCGCGATCACTGAAAAGAGTCTTTATCTTCTTACCATGCACATTTTCCAACCAAGCACAGAATTCCTTGAACCTAGGAAAAGCCTCCGATTTCTGCTTGAGATTGTACACAAAAATATATCTAGAAAATGCATCAATGAGAACCATGAAGTATCTATTTCCACCCAAAGAGGGCGATAGTGGTCCAACCAAATCAGCATGAACAACCTGGTATGGTTCTGTAGCTTTCCTACTAGACACCTTACCTTTCGCAGCCATTTTCACCTTGTTTGCTGCGCATGCTTTGCACTTCATGTGGTACCTGCAGGGTTTAATAGTCATACCTTCAACCAAGGCAGGCATTTTAGATACTGCCTCAAAATGCAAATGACCAAATTTTCGATGAAAAGCGTGAATACATTCTGCATGCAAACTTTTGTTAGAACCTGCAATGCAACAAGTGTCATCCTGCACCACATCATCATAATACAAAACAAACAAATGATCAACATATTCTGCATGCAATACATAATCATTTTTCTTTGTGATGATGCACTTCTTGTTCTTGAAGGAAACGTCAATGTTCCGCTCATTCAGCTGTCCAACGCTGAGCAGATTATGTTTGGCGTCTGGCACGTAAAGCACATTCTGTATCGATAAGTCCAAACTGTGAAGAACTACAGTTCCGTAGCCTTTACTGGGAATAGTGTGGTCATCCGCCTGGTGAATCGCACCTTCCTGCGGTGTAAAAGACACAAACAGTTTCTTATCGTTGCACATGTGGTGGGTGGCCGCTGAATCAACAACGAAGAAAGATCTAGACGTCTTCTGGACCTCTGCAACCTTTGGAGTGAAGCGTGAAACCATAGCCTTGTGCTGCGTTGTCCTAGACACTGGACCTTTGCCTTTGCCTCGGCCTTTTCCGCGCGATGAGCTTTCGCTGCGCTGCTCTGTCTTGGCCCTGGGATGTCTGCATTCCCTCTTCATATGGCCTAGACGTCCACACGAGTAGCATTTCACTGCCTCCAAAGCTTTGGCGCCATCTGGTGGTTCCACTGCACTATGGGATGACGTCTGTGAAGACTCCCTTGCCCATGCAGCTAGCACCCCGGCGATCTGCTTCATTTAAAATCACGGCAGTAACAAAGTCCACTGTCAGCTGAGCAGTTGGTTGCACAGCAATCTGGGTTGCAACAGACTCCCAACCTGAACCCAAAGATTGTAGTATCATGAAAGAATACACAGCCTCTGGAAAGTTGAGTCCTCTCTGTTGCAGCTCATGTCTCAGATTTTGCATCTGCATCAGATGTAAACGCACATCTCCACCTTCAGCAAGAGCCATATTATGCAGCTTGTTAAAATAATGCATAGTGGATCCAGCTTCTGTCCTTAAGTGAGCCTCTCTCATAGCGTCCCAAATTTCTCTGGCTGAGGTCTTATCACGCAATAGACAGAGCTCTTCTGGGGATACTATCAATGTAAGAGTTCCCCTTGCTTTGGAATCCTTAGCTTCCCATGCATCTGTAACTGGAACTGTGGGGGTTCCTGTAATCACCTCAAACAAACCCTCTTTCCGCAGAATTGCCTCTGCATACTGAACCCAGTCGCTGTAATTATTCTTGTTGAGCTTAGGAATCCCACAAGCATCCTGAAGGGCCATCATGACTCTGGCATTAGCCTTCAGCGTCATATGCTGCTTTAAATCTTGCTGCGTCACTGCTGCAGCTGCTTTATTACAAAGGCACACTTAAAAGTTACTTTCGATTTCCCCAGCATAGTGACTTGTGCCTGGGAGCCTTTTGCCTATTCCCGGCAAAACCGGCTTTAAAAGTTCAAAGTCCAGCCATAAAGCCATTATCTTGAAGCTGGCAGGCTGCCCGGAGCAGTAGCACATACCTCATCAATCACTTCTACGCGCAGAGCAGATTCCTTTCCGATCCGTCCCTCTGCATTCCGATCCTTTGCCGGCACTCCGATTCGACCTCTGGAGTCCATAACCACGTGTTGATTTAAAGCAGAGTCTGTCGTGCCCAGCGGAAGGATGAGTAATACGTGCTCCATACTCCATATAGCTTTATTTACAGTTCAAAGCTGGTATATTACAGAAAGACATCTTGCCTCTGCAGGAGCAGAGAAATGCATCCTCTCTCCTCGACAGCTTGGAGAGAATCACAGTGAAAAACAGGAAACCAGTGTACGTCACATCCAGTCTCCCTTTCCCGTGAGAAACTCCAACAGTACAGACTGTGGAATGTAAAACAATGTCTTGTGACTGCAGTTGCTGCACAGTGAAGGAAATAGAAACCAACAGAACGTTCCCTCACACTCTTTACATTTCCAACACTTATTATCAGACAGGTGGTAAATTTTTGCAAGTTTAACTGGGGTCATATACCATCTATAAATCATTTTCATTACATTTTCTTTCAGAGCGTTACATGCAGTAAATTTCAATCCATTACTCCACAACTTTTCCCAGTCCTCAAACATAATATTATACCCAATGTCCTGTGCCCACCTTATCATAGCCGATTTAACCATTTCATCTTGTGTATTCCATTCCAACAGCAAGTTATACATCCTTGAAAGTACCTTAGTCTTTGGTTCTAACAATTCTGTTTCTAATTTCGATTTCTCCACCTGGAACCCTAGTTTCTTATCATTTTTAAAAACTTCTTTAATCTGAGCGTAATGTAACCAATCTCGCACTTTGTCTTTCATTTTCTCCAAACTCTGCAATTTCCAATTGTCTCCATCTTTTTCTAGTATTTCCCAATATTTTGGCCATTTAGCCTCCATATTGGGTCTTTTCGGGCCTTAGCTTCCAAAGGTGAAAGCCACCTTGGTGTTTTATTTTCCAGCAAGTCTTTATATTTTGTCCAGACATTATACAATGATTTTCTGACAATATGGTTCTTGAAGGCCTTATTTGCTTTAACTTTGTCATACCATAAATATGCATGCCATCCAAAAACATTATTAAACCCTTCCAAATCCAACACATCAGTGTCTTCAAGAAGTAGCCAGTCTTTTAGCCAGCAGAACGCTGCGGCTTCATAATACAACTTTAAGTCCGGCAGGGCAAAGCCCCTCTTTGTTTTGCATCAGTTAATATCTTAAATTTGATTCTGGGCTTTTTGCCCTGCCAGACAAACTTCGAAATATCTCTCTGCCACTTCTGAAAGCACTCCGTTTTGTCCAAAACCTGAAGTGTTTGAAATAAAAACAACATCCTTGGCAATACATTCATCTTAATAGCAGCAATTCGGCCTAACAAAGAAAGTTTCAATTTTGACCAACTGTCTAAGTCTCTCTTAATTTCTGCCCAACATTTTTCATAGTTATCCTTAAATAGACTTAGATTTTAGGCGGTTATGTTTACCCCGAGGTATTTTACTTTTTGACCACATTAAGTTCCGTCTCATTCTGAAACCGTTCTGACTCTGTATCAGTCAAATTTTTCCCCAAAACCTTAGTTTTCTGTTTATTTAATTTAAATCCCGCCACCCGACCAAAATCATTAATCAATTGTAATACTCTTTTCGTACTGGGCTCTGGCTTCTGCAGGGTCAAAACCAGGTCATCTGCAAAAGCTTTTAGTTTATATTGTTTCTGACCAACCTGAATTCCTTCCACCAACCGATCACCTCTAATCATGTTCAGTAGCACTTCCAGAACCGAAATAAATAACAAAGGGGAAATAGGGCAACCTTGTCGTGTCCCTTTTTCAATTTTGAACTCTTCTGTGACCACATTATTAACTATCAGTTTAGCTTTCTGTTCTGAATATATCGCCTCAATCCCATTCTCAAAACCCCGTCCCACTCCCATCTCTTTTAAATTTCCCATCATAAATTTCCAGGAAATATTGTCAAAGGCCTTCTCCGCATCTATGAAAATTAAAACTGCTTTTGTATTTATATCTGTTTGCAGAAGTTCCAAGATGTCAATAATGTTCCTTGTGTTAGCAAACAGATGTCTACCTGGGAGAAAACCGGCCTTTACCTTTACTTGTAGCACAGAGTTGATCTGGTGTCAGAAGCCAGCTCCCCATAGAGCAGCGGTTCTCAACCTGTGGGTCCCCAGATGTTGTTGGACTACAACTCCCATCATCCCTGACCACTGGTCATGCTGGCTAGGAATGATGGGAGTTGTAGTCCAACAACATCTGGGGACCTACAGGTTGAGAACCGCTGCCATAGAGCATGATCCTTGGGAGATCCTGCCATTCTCTGGGCATGGCCAAGCCAGCGTAGACGTCGCTGAAACAGGAGTGTGATCACGCTGGGAATGTGTGGCTTCAACAATTGCATTATATATAAAGCAAGTTGTGTCTTGGGTTTTTGTTTTTGTGCAATCCACGTCCACCCAGTATATGAAGGCCGGCACATAGTTAAACTAGGCAGCGAAGGTCACGAGGCCCGATGGCTTTAAGAGAGGGCGATCGATGGCTTTGATAGACCCAAGTCGCTAGCCACATGGAAAGATGAAGGCCCCCCCCCAAATACTGGCGCATCTCGCAGACTTTAACACACACACAGCCCTGGCCACAAGACTCAAAGGTTGAGGTCATTACGCTTTCGGAGGGCAGGGTACGGAGAAAGCCGAAGAAAGGACAATCTAGGCTTAAATAGGAACTTTGCCTCTTCCCTAGGAAAAGATACCCACTCTTACGTCCTCCTCAGAAATCCAAAGTCAGACAGGCATCTTTCTGAGAAGCCTTAGCTGCATGGCTAGGGCAGACGCCTTTTGAAAAGAAAATTAATTAAACATTTCTTTTTTATTTATTTCTTTAATTTTTATTTATAATTTTCAGTTATATACCTTTCAATAGTTTTACAATCATTTTAACATTTTGAAACTTGACTTCCTTCCGCCTCATCCTGCGGTTCCTTAAATTTGTTTTTTATATTTCCTGCTTGCTCCAGATTAACTTAACTTACTCATTTATTCCTCTACTTTAAATATGTACTCTTATAAAACTGCAGGTTATTACAATAATCCTGCCAATGTTCTTATCTGTTTACAGTTTGTCTGTAAATATTCAACAAACCATTTCCGTTCTTTTATAAAAAGTTTGTTACCTTGATTTCTTATTTTTCCGGTAAGTTTCTCCATTTCCGTGTATTCTGTAAGTTTTTGTATCCATTCTTCTTTTGCTGGAACTTCTTCTTTCCATTTTTGGGCAAATAACATTCTTGCCGCTGTACATGAATAAATTTCTCTACAGTTTGGGTAGTCCTGCACCTATAATTCCCAAAAGGAATTCCTTTTGGAAATTAATTAAACATTTCAACCTCCACAGCTGAAGCCTGGGCAGGCCGAGAGCACTGTTTGAGAAGCATCATGGCGCATGCTTTAGAAATGCACAGAACTTGTGTCTCTTCGGTGCTGAACGTTCAGAAAGCACCCCGGGTAAAGAAAAAGAAAAATCCACGTTGAACGCATTCATTTTTAAAGCACTGCCCTATATATGATGAAGGCGGTTAAATGATTCAAACAAGTCTGCTCAGATGGGCCAGCTCTGCGGTAATGAATAATGAAGAATATTTTGCAATTAGATAGCACTCTCAAATGTTCAAAGCGATTCTGGAGCGTTATCTTAGGAACCCACACAAACATAGCCCTCTGAGCCGAGACGTTAAATCTGAGCAAAATATAGGGCACCCTCCCTGCTCCTGAGCAAAATATCCCACCTGCAGATGCTGCCTTTTCTGTCTTCCGCACAACAGCAGCCCTCGTCGCCATTTATTCCCTCTCTTTGGCCCCATTACTTTTCTCTCATATATATAAGTTTTACATAACAAATTTAAATTCAAACACAGCATTCACCTCTTCATTTTAATAATAATAATAATAATAATAATAATAATAATTATAATTTATACCCCGCCCATCTGGCTGAGTGTCCCCAGCCACTCTGGGCGGCTCCCAATCAAGTGTTAAAAACAATACAGCATTAAATATTAAAAACTTCCCTAAACAGGGCTGCCTCCAGATGTCTTTAAAAGATAGGATAGCTGCTTATTTCCTTCACATCTGAGCGGAGGGCATTCCACAGGGCGGGCGCCACCACCGAAAAGGCCCTCTGCCTGGTTCCCTGTAACCTCACTTCTCGCAATGAGGGAACCGCCAGAAGGCCCTCGGTGCTGGATCTCAGTGTCCAGGCTGGATGATGCGGGTGGAGACGCTCCTTCAGGTATACAGGACCGAGGCCATTTAGGGCTTTCAAGGTCAGCACCAACACTTTGAATTGTGCTTGGAAACATACTGGGAGCCAATGCAGATCTCTCAGGACCAGTGTTATGTGGTCTTTGCAGCCACTCCCAGTCACAAGTCTGGCTGCCGAATTCTGGATTAGTTGTAGTTTCCGGGTCACCTTCAAAGGTAGCCCCACGTAGAGCACATTGCAGTAGTCCAAGCGGGAGATAACCAGAGCATGCACCACTCTGGCAAGACAGTCTGGGGCAGGTAGGGTCTCATCCTGCGTACAGGTGGAGCTGGTAGAGAGCCGCCCTGGACACAGAATTGACCTGTGCCTCCATGGACAGCTGCGAGTCCAGAATGACTCCCAGGCTGCGCACCTGGTCCTTCAGGGGCACAGTTACCCTATTCAGGACCAGGGAGTCCTCCACACCAGCCTGCCCCCTGTCCCCCCAAAACAGTACTTCTGTCTTGTCAGGATTCAACCTCAATCTGAATCCTTTGACTTCCCTCCGCCCTCCCATGGTTACCATTATCAATCCTCCCCCCCCCCACTGATTATCTTATTTTCTCTCATTTGTTAAAAAAATAGAGCTTTGCGTCAGCATCGTTCTATATCAATACATTTATTTATTTTCCGTTGTTATTGCGAGAAATTAGGAGGGTCCTGAACCTTGGTTGGTTGCGTTCAGTTGACTGCAGCGCGGTTTGTTTGTATGTGTGTAGGGGCGGTTGTGGTTTTGGTAGGTTGTTGGGTCGGATTAGCCATATTGATCCGCATGCTTTTGGGTGGGTGGGGGGAGAAGCATAGGTCATCGCCTTGTTGTGCTGTGATAAAGGGGAACCGCACAGTTGTGTGCCGATTGGCTCACTTCCTTGAGTCATCGCAAAGGGAGTTACAGTGGCACCTTGGTTCTCAAACGCCTTGGTACTCAAACAACTTGGAACCCTAACACTGCAAACCTGGAAGTAAGTGTTCTGGTTTGGAAACTTTTTTCGGAAGCGGAACGTGCTCCATTTTGGGTGTTACTCTTCCGATTTGAGTGCCACACTTCTCTTTTGAGTGTTACGCTGAGGTCTGTCTGTTTTTGCTATTTATTTTGCGTTTTTGTGGCTTTTTTGTTTTGTTTTTGTGACTACGTGGAACCCAGTTCAGCTACTGATTGATTGTGTGACTGCGGTACATTGTTTATTGCTTTCATTTTATGGATCAATGGTCTCGTCTGATAGTAAAATCCACGTTAAATTGCTGTTTTAGGGGTCGTTTTTAAAAGTCTGGAACGGTTTACTTTCTATGGGAAAGCACGCCTTGGTTTTGGAACGCTTAGGTTTTGGGACGGACTTCCAGAACAGATTAAGTTTGAGAACCAAGGTACCACTGTATTTGTTGCCTGAGCACCTTGCTGGGGTATGGGATGCTGTCATTTGGACTCTGTAGACTGGTCACAGGGTGTGTGTGACCTACCTTGTTTTGGCCAGCCTGGTGAGTTGGGTGATGGTCTCCTACCCTTCCATTTTTGTGATCAGAGCTTCTCCAGCCCTGAGCCAAAGAGCAGAACCCACCCTAAGCTTCTGAAAGGCCCTTTGCAGCGTCCCCATCTGCAGAGCAGCTGTTCTGGATGAAGGCCACTTCCAAAAGATGTTTTATTTCCTGCTTCCGTTCAGCGATGGCATACCATGCTGATGAGCATTGTACTTTTTTAAAAAAAGTTTAGGTTTGCAATTTTAAGTGTGTCTTCTGCAATTTCCTGAGTCCCCTTTTCACCACATAGGAGAGCAGCTTCTAGGAGTAAATATTTGAACTATTTGAAAAGCAATTGTAATAAGCAGATTACACTAGTAGGACTGCAAGAAGTTTTTTTGGCATTCCCCCCTCCCAAAAGCTCAACAACTGTTTTGTATGGGACAATGACAATAAAAATTACCGTATCGTAACTGTGGGCAATCATTCCCCAAAAAGCTCAACAATTTTGGCCAAGCCTCCCCCCCAAAATAGTTCAACAACTTCGGGGAATCTCCCCCCCCCCATTTCCCCATTTTCTAAATTTTGAGTCCCCCCAAATAGGGTAACTGAGTTTTGATGGATGTAATAATGGGATACTGAATGATATAGTTTTTGTAAACTATGCAGGGATTTTATGATATGCAAAATGAACCATGGAAAGAGAAGAAGGGAAGTCATCGATATCTTAAGGATGTAACAATGAGTACTTTAAATTGTAAAGCAGAAAATTTAATAAAATTTTATTATTTAATTTAATTTAATAATTATAAAATTTAATAAAACTGCAAAAAGAGCAGCATTTCTTGGTCTGGGCCAATGCCTGGACGAGAGGTCACCTGGGGACGCCCGGGGCTGCAAGCACGACACTGATCCCGACCAGCTTCTAAATGTTTTCCTGTGCTTCTTTTCCCCTCCCCAGGCTGGAATGGGTGGAAATCATCGAGCCTCGGACGCGGGAGCGCATGTACGCCAACCTGATCACGGGGGAGTGCGTCTGGGACCCCCCCGCCGGCGTGCGCATCAAGCGCACCAACGAGAACCAGTGGTGGGAGCTGTTTGACCCCAACACCTCGCGCTTCTACTACTACAATGCCTCCACCCAGCGGACCGTGTGGCACCGGCCCCAGAACTGCGACATCATCCCCCTGGCCAAGCTCCAGACCCTGAAGCAGAACACCGAGTCCCCGCGGGCCTCCACCGAGAACAGCCCTGGGCGCAGCAGCAATGTCAGCCGCGAGGGCAGCACCAGCTCCTCCCAGGAGCAGGAGCTGGAGGGCGGCGGGGAGAAGGCGCAGGAGCAGGGCCGGACGCACCGACAGCCCTCCCAGTTCGCCACCGTCAAAGAAGAAACGGAAAGGTAACCTTGCGCGGCTGGGCTTTGGGAACCTGCGGTGGAAGCCACAGGTCTCTGGTTTTCGGGGCTTGGCAGCGCGGCCTAGTGGATGGAGCTGTCCGAACAGAGGCCGGCTGTGCTCCGAGCTCTGCCCAAGGACCCTGTGGAGCAGGGAGGAATATGAGATTTGGCTGGTGGGAAGGGCGCAATTAGGTGTTTTTAATTTTCTTGTTTTTGCGCACTCCTCCATTGTTTGCAATCCGAAGCTCGCTTCATCCCCAAAAAGTTTTTTATTTGAGTTTCTAGTGAAATAAGGCTGCATTTTAATGTGGTACTTTAATCTTGTTTTTAAGTTGTATTTTAATCAATTGTTTTTATACCTGGTGTTAGCTGCCCTGAGCATGGTCTTGGCTGGGGAGGGCGGGGTATAAATAATAATAATAATAATAACTTTAATCTTGTTTTTAAGTTGTATTTTAATCAATTGTTTTTATACCTGGTGTTAGCTGCCCTGAGCATGGTCTTGGCTGGGGAGGGCGGGGTATAAATAATAATAATAATAATAATAATAATAATAATAATAATAATAGTTGTTGTTGTTGTTGTATCCGCTCTGCAGTTTGCTTGGGGTGGGGTTGGGGGTCACTGCGATTGCCCTGCCAGTCTCAGGATGGCACAGATGGGGAATTTGTAACCCAGCAGAAGTTTTGGGACTGCAACTCCCACCAGCCCGTCAGCGGTTGGGGTGATGGCAGTTGTGGTCCAGCAAATGTCTGGATGGTCCCTAAGAGAGAGACTTCTAGCCACAATGAACCAACAGGGTCTGACTCTGCATCCATAGGCTTCAGCCTGCCTTGCCTGTCTCTCCTGCTCCCTCTCTTTGTATCTTCCTTCCCTTCTGAGCCTCCCCCAAACCTTTCCTAGTCTTTCCTACTACTCCCCCTCCATCCTGTCCTTCCTGGAATCTCCATCCTGCGAGGATTTTCACCTGCATCTCTCTAGTGGGATAGTACTGAATCAGTGGCAAGTGCCCTTCTGACTTGCACTCTTTTAAAGACTCGAGGAACGAGGTTATCACTCCTCTTTTATTGTCCATCCTGGGTCACCCAGCCACTGCCACAGTGTCCTTTCTCTTGGCAGATCAAGATGAGCAGGTGACAGCAAAGGTGGCAAGGATTTCAGCAGGAGGGGAATCAGAATAAGATCCACTATGCAACTGTTGATTCAAAACCCTAAAATCTATTTTATATAATTGACTTTTTATTTCTATTATTTGTATATTGTATTGCGGTTTTGTTGCTATAGGCGGTGGCTGGCGCAAATAAAGATTCATTCATTCATTCTCTAGTGGGATCCAAGATGCCAGGGTCCCCTGTTTTGCAAAAGCGGGCCTTGTCTCTGAGGCAGTGCAAAGCTAACTGAAATGCGGGCAGGAGACTTTAATCTGCTGCGCAGATGGCCCTGCTCCCTCCTCGCACCGCCTCCCCTTTTTGCAGGCTGCAGCAGTTTCCTGAAATACACAAGGAAGAGGTGATGGTTGTTTTCCCGTTCTCAGTTGATGCCGGCTGGTGCATCACAGCTCTGCCTGCTTATGGTACCTGCCTTGTTTGCAGATGGCTTGTGAACCAATAATCCTGCCCAGGCAAGGAGAGCTTCCTCAGAGCAGGCTGTGGTGAGACACAAAAGCTGGAGTGGCTTTCTGGAGGCAACTGAGAAAGAATGGCCAGCAAAACCCCTGGTGGCTGCAGCCTCAGAGCCGCAGCGATCTGGATATGGAAGGAGGAATTCTTTCTCGCTAATTTGAGCCGGAGTACGGCATCTGAGCTGTGCAATCCGCTTGAGACGGCGCACAGTGATCATTAATATAATTAATAATAGCAATTAGCCGATCAGTGTCAGTAGTAATTAAAGATCAGCTGGGAGGAGGCAACAGGTGGCTTTCCACGGGGGTCTTCCCCTGTGCCCGGCGGGGTTGCCGCGATTGCTTAATTACATCTGAAGGAGTGCGCATTGCGCCCCCGGCAGGAGCAAAGTTGATCTTGCGGGGCAGGGGGAAAGGGGTTCACTCGGGCGCAAGCGCAGCGTTGGCAGAGAATCTGGTCTAACTGTGTGCCAAATGGTTGGGATGTGTAGGAACAGAGGACGCCAGCCTGGGGGCAGCTGCAAGGTGCTGCTGGTCAGGCCAACCCGCAAAAAACCGGGAGGCAGCAAAGGCAGCGGTGTTTGCAGGGGTGCAGCCCCGCTGTAAAATCCCCACTGTGTCATAGTTCCTGCTGAGTTGCCTATGAAACGGCCTCCGTTCCTCTTTCTAAGGCGCATCTTGGGATTTGACTGAGACAAGTCTCCCTTGGTGCATCCCACTTCATGCGATGGCTGGTGCTTGATTCATTTCGTAAAATTTCTATGCCACTTGGTTGTAGAAAAAACCTCAAAGCAGTTTACAGAAAAACAAAAAACAATAACAATAAGAAAAATAACAATGATTTGACAAAGGGTTGAAATAGCAATGGACTAGAAACAGATTGAAACTCAACCCAAAACCTGGGTAGGCTTGCCTGAACAAAAATGCTTTTATCAGGGGCTGAGAAGAATGCAGTGAAGGAACCTGCTTGGTCTCCATAGGTAGGGAGTTCCAAAGTGCAGGGGCTGCCACGCTAAAAGATGAATCTCTTATAAACATGGAGCGGATATTATGAGGCAGCTGTAACGCTGCCAGTTCCCCTAATCGAAGCAGTCAAGTGAGCTTCTGTGGGGTCAGACCGCCTCCTAAATAGTTTTCTTTTGGGGCTTTTCCTCCCGTCTTCTTGTTTGTGGTGCATTCACCCTGATTTGTTTCCAGCAAACTTAAGGCGGAGGTTAGACTATGCCTGGTCTTCATTGCGCATTTGTTCCATTTTGCTTGCTGGGTGGTTACACGACCATGATTTGCTTGCGGTGTGTTCACAGGTCTTTCCAGTGACCCACTCTTTCACCGCACACTTGGCAATCCATGTCCCCATCTCCTTCCTCACTGCGAAAACACATTCCCCCCAAGCAAGTGGATGTGTCGGGGCGACAGAGCATTTTAATTATGCAAATGTATATTTTTGATAGGGATGCGGGTGGCGCTGTGGGTTAAACCACGGAGCCTAGGACTTGCCAATCAGAAGGTCAGCGGTTCGAAACCCCGCGACGGGGTGAGCTCCCGTTGCTCGGTCCCTGCTCCTGCCAACCTAGTAGTTCAAAAGCACGTCAAAGTGCAAGTAGATAAATAGGTACAGCTCCGGCGGGAAGGTAAACGGCGTTTCCGTGTGCTGCTCTGGTTCGCCAGAAGCGGCTTAGTCATGCTGGCCACGTGACCAGGAAGCTGTACGCCAGATCCCTCGGCCAATAATGCGAGATGAGCACCACAACCCCATAGTCAGTCATGACTGGTCCTAATGGTCAGGGGTTCCTTTACCTTTACCTTTATATTTCTGATAGGCTCTTGAATCACTTCCACAAATCGTGATGGTTCGGAGGCACCCAAAGTGAAGGACAAGGTGCTCTTGGTGGAGGAAATGCCCTTGGCTTCTGGCCGCCCTGTGGAGCCCAGGGGGGGATAAGCCAAAGGATGCAACAGCTGCAAATTGAAAATTGATTTTTGATAGCCATGATAGCGTCTTCATGTGCGGATCAGCTGCCGAAGCCTTTTCTTGATGCCTCCCCTTCCGGTTCCAGGAGGTGTGTTTGCAGTGCAGGTCTGCCTTTTAATTTGGCTGTCGGATTATTACGTTTATGAGAGTGTTTAGCACAGCCTGCAGCTGCACCTACTCAACGCGGAGGAAAATAAGCATTATAATTTCATCACGTATCATTTGTCTGCCTAAGCTTTTGTTTCTGAGTGCCAGAGAACGTTCTCCTCAGTTTCTGGAACGCCAGACGGTGTAATTTGTTTTTTTTCTAACTTGGAAATTCTAAGAAGTATAGCCTTTGGTGTTCAGAGGACTGAAAAACTCCAAAATAAACCACCCCAGCTCCTGTCACACTCAATGAATCCAAAGCCCCACTTTTGGTACAAGATTCCAGCCTCTTCCATTTCTGCGCCAGGCGGCCGTGGCTCTTGGCTCAGCAACTTTCAGCGGAGATCTCTCTCTCCTAATTGCTCCTTGGCCAAGTTCAGAACTAAGGTCAGCGTCTCTCGGCCACATGGCTGGAAGCAAATTAAACCCGGGGGAAATTACAAGGGGAAAAAAGAAGGAACACGCAAAAGGTTCCTCGCTCTCCCCCTTTCTCAGTCTCTGTTTACAGCTGGGGTTGATGGGAGATGGAGTCCAGAACAGCCGTAGGAAGCACCAAGTTGGGAGGAAAGGCTCATTATTTCCTGATGCCCCTTTCAGCTCGCGTTTGCAGTTATACTTTAATTTGTCCCTCCTCGCCACAGCAGCCTCGCAGATAGATGAGGCTGGGGCACAGTCGACATGTTTTGGGAGCGGGGGATACATGAAACTGAACATCTCATAATCAACGTCAGCTCTTGCTTGCTGCGCTGATTTTGGTGAGAGCCTCATTTCAGTCCTCTCCCTCTTTTCCTTTCTCGTTTTGGTTTCCTCCAACTTCTTTATGGTCGAGAAGAGCACGGAAATGCCCTTGGTGTGGTTCTGTGGAACTCCCTGCCGCAGGAGGCAGGGGTGGCCCCAATCTAGTGTTGGAATGCGTCCCGGGAGACGGGGGCATTTGGCAGGCCCCCGGCTGGCAGCCGGGCAAACTCTGGTTCTTGGAACAGCATCAAAACTGTGGCACACAGCCTCAGAAGCCTTCAGAAACTTGAGCATGCTCTAATCAGCAGAGTGAATAACTCTTCACAACGGAAGAGGCAGACAGAGGCAGATGTAAGCAGATGTAAGTTACAGGCATTTATTCCGCATCAGGAACAAAGGAAAAACATGTCTGCTTCCCTTCGTGTCTAAGCAAAACAGCAGTATAGCAAAAGCAATATACGACGGAAGTTCCCAGCAGACTGTGCTGGAAGTAAACAGACATGTAACATACAACAATCCACACATCTGTTCTAAAGGTGGAATGGAACTATATCCTAACACTTAGATGGCTTTAAAAGAGGACGAGAGGGCTGTGAGGGTGACTAGCCAAGACGACTACTCTCTGCCTCCACAGTTGGAGGCAACAATCTGTGAATCCCAGTTGCTGGAAACCTCAGGAGGGGAGAGTTGCTCTTGTGTTCGAATCCTGCTTGCTAGTTTCCCATTGGGGCATCTGTTTCAGTGACTGTGAGAACAGGATTCTGGCCTACATGGGCCAATGGCCTGATCCAGTAGGGAAGGCTGAGCCGGGAGACGAATCCCAGGAGGCTTCTCTAATCATCACTTGATGTAGAGCAAAATAAAGAGGAGATGATGAAAAGGAGAGTGGTCAATTATTCAGATGCAAAAATAAAAGGATTAAGGCTGCACTGAAGGATCTGTGGCATGTGAGAGGCCACTGTCTCGCTGAGCAGTGAACCAGGGAGTCTCAGGTTCAGATTCTGCCGTGCCAAGAAGTTTGCAAACCTCTGTGTTTAGTGCACCCTCTGCCGTGGTCCGCTGGGTCAGGTCAATGGCCCATCTAGTCCAGCCTCGTGTTCTCACAGTGGCCAAACAGATGCCTCTGTTTGGAAACCCGGAAGCAGGATTCAAACACAAGACCCGTGGTTTCTAGCAACTGGCATTCAGAAACATTTCTGCCTCTGTTGTAGCTAGTGGCCATCGACAGCCCTCTCCTCCTCCATGGATTTGACCAATCCCTTTTTAAATCCACCTGGGCTTGGCCATCACTGCCTCCTGCAGCGGTGAGTTCCACAGTTTACGCGCTGTGTGAAGAAGTAAATTCTTGGCAGTTGCTTCTTTCCCCCCACCTGCTCCTAGGCGTTGCCTGGTTTATAAAAAGAGGTACTGTAGCGGGGGGACCGCCATGCTTAGCCGTAAATTATTGAAAATTCATTCCTGCTGGGAGCTTGAGCGTGCCTATGGTGCTGGTGGGCAAACTGTATTTATTTGGTGAAGGGGAAAAGATGCCCAGTTTATGTCCAGAGACACTCTGTTAACTTAGCAAAGACTGTGTGCAGAGTTTGGGGCTGAGCCCTGACATAAATGTGCCGATTTATGACATGGATGCCTCCAGAGGGTTTGCTCTGCGAGCTGTTTTTGCTGTGCTCCTGATCCCTGCTTGAGATGCAAGTCAGAAGATGCATGGATGGATTTCTGAGCATGGTCTTTGCATCCCTTTCTGTGGATAAAAGGAACAGATTTGGTGATTTACTGACTCCTTTCCACTATGTCCTACTACATTTATTGCTTGTATTTTGCTTCAAAACCCTTAGACTCTTCAGGACCCTTCAGGCATGTCCAAAGTCCTAATCCGGCCCCAGTGGCAGTTTATTTCCTGTGGTAAAATCATTAAACAAGGTCAGCAACTTCGATCCTTCATGGCCCTTCACTTCATCAAATCATCATCATCATCAAACCTTTTATTGGCATCACATACAAACATCCAAAACAAATCAATACAGAATTACCAATCTAGTGGCACAAAACATTTGCTAAAATAAAGGAGGAGTATTCATCAAATATAGTAAAAGCTATGGTTTTCCCAGTAGTGATGTATGGAAGTGAGAGCTGGACCATAAAGAAGGCTGATCGCCGAAGAATTGATGCTTTTTAATTCTGGTGCTGGAGGAGACTCTTGAGAGTCCCATGGACTGCAAGAAGATCAAACCGATCCATTCTGAAGGAAATCAGCCCTGAGGGCTCACTGGAAGGACAGATCCTGAAGCTGAGGCTCCAAGACTTTGGCCACCTCATGAGAAGAGAAGACTCCCTGGAAAAGACCCTGATGTTGGGAAAGATGGAGGCACAAGGAGAAGGGGATGACAGAGGACGAGATGGTGGGACAGTGTTCTTGAAGCTACCAGCATGAGTTTGACCAAACTGCGGGAGGCAGTGGAAGACAGGAGTGCCTGGCGTGCTCTGGTCCACGGGGTCACGAAGAGTCGGACACGACTAAACGACTAAACAACAACAACATTCATCAAATCTTATCATAATGGCCACGGGGGCTGATGGGAGTTGTAGTCCAAAACAGCAAGGACTCCCCAGGCAGCCTCACTTGCGTCCTCAGCTCTCCTCCTCCAATTTCCAACATGCTCTTCATTCCTCCTCTCCTTCCCTCCCGCCTCACCAACCTCCCTGGGATGGCTTTTCATTCTCTGACACCCATCAGCGGTGACATAACTATTTTCTCCCCCCTGCAGGTGACAACAAAGAGGCCCTTACAATCCCGGCACATCCTGGGAGTTAATTGCTTCCTCCCTTTCTCACAAAAGGCCCATTCTGTCATTTCTTTTGACATGATGCAGGTCCTTGACTTTTTCCAGGGTGCTTTTTCTTACTGCTTGTCCTGTTGTTGTCGTTTTTCCCCTCCCCCTCCCGTCTCCTGATTTCTTGCTGCAAGATTTTCCTTATTGGCAAGTTTCCCCCAAATTTCACTGTTGGCGCCAAAACCTCCAGTGCTTTTGTCTCTCTGGAGTCCTGAAAGAGGAGGTGAGGGTTGCGTGGTGAGCCTTTAGGCAGGGAGACAAGAAAGAGGAGATCCATCTGCTTAGCCACTGGCTGCATGTCGTTTACAGCTGTCCATGGAGGCGCAGGTCAATTCTATGTCCAGGGCAGCTGTCTATCAGCTCCATCTGGTACACAGGATGAGACCTTCCCTGTCCGCAGACTGTCTCGCCCGAGTGGTGCATGCTCTGGTTATCTCCCGCTTGGACTACTGCAATGCGCTCTACATGGGGCTACCTTTGAAGGTGACCCGGAAACTACAACTAATCCAGAATGTGCCAGCTAGACTGGTGACTGGGAGCAGCCGCCGAGACCACTTAACACTGGTCTTGAAAGATGTACACTGGCTTCCAGTACGTTTCTGAGCCCAGTTCAAAGTGTTGGTGATAACCTTTAAAGCCCTAAACGGCCTTGGCCCAGTATGTTAAAAACAATACAGCGTCAGACATTAACAACTTCCCTAAACAGGGCCGCCTTCAGTTTTCTTTTAAAAGTAAAATAGTTGTTTATTGCCTTGACATCTGCTGGGAGGGCGTTCCACAGGGCAGGCGCCACCACCAAGAAGGCCCTCTGCCTGGTTCCCCGTAACCTCGCTTTTCGCAGTGAGGGAACCACCAGAAGGCCCTCAGCACTGGACCTCAGTGTCCAGGCTGGATGATGGGGGTGGAGACACTCCTTCAGGTATACAGGACCAAGGCCATTTAGGGCTTTCAAGGTCAGCACCAACACTTTATATTTGTGCCTGGAAATGTCCTGGGAGCCAATGAAGATCTTTCAGGACCGGGGTTATGTGGTCTCAGCGGCCACTCCCAGTCACCAGTCTAGCTGCCGCGTTCTGGATTAATTGCAGTTTCCAAGTCACCTTCAAAGGCAGCCCCACGTAGAGCGCATTCCAGTAGTCCATTAAGAACTTTCTGAGAGCAAGAGCTGTTTGACAGCAGCACGGACGGCCTCAGAAGGTGCTGAATCACTTTCCTTGGAGGCTTTTAAACGGAGCTTGGATGGTCACCTGCCAGAGATTCTGTAGCTGTGATTGTTGGACTAGATGACCCTCGCAGGTCCCTTCCACCTCTACAATTCTTTGATCCTGTAATGGTCTGGCTCAGCATTCGGCAGCTTCTTATATATCCCTGTCCCCTCTCGTCACCCCATTTCTTCCTCCCAGGAGCAGAAGTTGGCCAATTAGCAGGGCTGTGCCGAACCTCCTTGTCTCTCGCTGACCTTTTCATCCTACTGTAGTCCCCACGCCCCAGGTGGGGTCTTGCATCCTGTGTTTTGGGGAGGGGGTTGCGACCGCACCTGCCCTCTGTTTTGATCTTCGGCTCTCTGAAGCTCCACAGTTGGAAGAGATCAGAGTGCCTGTGATGAACTGGAGGCTAATGGTGGAGGTCTTTTTTATTTTTGGGCTTTGCTTTGCCGTCTCGCCGCGGCTGAAGCAATTTGACATCAAAGAGACAAAACCAGGAACGGTTTGTAACCGAGGCTGATTGTGCTGCTGCTGTTTCAGGGATCCTTCCCAGCTTATCCCCAGAGCTTCCATTTCATGCTGGCAAATCCGTCAGGCTTCTTGGGGTGCAGGAGGGGAATAATGAAGATTTCTGAAAGCGCTGCCGCCTAAGGAACCTTTCCCTCCCCACGTTCTCGGCCCTGCCGGGGTTGCTGTTGACAGCAGATTGCTATTCCTCCGCTTTCCCAAGGCTCCCCGCCGAGAAAGCATGGTCTGTACCACTTGCTCAAACATGTCGGGCTGTTTTCCTTCTGCCGGGCAAGCTGCCAAGCGGTGTCTGGAAAGCCAATTGACAAGTCTCTCTCCAGCAAAGATCTTGGAGATCAGCTGCCGTGGCTGGGGGGGGGGTTGGGGGAAGGAAGGGATGTGGCCGAGCGGTTCGTGGGTGGGGGCGGCGGTGGGAGGGGGTCAAGGGCGTTCTGCTGAAGGTTAGTAACACCTGCAGCAATATGGCACATTTGGTTTGTATGCCACAACTGCTGCTAGAATTTTGCTGGCCAAAAATTGGAAATCACAAGAAGTACCAACAGTGGAGGAATGGCAGATGAAGATGATGGATTTTTCGGAGCTAGCCGACCTGACCGGAAGAGTCCGCGACCAGAAGGAGGAGAAGTACCAGGAGAATTGGAAGAAATCTAAAGACTATTTAGCTAAATATGCAAATATAATTTAAATAGAAATACTTGCAAGTACGAGATTGGCCTAGGATTTAAATAAGTGATGTTATAGGATAATATGTTTCAAGTAAAAATGAAAGGACAGAAAAATGTTAAGTAAATTACACGTGAAAATAGTTTTGGAAAACTATTACAATGATATACACTGAAATTCAGCCTGGGGGAGTTGAGGAAGTCACCCAACAATGTAAAGAAAAATGGAATTATTGTACTTAAGATTTATGTTTGTTTGTTTGTTTATATATATGGAAAACCAATAATTTTTTGGGGGGAAAAGTATGGCACATTTGGAGCTGTGCAGAATGCGGAAATGATGCCTTCTCTGCTCAGAGGGAGCCTTGTGGGATCAGGCTGCAGGCAGACATGCAAACCCTGCATTCCCTAATCACAGACTTGTCGAGTTGGAAGGGGCCCGAGGGTCATCTAGTCCAACCCGCTGCAATGTGCCTTTAATGTGCCTTTCCCCATGCCTCAAGACACTAAGAGGAAGTTTTAAAGTGAATTTCCTATGATGACTCCCGATTATTTTTCTGATGTAAAAAATAAAGGTACCCCTGACCATTAGGTCCAGTCGTGGCTGACTCTGTGGTTGCGGCGCTCATCTCGCTTTATTGGCCGAGGGAGCCGGCGTTCAGCTTCCGGGTCATGTGGCCAGCATGACTAAGCCGCTTCTGGCGAACCAGAGCAGCGCATGGAAACACCATTTACCTTCCCCGCCAGTGGTACCTATTTATCTACTTGCACTTTGACGTGCTTTCAAACTGCTAGGTTGGCAGGAGCAGGGACCGAGCAACGGGAGCTCACCCCGTCGCGGGGATTCGAAGCACCGACCTTCTGATCAGCAAGTAGTAGGCTCTGTGGTTTAACCCACAGCGCCACCCGCATCCCCCCCAGTTTGGGCTACTGGCCCCACTTGGGAGTTCTAGTTCAAAACTTCTGGAGGGTGCCTGGCTGGCAAAGGCTGATTTAAAAGGTTCAAGGATTAGCAGCCATCAGAGCTTCCGGGCTTTGCGTCCTGTTGAGGAAGCTGACATTTAGATCTACCCACCTCCCAGGAGAAGAACCAGCGGCTTCCCTCCGGCCAGGCTCTCAGGCTGAGCGATCACTTTGCGTTCTTGCAGGTCCCTGTCACTGCGAGGTGTTTTTTGTGATTTACTACTCCTGCCTCCATCCATCCCTGTCCAAACCTCTTTAGCATGTTTGCTTTCGCAAGCACAATACCTGTCAAAGCTCAGCACTGAAGAAGGTGACAAGCAGCGTTGCCGGAGACTGGGGGGTGGAATCATCCATCGGGGAAAGCAGGGTCTGTGGCAGTGAGAGGAGATAGGAGAGCCATCTTCAAATATCTCAAGGGCTGTCCCTTGGAAGAGGGAGCAAGCTTGTTTTCCCCTGTTCTTGAGGGCAGGACACGAACCCATGGCTTCAAGTTACAAGGAAGGAGATTCCGACGAAACATCAGGAAGAACTTTCTGACAGTAAGAGCTGTTTGGCAGTGGAACGGAGGACCTTGGAAGATGATGGACTCTCCTTCCTTGGAGGTTTCTAAGCAGAGGTTGGATGGTCTGGACTCAATGACCATTAGGAATCGCTTCCAACTCTACATTTCTAATACGCTATGGTTTCAACAGGGTCCTGTTGACACTGAGCTGGGCAGATCATGCTTTTTTTAAATATGAAATTGCATGTACAGCTGCAGCCCTGTTCAGCTCCTTGCCTTTCCTGCTTGTGATCCGCACACAGTTGAGCTCTTTTAGCTCCCCTTTTCCATTTCAAGGGAAGCATTTTTTAAGGACCTGCCTGCTGGTCTCGTGGAAATGAAACAGGACTAATAATAATAATAATAATAATAATAATAATAATAATAAATTATTTATACCCCACCCTTCTGGCTACTCTGGCCAGCTGGCCAGCTCACAACACATAAAAACCACTGGAAAAACATCAACCATTAAAAGCTTCCCTAAACAGGGCTGCCTTCAGATGTCTTCTCGAAGCCAGTTGTTTATCTCCTTGACGTCTGTTGGGAGGGCGTTCCACAGGGCAGGTGCCACCACCGAGAAGGCCCTCTGCCTGGTTCCTTGTAACTTCACTTCTCGCAGTGAGGGAACCTCCAGAAGGCCTTTGGCGCTGGACCTCAGCGTCCGGGCAGAACGATGGGGGTGGAGACGCTCCTTTAGGTATACTGGACCAAGGCTGTTTAGGGCTTTCAAGGTCAGCACCAACACTTTGAATTGTGCTTGGAAACGTACTGGGAGCCAATGTAGGTCTTTCAGGACCGGTGTTACGTGGACTCAGCAGCCGCTCCCGTCACCACTCCAGCTGCTGCATTCTGGATTAGTTGTAGTTTCTGAGTCACCCTCAAAGGTAGCCCCATGTAGAGCGCATTGCCGTAGTCCAAGCGGGAGATAACCATAGTATGCACCACTCTGGCGGGACAGTCTGCGGGCAGGGAGGGTCTCAGCCTGCGTACCAGATGGAGCTGGTAAACAGCTGCCCTGGACACAGAATTGACTTGCGCCTCCACGGACAGCTGTCATTCCATTTAATTGTTTAATTCCCCCCATACACTTTCAAGCCAACCAAGTTGGTGGCTTGTCGCTACACCTTGTGGTAGAATAGCGGAATCGTAGATTCATAAGGAATTCTAGAGTTTTAACTGCATGCACCATGCAGTTTACCCCTTTTCTCTGCCCTGTATCTCTGAAATTTCAGATTTGTTAGATGACCCCCATCAGGTCCTAACATTGCGAGGGAAAGAGTCCCTCCCCCTATTAATTTTCTCTGCACCATGAATGGTTTTAAATACCTCCATTACGTCCCCCCCATTCCTCCCCTTTTTCTTGTGCTGTACGATGGGTAGAAGCTGCAAGAATCTAATATCCGGCTCAGCGATAAAATCTGCGCGGCTGAGCTTCCGACACGGTGTCCCCCCAAATAATTTCAGATCTGCTCCTGCGGAGTCAGATGTTATTATGCGGGGAGCCTGCCCACAGGTTGCGAGGATGTGCTCGAAAATATGGAAAAGTTTATTAATAATTCCCCCCCCCCAAGCCTGCTCAGCTCCCGTGGATAAGGCTGAATGAGTAGTGATCTGATTTAAAAGCCATAAAAAGATAATAAAATGTCTGAATGGATGCAAAGCATAAAACCCTGTCCGTCGATACAGTCCATCGGGGTTTATATTACTTGCAGCTGGCTTTTAAAAATGATTAATAAAAATATTTTTATATCGTGCAGCCAATTTGCTTCTCTTCTCTTCTCCACCCCCCCTCCCCGACACGATCCAGCTTAGTGTTTTTACCTGCAGGAATATGCCCTCAGACACTAGCCGTTACCTCTTGGCTGCTTGGGCGGCCGAAGGATAGAGAAAGGAGTGTGAATTTGTGGAGAAAGTAGGCTACGTAAAAAAATTCATTCGTTGTTCCACCCAGTTTTGCCTCTGGCCCTGAGCGTCACTGGCCCATGGCCCTCTGAAGGTCTCCTGGAAGGAAATGTGGCCTGTCAGGTTCCCCACCTGACAGGAGCAAGCCAGCAGTAAATCACACTCTGCGGAGTTAACATTAGCAAGAACGCAACCTGCACAGACTTGTTGGAGTGCCAGGCCTAATGAGCAGCTCATCTCAGTAGGTCTTGCTGCATGGATCAGAAAGTACAATACTTTTCCATTGGCAGAAATGACTGGCAGAATCCGAGACCAGGGAGAAGAGTCGGTGGAAGAAGATTGGAAGAAATTTAAAGACTACAGAAATATTGTAAAATTAATGAATGATAGAATGATGTTGGATAGTAACTAAGTGGTTTCTAGCTGTAATGCTTTAAGAGAATATGAAAAAAAAAGGGTTATAAATGGGTTAAAATCTAATGGTAAGGATTTGCTGAATCAATAAATTGAAGTGGAATACGAAAAAGGGAGGTACGAGGAGGTCCGGGAAACAAGCTAAAGGAAAATAAGTAACTGGAAATATGTGTGTTTTTAATTGTTTTTATTTTGTATTATTCTCTTTTCTTTTTCATTTTTACTGTAATATTTCAAAAAACCTAATAAATATCTTATATATATAAAAAAAGTACAATACTTTTCCGTGTATAAGACAAGGTTTTTTTACTCAAATATAATGTTAACAAACGGGGGACATCCTATACACGGATAGTGTGGTAGCTCATCCCGGTAGGTCTTGCTCAGGGGCCAGCAAATGTTTTCAGCAGGGTCCACTGTCCCTCAGACCTTGTGGGGGGGGGCAGACTATATTTTGGGGAAAAAATAATGAAGGAATTCCTATGCCCCACAAATAACCCAGAGATGCATTTTAAATAAAAGGACACATTCTACTCATGTAAAAGCACGCTGATTCCCAGACTGTCTGCGGGCTGGATTTAGAAGGCGATTGGGCCGGATCCAGTCCCCGGGCCTTAGTTTGCCTACCCATGGTCTTGCTGCATGGATAAGAAAGTACCGTACTTTTCTGTGTATAAGGCGAGGTTTATTTACTCTAAAATTATGTTAAAAAACAGGGGACATCCTATACACGGATAGTGCATTGGGGGACGAGTGTTTAGTTGCAGCCGCGAGTAGGAGCTTGTCAGCGGCGATCTTGTGGGTGATTGGTGGCTGCGTCAAATGCTCCTTTGGATTTGCTGCTGCTGTGGTAATTGGGTGGGTGATTGGTTGCTGCGGCAAAGGTTGCTGTGGATTGGCTGCCGCTTTGGCAATTGGGCATGCGATTGCCGTCTGCTGTTGGTGAGCGGGCAGGCGCATGTTGGCGACGCGAGCGTTTGTCAGTCGTTTGGCAATCCTCCCCCATGTTCTTAAATTTGAGTCCCCCCCAAATAGGGGTCGGGGACACGGGTGGCGCTGTGGGTTAAACCACAGAGCCTAGGACTTGCCGATCAGAAGGTTGGCGGTTTGAATCCCCGCAACGGGCTGAGCTCCCGTTGCTCGGTCCCAGCTCCTGCCAACCTAGCAGTTCGAAAGCACGTCAAAGTGCAAGTAGATAAATAGGTACTGCTCCGGCGGGAAGGTTAATGGCGTTTCTGTGTGCTGCTCTGGTTCGCCAGAAGCGGCTTAGTCATGCTGGCCACATGACCCGGAAGCTGTACGCCGTCTCCCTCGGCCAATAAAGTGAGATGAGCGCCACAACCCGAGAGTCGGTCACTACTAGACCTAACAGTCAGGGATCCCTTTACCTTTACCTTTAAACACTATTTTGGACCACGACATTGTATTAGAAAGGGGAGGGAGTCTTTTGGATGCTGTGGTCTTCGTATGAAGGACTTATACAAACTTAATTATTAATAAATGTCACAATACTTCCATTTCTTCTGTTTCTTTGTTTATTCCCTGTAAGTTCCTGTTAGTTATTTGCAGTTGAAAGGAGAGAAATGACTATAAACTGGTTATCTTGTTTGTTTCCTGAATTACCTTTGGTATATTCATTGTGTATGTGGAGACCAGGGGGAAGGGGAGACACCCGTGACTCTGTATCAGCCTGACTCATAGAATCCTAAAGTTGGAAGGGACCCCACAGGTCATCTAGCCCAAACCCCCTGCAATGCAGAAATCTCAACTAAAGCATCCTCAAGAAAGAAGGGCATTTTTGCTGGCCAGGTTTAATTCAAACCCATCAAACCTCCCCTGGGGAAGGTTCTTAGGCAGGGTGGAAGGAGAAAGAACTTGCCCATGTGAAGACCACCTGGTGGAAACCCTTACACATATGGTTCTCAGTTGTAAACTATAAGCTAATCTCTGTCAGCAATTTCTAGATCAACTCTATATCCCCAAATGGAAACCAGAGTCGGAGGTCATAAATTTTCTAGTACTGGGGAATGATCAGGAGCTCACCAAGTTAGTGGCGAAATATCTCTATTTGGTTTTTTGTCTTCGAAATACACTGCTGACGTCTGATCTCCCTGGAGACCAAGAGAGGATAGACTGCTCTGCCTCCTTTCTTTTAGCAAATGTTTTGAGCCACTGGGGAAGTGGAAATTCTGTATTGATTTGTTTTGGATGTTGTATGTGATGCTAATAAAAGGTTTGATGATGATGAAGAACTACAGCATCCAAAACTCATCTCCTTTCTCTTTTTGGAAATAATTTTTATTTGGTTTTACAGATATAAAATTATAACAATACAAAATGCATATCCATATTTAGAGATTTCCCCTGAATCTCTAGACTTCCCACCTTCCCCTCCTATTATAAACATTTTCAACGGCATATTGTTTCATCATCCAAATTATACGTCTCTCCATTTTGTTGTCCATAATATCTTCTACATTACAAGTGTTATTACAATCCTGCTAATGTTTCCATCTGCTTCCAGTGGTCTCTCAAGTACAGTGGTGCCTCGCAAGACGAAATTAATCCGTTCCGCGAGTGTCTTCGTCTAGTGGTTTTTTCGTCTTGCGAAGCAACCCTATTAGCGGCTTAGCGGATTAGCGCTATTAGCGGTTTAGCGGCTATTAAAGGCTTATCGGATTAGCAGATTAGCTGCTAAAAGGCTATTAGCGGTTTAGCGGCTTAGAAAAAGGGGGGGGAGCGAAAAAAAATCTCAAGACTCGCAAGACATTTTCGTCTTGCGAAGCAAGCCCATAGGGAAATTCGTCCTGCGAAGCAACTCAAAAACGGAAAACCCTTTCGTCTAGCGGGTTTTCCGTCTTGCGAGGCATTCGTCTCGCGGGGCACCACTGTAGATTATGAATTTCCCCCATTCCTTACTGAAGTTTTGGTCTTCTTGGTTCCTGAGCTTTCCAGTCGGTTTTTCCATTTTGGCATAAGCCAGCAGCTTAGTTTGCCTCTCCTCTTCCGTAGGGACTTTATCTTCTTTCCATCTCTGGGTTAGTAGCATCCGTGTGGCTGTTGTTGCGTACATAGAGTCCCTACTGCTCCTTTGGGATTTTGGTACCTCTCATCTCTTCCTCTTGACCTCCCTCCTCCGACTCTCCTGCTTCATCTTCTGCCTCTGATTCTACACTTCTCTCTGCCACCGACTCTCCCAGCTCACCAAGTCCTGTTACTTCTTCAACTTCCAACGCCTCCTCTCCCCAGTCTTCTACCTCTGACCACTCATGGTCGTCCCACCCCAGCTGGTTCCTGCCACCATTCCTCTGTGTTCAGCCAGGCCATGAATTCACCCTTCTTTCACTGCCGCAATTGCTGGCCATGGAAGCCACACATGTGTCTTCACTCCATGGAGGCACAGGGACCCAGGATTTGTATGTGCGCAGGCGAGAGAAAGGAAAGGGGCTAAGTGATTTCCTTTGCAGCGCCCTTGCGAGTTGTAAATCTAAAGCTCGGAAGCCTCATTAAAATTAAGCTTCTGTCAGAGCTAATTTTTTATTGCCACTTCTTTTTTCTCTCCTTTTAAAAATATCCATCCCATTAGGACAACTCGTTTCTCTCTCTTTGTTCTGGGAGCATCCCCTAATCTCCCTCATTAACGCAAACACCTCCATTGGCGGATCTTTATCTTAGCTTTGTACTTTTTTCTTGCTTTGTACTTTTTAATGCATTAATGTGTTTTGAAGCTCTGTAAAACCGCTACACTAATTATTTGATTGGGGCTAACGAAGCGATTTCGCTGGCGGTCACGTGAGAAACGAGACAGATTCACACGGGGTTTTTTTGGGGTTTTTTTAACCACAGGTAAGCCCAATTCACTCATCCTCACACTGGGAATAGCTTGCTTTGCTCAACCTGGTTATGCACCCAGGCCTTGGCAGGAGCTTCGTGTCAAATCAGATTCCTTATGTATTGGTGTTCATTTATAATGTAACTGCTTTCAGTTTCGTTTTATACTGAGCTTTTTAAATGTATGGAGTGTGTTGTGATTTTAACCTGCTCTGAATTTGCTTTCTGCAATGAAGAGGAGCCTTATAATGTTTTTAATAGATCAATAAAACAATAAATCTATTGCTTGCCTTGAAGGAGGATAGGGAAGAGTTGAGTGTACCGCCTAGTCTATTGTAACACCACTTCTTCTTCTTCTTCGTCTTCTTCTTCTTTGGCGTTCCCTCGTAGCCAAGTAAGATTGTCTCCCATGAACACGGTTTTAAAAGTGAGTCCGTAAGTGACTGTGGAGGCCAATTCTGGATCCACACGTCCTTCCACAGTGGGGACAAAGGTTTCCGGGCGGGAGTTGATCATGGTGAGGGTTTGCTATGTGTGTCTTCCTCTTAGCACATTTCTCCCTTGCGTCCTGACTTCGAGTGTCTTCAAAGCCCATGACACCTTTGGTAAAGGCTGTGCTCCAACTGGAGCGCTCACAGGCCAGTGTTTCCCAGTTGTCGGTGTTTATACTGCATTTTATTTAAGATTTGCCTCGAAAGAGTCTTTAAATCTCTTTTGTTGACCACCAACATTATGCTTTCCATTTTTAAGTTTGGAATAGAGTAGTTGGGTTGGATGATGATAATCAGGTATCCGTACAACATGACCAATCCAACAAGTTGAAGAATCATTGCTTCGACACTGGCAATATTAGCTTCTTCCAGTACACTGACATTAGTTCTCCTGTCTTCCCAAGTGATATGCTTTTGGAGACACTGTTGATGGAATCTTTCGAGGAGTTGGAAATGGCATTTATAAGTGGTCCACGTTTCGCAAGCACATTCATTGCTTTATAGTCATTGCTGCACCTGCTTTTGCACCTGTCCCTTGCCACTGCTGGCTTGTAGCCCCAAGATTGTCTGGTTCTTGGTCTAGAAAAGGTTTCCCATCCCCAGTTTGCTTGATGGGGCTTCCATTGCCAAGACCACATAACACCAGTCTTGAAAGACCTACATTGGCTCCCAGTACGTTTCAGAGCACAGTTCAAACTGTTGGTGCTGACCTTTAAAGCCCTAAATGGCCTTGGTCCAGTATACCTGAAGGAGCATCTCCACCCCAATTGTTCTACCCGGACACTGAGATCCAGCTCCAAGGGCCTTCTGGCGGTTCCCTCCCTGTGAGAAGCCAAGTTACAGGGAACCAGGCAGAGGGCCTTCTCGCTAGTGGTGCCCGCCCTGTGGAATGCCCTCCCAGCAGAAGTCAAAGAGAGCAACAACTACCAGACTTTTAGAAGACATCTGAAGGCAGCCCTGTTTAGGGAATCTTTTAATGTTTGATGTATTACGGTATTTTAATATTTTGTTGGAAGCTGCCCAGAGTGGCTGGGAAAACTCAGCCAGATGGGGGGGGGAATAAATACTAAATTATTATTATTATTATTATTATTATTATTATTATTATTATTTCTACTACACAATCCTCACTGGAAAGAGTTTTTTTTTGGGGGGTGTATGTCTGTGCTGGGCCCCACTCACTTTGTTCCTCATAGCCTTGTTTCTTCTTGTGTCCTCTTGCAGTTCCTCGCCTCCCGGAGTTTTCGAGAAGGAATACGAGATCTATCGGGATTACGGCTCTGACGGGCAGCGGCTGCAGTACAGGTGAGTTGCCCTGATGCTAAACAGAGTTTAGAAATTAGAGTTTAATTAGAGTTTAAAAATTATAATTTGGATGATTATTTGGTCTTTTTTATTTTAGTTTTTTATTTTAATTGGCTTATGATTTGATATGTTAATTGGATTTTTTTTATTGGAAAATTAATAAAAACTATTTAACAAACAACAACAACAAAAACGGACCTCTGGAACGAATTACCGTATTTTTCGCTCGATAAGACGCACCAGACCACAAGACGCACCTAGTTTTTGGAGGAGGAAAACAAGAAAAAAAATATTCTGAATCTCAGAAGCCAGAACAGCAAGAGGGATCGCTGCGCAGTGAAAGCAGTACTCCCTCTTGCTGTTCTGGCTTCTGGGATAGCTGCGCAGCCTGCATTCGCTCCATAAGACGCACACACATTTCCCCTTGCTTTTTAGGAGGGAAAAAGTGAGTCTTTTAGAGCAAAAAATACAGTAAGTTCGTAACCAGAGGTACCGCTTTACAGTGCTAGATGGACCCAACAGTCTGTATAAGGGGGCTTTCTGCGTTGCTAAGTGGTAACCGGAGAGCAGAACGCATGGTGCGCAAACCTATGGAACAAACCCTGTGTGCTGTGGTCTCCGCAGCAAAGTGCCCAAACCCTTGTTACCCGTCCCTGCTCATTTGGGAGGCATTGGGGCAAAAACGCATCAAGAAGAAATAAGGCACATCCCAGCTGCTTCCTGCAGCGCCAAGAAAAGCATCACCCGCCACAGACCTGGAAACAAGGCGCCATGCACAAGGCAATGATTATTCCAAGCTTGCTCCAGGGGTTATGAAGCCTGCATTTCAAACAAGAGACTGCCAGCATCTCCTGAGCACTTGCAGTCTTGCTGCGCGAATTGCGCCCAGCTGTTTGCACAGGGGAGGCGGCTGGGTTTAGCTAGTGGTCAATATTTGCTTTCATTTCTCATTAATAGCAATCCTCAGTCTTTAAAGCAAAGCACCCAGGTAGGTAGGGAACGGCTGTTGCATCCATATTTTCTGGGCTTTGCACAGCAGCGATGAAACTTTCCTTGTACCGATGGTTCACTTGGCTCAGTGATGTCTGCGTTGCCTGCCTCCAGGGCTTCCCATTGGGTACCTTTCTCAGCCCTGCTTGGAGATGCCCCGAGATCGAATCTGGGATCTTCTGCATGAAAAGCAGGTAATCTACCACTGGCCTACGACACGCACCCCCCGATGTTCCTGCTTGCCCCATACAGGGCAAGCCAGACCCCAGTGAAGTGGCAATACCTAGAGGGGTGTGTGAGAACAGGATGCCACTGGCCTGACCTAGCAGGCCCTTCTTTCGTTCTTACCTGGTTACAAGGTGTGCGTCTGAACTCAAACGTGGGTCTGAATACACTCAGGTGTATTTATGCACACGATACAAAGAGATTTAGGACCTTTTGCTAGAGTTACAGCACATGTCTGTTATGCAGATCTGTTTCCTCTTAACCATATGCCCACGAGATGTTCTCACACCAGAGGAATAAAGAAAAATGGGTTTCTTACTTGAAATGAAAAAGAGAATGAAGCATATGGAGATAAATAACTATGCAACTTTTAGAAGGCACTTGAAGGCAGCCCTGTATGTTGTTCTTGTTAGTCGTGTCCGACTCTTCATGACCCCCTGGACCAGAGCACGCCAGGCACTCCTGTCTTCCACTGCCTCCCGCAGTTTGGTCAAACTCATGTTCGTAGCTTTGAGAAGACTGTCCCACCATCTCATCCTCTGTCGTCCCCTTCTCCTTGTGCCCTCCATCTTTCCCAACATCAGGATCTTTTCCAGGGAGTCTTCTCTTCTCATGAGGTGGTCAAAGTCTTGGAGCCTCAGCTTCAGGATCTGTCCTTCCAGTGAGCACTCAGGGCTGATTTCCTTAAGAATGGAGAGGTTTGATCTTCTTGCAGTCCATGGGACTCTCCAGAGTCTCCTCCAGCACCAGAATTCAAAAGCATCCATTCTTTGGCGATCAGCCTCCTTTATGGTCCAGCTCTCACTTCCATACATCACTGCTGGGAAAACCATGGCTTTTACTATACGGACCTTTGTTGGCAAGGTGATGTCTCTGCATCTGAAGGCAGCCCTGTATAGGGAAGTTTTTTATGTTTGATGTTTTATTATGCTTTTATATTTGTTGGAAGCCACCCAGAGTGGCTGGGGCAACCCAGTCTGATAGGTGGGGTACAAATAAATAAATTATTACTATTATTTAGCATACAGATGCTGCTTTCGGTCAGCAAAGTTACAAATGCTATATATCTGTCCTGAAGTCAGTGGCACCTGAGTCAGAGAGGAAGAGGGCGGTACCTTTTGTTGGAGAATTATGCCCTCCCCATCAGTAACCTGTACCAGCAAGGCTGCAGCACCTTTCCCAACAATTTCTTGGTCTGGGCTCCAGTGAAATGTAAAACTGGTCCTTGGGATGGTTGAGAAGCGAAGAGGGCTCCCGCTGCAGCTTTTGCTAGCCAACTATGGAAAATGCGGAGTAAGGATGTGGGTGGCGCTGTGGGTTAAACCACAGAGCCTAGGACTTGCCGATCAGAAGGTCGGCGGTTCAAATCCCTGTGACGGGGTGAGCTCCCGTTGCTCGGTCCCAGCTCCTGCCAACCTAGCAGTTCAAAAGCACGTCAAAGTGCAAGTAGATAAATAGGTACTGCTACGGCGGGAAGGTAAACGGCGTTTCCGTGCGCTGCTCTGGTTCGCCAGAAGCGGCTTAGTCATGCTGGCCACATGACCCGGAAGCTGTATGCCGGCTCCCTCGGCCAGTAAAGTGAGACGAGCGCCGCAACCCCAGAGTCAGCCATGACTGGACCTAACAGTCAGGGGTCCCTTTACCTTTACCTTTAAACGCTATTTTGGACCACGACATTGTATTAGAAAGGGGAGGGAGTCTTTTGGATGCTATGGTCTTCGTATGAAGGACTTATATACAAATTCAATAATAAATAAATGTCACAATACTTCCATTTCTTCTGTTTCTTTGTTTATTCCCTGTAAGTTCCTGTTAGTTATTTGCAGTTGAAAGGAGAGAAATGACTATAAACTGGTTATCTTGTTTGTTTCCTGAATTACCTTTGGTATATTCATTGTGTATGTGGAGCTCGTTCTTCTTACAGAAGGGGATAATAAAATCTTGCTGATTACTATGCTGATCTTTATATAAAGTATTAAGGTATCAGGAGTTTACCAATGCTTTCCAGGCCATGTCTGGAGGTAAGAACAAGCACCGGGATTTAAAGAATTCATGATGTGTGTGAGGGTCCTCATATCGCATACTGCCACCTTATATTCATGGCATGATCTGCAGAGGTAAGCCATGTAAAAAGCTCAGATTGATACACATGGGTGCTTTGGTTGAGATTCCTACATCTCAGGGGGTTGGACTGTTGTTGTTGTTGTTGTTTAGTCGTTTAGTCGTGTCCGGCTCTTCGTGACCCCATGGACCAGAGTACGCCAGGCCCTCCTGTCTTCCACTGCCTCCCGCAGTTTGGTCAAACTCATGTTGGTAGCTTGGAGAACACTGTCCGATCATCTCGTCCTCTGTCGTCCCCTTCTCCTTGTGCCCTCCATCTTTCCCAGCATCAGGGTCTTTTCCAGGGAGTCTTCTCTTCTCATGAGGTGGCCAAAGTATTGGAGCCTCAGCTTCAGGATCTGTCCTTCCAGTGAGCACTCAGGGCTGATTTCCTTCAGAATGGAGAGGTTTGTTCTTCTTGCAGTCCATGGGACTCTCAAGAGTCTCCTCCAGCACCAGAATTCAAAAGCATCAGTTCTTCTGCGATCAGCCTTCTTTATGGTCCAGCTCTCACTTCCATACATCACTACTGGGAAAACCATAGCTTTAACTATACAGACCTTTGTTGGCAAGGTGATGTCTCTACTGGGGTTGGACTAGATGACTCCTAAGTTACCTCCCAATTCTGCAATTCCACAATTAGAATCTTGTGCTAAAAGTTGACCGAGATGCTTCTGCACTTGGCATAATACGCAACCAGAGGTAAACATCTCCTTCCCGGAGATGGTTGTTCAAGCCCTGTAATTTGGTTTTCGGGCACGCAGGTCCCGCCAGACAAATTCATTTACGCTGGCCGCCTAGCTTGTCAAACTTAATCTCCACTTTGGACAGAAGAATGGGAGAGGAAAGATCTTTTCTGAGCAAGGAGCTTTGCCTCCTTGAAAGGGCCTGGCAACTTCTGCTCAACTCCATAAAACCTCGGTGCCTTTCTGCCACTAATGGCTTTTTCCAAGCACCAGCCATTGCAAATGGCGCCAGTTTCTAGGAGAGTTGAAATTCATCTAAGGGAAGCTTCAGTGCTTGAGGATGCATTCAATGCTTTTAGCCCCCACCTCTTAAGTCTTCCCTAGTTGAAGAGTTATTTAGATGTTCAATAAAACAAGAAGAACATAGACAGCTGCCTCAAGCCAGACCAGACTTCTGGTCCATCTGGTGCAGGAATGTCTCTGATGAAGTCAGAATGCATCTTGCAAAGACTCAGTTCATCCTCGGACCACAACGGGAAGGGAAAAAAGAAAAGAAACACACAGAAAGACAACAAACAAAGGAGTAATGAACTGGTGTTAAAAAAACAGAGTTGTAGAGTTGGAAGGGGCCCCCAAAGGTCATCCAATCCAACCCCCTGCAACACAGGAATTGAAGCCAACGAATCCCTGAGGGATGGCCACCAAACCTGTTCAAAAACCTTCAGTGAAGGAGAGTCTACCAGCTTCCAAGGCAGTCCATTCCACTGTCAAGGGGCTCTTGCCCTCAGAAAGTTATTCCTAAGGTTTAGTTTGAATCTCCTTTCTTGTATTTTGAATCTGCTGGTTTGGGTTCTACTCTCCAGAGCAGCAGAAAGGTTGGTGGTTTGATGGGGTGAGCGCCCGTTGCTTGTTCCCTGCTCCTGCCAACCTAGCAGTTCGAAAGCATGAAGTGCAAGTAGATAAATAGGTACTGCTCCGGCGGGAAGGTAAACGGCGTTTCCGTGTGCTGCTCTGGTTCGCCAGAAGCAGCTTAGTCATGCTGGCCACATGGCCTGGAAGCTGTCTGCGGACAAACGCCGGCTCTCTCGACCAATAGAACGAGATGAGCGCCGCAACCCCAGAGTTGTCTGCGACTGAACCTAATGATCAGGGGTACCTTTACCTTTACCTTTACATCAGAAAAATAACCAGGAGTCATCATAGGGAATTCGCTTTAAAACTTCCTCTTAGTGTCTTGAGGCATTGGAAAAAGGCACAGTAAATGTTAGGGGTTGTTAGAAGATAAAATGGCAAATGTCATTATGTCGTTATATAAACTTTTGCTGCAGTGACCTTTTGAATTCTGCGCAGGGTCCTTTGCCAATCTTGGAGGGGATATTGTAGAACTGGAGAAAGCACAGCAAAGGGTAGCTGCAGCGGCTGAGGACAGATTTGGAATTGTTTCCCTACGAGCAGTGATGCGTGTGTGTTGGAAGGGGGGAGGAATGATTAAAGAGGGGAGATTAGTATTATTAGAGGGTTATGAATCATGACCAACGGAGGGGATGTGAATAAAGAGCAATTCTACATGCGGCTTCCAAACACGACAGCTCGGAGTCATCCGGCGAAATTGATTTTCTGGCGTTCACAAAAGGAAATGTTTCATTATATGAAGCATATAATTAAACTGGGGGATTCGTGGACCCACGGTTAGAGGACTTTTCAAAAAGGGTGCACTCTCAAAAGAATGAAGCTGTAGGTAGGATCGCCATGGGGACCTTTTCCTAATGTGGAGGCAGTGAATCAGGGCCTGGGAAGCTTCCGTGGAACTGTGGAGCTGGGAAGCGTTAGGAAAAGCTCATGGTTCAGCAGCAGCAGCAGCAGCTAAATAGTCAAGCATCTGCTTGCGTACGGAAGGTCCCAGGTGATAATAATAATAATAATAATAATAATAATTTATTTATACCCCGCCCATCTGGCTGGGTTTCCCCAGCCACTCTGGGCAGCTTCCAACAAAATATTAAAAACAATACAGCATCAGACATTAAAAACTTCCCTAAATAGGGTTGCTTTTAAAAGTAAAATATAGTGGTACCTCGGGTTAAGTACTTAATTTGCTCCGGAGGTCCATTCTTAACCTGAAACTGTTCTTAACCTGAAGCAACACTTTAGCTAATGGGGCCTCCTGCTGCCGCCGAGCCGCCGGAGCACGGTTTCTGTTTTCATCCTGAAGCAAAGTTCTTAACCCGAGGTACTATTTCTGGGTTAGCGGAGTCTGTAACCTGAAGCGTGGTTAACCTGAAGCGTATGTAACCCGAGGTACCACTGTATTTGTTTATTGCCTTGACATCCGCTGGGAGGGCATTCCACAGGGCGGGCGCCACCACCAAGAAGGCCCTCTGCCTGGTTCCCTGTAACTTGGCTTCTCGCAGTGAGGGAACCGCCAGAAGGCCCTCAGCACTGGACCTCAGTGTCCGGGCAGAACGATGGAGGTGGAGACGCTCCTTCAGGTATACTGGACTGAGGCCGTTTAGGGCTTTCAAGGTCAGCACCAACACTTTAAATTGTGCTCAGAAACGTACTGGGAGCCAATGAAGATCTTTCAAGACCGGTGTTATATGGTCTCGGCGGCCACTCCCCCTCACCAGGTTCAAACCCCACCAGTGTCTCTCCCACCTGAAACCCTAAAGAAGTGCTGCCAGGTGGGGAACAGAAGGCCAGCGCACCACCGTCTCCACCTACAGGCCAAGTTTCAACACGTGGGCAATTTTGCCCACCTGTCCATCACCTGACATTGCATCTTTGTCTACCTTCCGTCTAGTGTCTCTGAGGATCCGCTCAGCCTCTGTTTCTGTCCTTGTTGCTTGACGTTTAGCCCCCATCCTGAGCTGTGTTGGCATTCCCAGCCACGCCTGGCGTCAGCTGCCTGCCAGTCCCCGGAGGCCCCTTCACGGACCGCTGCTTTGCTGCCACTGAAATGCCCCCGCCATTTTCACTTCTGCCTGCTTTGGCGAGCACGACAGGACTTGACTTTGAGAAAGAGGGAAGGAGGGAAGCAAACGAGGGGAGAAGACAGGGCTCTCCCCTGGCACCTGCACCCGAACGCCCCTTTGTCATGGTGCTGTCTGCAGGTTTGCCAGCAGTCCCCTCCGCCCCCCCAGCTCATATCAGAATTGGAGTTTGCAAGTGGCAATGGCAACACTTTTCCTTGGCTGAGATCTCCGATCGGGAGGGAGAGACAGGTCTTTCAGCGGGACTTGGGGCCAAAGCAAAGGATGCTTAGAGTCTGTTTCAGTGTCCCAGGAACTTAGGAACCTGCCTTATACAGAGTCAGCCCATTGGTCCATTCAGCTCAGTACTGCACACACTGACTGGCAGGGGCTCACCATGCGGGGTTTCAGAATGGGGATATGCCTGGCCCTGCCCTGAGATGCCAGGGATCAAACTTGAGTCCTCTCTGCATGCAAGAGGCTCTACTACTGAGATACAGCCCATCCCCTAAAAATATATCAAGATTCTAGTCCTTAGTGAAGTAGGCAGCTTTTCTTGCTGTTGCTTCATGCAGAAGGTACCGGATTCAATGCCTGCCACGTTCCAGCAGTCCACTTAATACAGAATTGCCAAGATATCTACGTATCTATGGGACCGCCTCTCATGGTCTGCCCCGCAGAGGACCTTAAGGTCCATGAATAATCATAGTTTAGAGGTCCCGGGCCCTAAGGAAGTCAGATTATCCTTCACCAGGGCCAGGGCCTTCTTAGTGATGGCTCCGACCTGGTGGAATGCTCTGTCCCATGAGACCAGGGCCCTGCAGGATTTAACTTCCTTCCGCAGGGCCTGTAAGACAGAGATATTCTGCCTGGCTTTCAATTTGAATTTAGACTGATCTTTTATTCCCCTTCCTTCCCTCCCTCTCCCCTTTTTATGAAGATTACCTGCTCTGGGATCCCACAGCTAATTCTCCCCTGGTCTCCTCGCTGGCCCAAGTAGGACCAATTCAGCCAGCTAGCCCTGGGGATTATCTAATGCTTATCAGATGGATTTCCCCTAAATCGATTTCTGAACTTTGAATTTTATTGTTATTCATGTTTTTATACTGTATTTTATGCTGCTTTTACAATTAAGTGTTTTAAAGTGTTTTAAATTTGTTGTTAGCTGCCCTTAGCCCAGTTTTTGAACCAGGAAGGCGGGATATAAATAAATTATTATTATTATTATTATTATTATTATTATTATTAGGGCCAACTCCTATGGGCTGAGGTGTCTTCGGCCTCCTCTATGTTGCTTAGCAGGGGACTCAACCCCCCGAACCGGGTCCCTTCCTACTCTACAATCCTATGAACCCTATGATTCCCGCAAGCTTCTCACACAGCAAACAAGAACCAGAGAGTTTTGACCCTGTCGCTCATCTTAGCTTCCTGCCCCTGGCCTGAGGAGCAGAGAAATGAAACCTGTCTCGCATAAAGTAAGTTAGCAACCCCTAATGCATTCCTCTTCTGTATGCCATGAAGAGAACAAAGATCCCTGAAGGAGACCGCACCCCACCACCAAAGTAGAAATATTTCTCTCTTTCCCTCGAGAGCACGGCCCACGCCCAAGCTGAGCTGTGCATTCCTGACGATCGGAAAAATTGCTTTTAAAGGATGAGATCTGCACTCTGCAGAGCTCAGTGGGGGTTTTTTTTGGGGGGGGGACACGCCACATACACACAAACACCCTTTACCCCTACCCATAGGGTGATGGTGTTAAAATGCGAGCATGCAAGGGCCCTGATCCATGGAGGTCTTTTCCCCCCCACTGCGTATCGAACACACAGCCCACAGAGACGTCTCTGAGCGCCCGGGTTGAAGGTCAAGGGAGCGACTTGTGAAATCAGACTGAAGTCGGGAAGCACCACTCCGAAAGCCGCTCTCGGAGCCGAAGGCCAAGCTGTCAACAAATTAATACGGACGAGCCGCAAGGACGCGCTTGTTCCTGAATGCTGATTTAGTCATTTCTACAAAGCAGCAAACGGATCATGCTGTAAGAGACATGGTGTGTGTGTGTGTGTGTGTGTGTGTGTGTGTGTGTGTGTGTGTTCAGGTGGTGATCCTGAGGTCCGACAGCAGCATCCGCCCTCCCACCTTGAACCAGGTGGATGCAAGCCTGTCTTTTTTTTTGCTGAAATCAGTAGCGCCTAGCCTTGTCCGATGCCACCATTAAGTAGACCTAAACAGGGTCATTTTTACGCCAAGGACTCCCTACCAACGGCATGTGAATCTCCCCGCAAACCCACGCAACAAACCGCAAAACTGGGTCACTTTGCTTTTCATGTCGGCATTCATTTAGACAACATTGCTTCATGCATACTAAAGAAAAGACTCTTACAGTACTTTATATCCTGCAAGCAGCAATTTGTACGTCTCCAGCCAAAGTCCACAAGGCCGCTCAGTGTCATCCCAAAAGATGATGATGATGACAACAACAACAAAACAACATAATAATAATAAATTTATTTATTTATTTATTTATTTATTTATACATACATACCCCAACCATCTGGCTTGGTTTCCCCAGCCACTCTAGGCGGCTTCCAACAGAATATTAAAATACCTATTAAACATTAAAAGCTTCCCTAAATAGGGCTGCCTTCAGATGTCTTCTAAAAATAGGATAGTTGCTTATTTCCCGCTCTGCAGTTTGCTTGGGGTGGGGGTCGCTGCAGTTGCCCTACCAGTTGCAGGATGGCACAGATGGGGAATTTGTGGCCCAGCAGAAGTTAGAATAGAATAGAATAGAATAGAATTTATTATTTATGCCCCGCCCATCTGGCTGGGTTTCCTCAGCCACTCTTGGCAGCTTCCAACAAAGTATTAAAATACAGTGGTCTGTTAAACATTAAAAGCTTCGCTAAACAGGACTGCCTTCAGATGGCTTCTAAAGGTCTGGTAGTTGTTTTTGTCTTTGACATCTGACGGGAGGGATTTCCACAGGGTGGGTGCCATTACCGAGAAGGCCCTCTGCCTGGTTCCCTGTAACTTCGCTTCTTGCAGCGAGGGAACCGCCAGAAGGCCCTCGGAGTTGGACCTCAGTGTCCGGGCAGAACGATGGGGGTGGAGACGCTCCATCATCATCATCATCATCATCATCATCATCATGTTTATATGCTGCCCATCTGAAGGGATTTCCCTAGCCACTCCGGGCAGCTCTCAACAAAATATTAAAAATAGCAAAACATCAAAGATTAAAGTCTAGGCATTAATTTAATTTAATTTGGTTTCTTTTTTAAAAAAGTATTTTTATTGAATTTCCAACATATTATTATTATTATTATTATTATTATTATTATTATTATTATCCTCCCACCCTTTCCCTAAACTGGAACTCAAGGCTGCTCGCAAAAATTAAATACAAACAAAAATGCACATAGCTAAAAACACGCAGAAGATCATTGCTAAAATGTAAATGAACTCAAAATTAAAATATATATTGAAAAATCAGTTCTATTACAATACAGATAATAAAAACAGCAAAGTGCTGCTTGAAAGCCCTTTCCTTAAAAAACAGCCTGTTCTCAAAGGCCTGTTGGAACAAGGAGGTCTCCACCTGCCAGCAGAAGAATAGCAAGGAGGGAGCCAGTCTGGCTTCTCTAGGGAGCAGCCACCAAGAAGGCCCTCTCCTGCCTCCCCACTAAGAATGCCTGTGAGGGTGCTGGCGACAGAGCGAAGGGCCTCCCCGGAAGATCTCAGAGCCCGCTAGAGGTTCATATGGGAGAATATGGTCTTTAAGATTGTTGTTGTTTAGTCGTTTAGTCGTGTCCGGCTCTTTGTGACCCCCTGGACCAGAGCACTCCAGGCACTCCTGTCTTCCACTGCCTCCCGCAGTTTGGTCAAAGTCATGCTGGTAGCTTGGAGAACACTGTCCAACCATCTCGCCCTCTGTCGTCCCCTTCTCCTTGTGCCCTCCATCTTTCCCAACATCAGGGTCTTTTCCAGGGTGTCTTCTCTTCTCATGAGGTGGCCAAAGTCTTGGAGCCTCAGCTTCAGGCTCTGTCCTTTCAGTGAGCACTCAGGGCTGATTTCCTTCAGAATGGAGAGGTTTGATCTTCTTGCAGTCCGTGGGACTCTCAAGAGTCTCCTCCAGCACCAGAATTCAAAAGCATCCATTCTTCGGCGATCAGCCTTCTTTGTGGTCCAGCTCTCACTTCCATACATCACTACTGGGAAAACCACAGGCATTTCTCTCATAGTGAATACAGCTGCAAGGAGTTGCAGAGAAGTTCTAAGGCAAATAGCACACACAATTTTATCAATTTCACTCCCATACGTCTCTTCGGAAGTTGCATGTGTTTGTGGTGGTCTTTGGGTTTGATCATCCCTACGCAAGTGAAAGATGAAGGGTTGCCAAGCTGCGTGGTCTTGAGCAGGGGTCAGCAAACTTTTTCAGCAGGGGGCCGGTCTACTGTCCCTCAGACCTTGTGGGGGGCCAGATTATATTTTTTTTGGGGGGGGAATGAACGAATTCCTATGCCCCACAAATAACCCAGAGATGCATTTTAAATAAAAGGACACATTCTACTCATGTAAAAACACGCTGATTCCCAGACCGTCCGCGGGCCAGATTGAGAAGGCGATTGGGCGTTTCTTTGTTCTGGCTCCAGCCAACCTAGCAGTTCAAAAGCACACCAGTGCAAGTAGATAAATAGGTACCACCGTGGTGGGAAGGTAAACGGCGTTTCCATGCGCTCTGGTTTCCTTCACGGTGTCCCATTGCGCCAGAAGCGGGTTAGTTATGCTGGCCACATGTCCCGGAAAACCTGTCTGTGGATAAATGCCTGCTCCCTCGGCCTGAAAGCGAGATGTGCGCCGCAACCCCATAGTCACCTTTGACTGGACTTAACCGTCCAGGGGTCCTTTACTTTTATCTTTTACATTAGTCTCTTGGGGGCTTCTCTTCTTTCCAATCCAAGGAGTCCATTTCAGGCCTGACGCTTGTGTTCCTCGCCTCCTAGTTGGTGATGATGTTCAGCATGTGCCAGGGGATGGGAGAAGGCCCTGATTCCCCCCCTTTTTGCTTGTCCTCCTTTTAAGTATTCTTCCCATCGTCAACAATTTTTATGACGGCCCTCCTGCACAACAGGGAGCAATTAAAGTCTGCCTGCAGCCCTGCTTTCTGTTGTTGTCTCTGATCTGGGACCGTTGCAGCTGAACCTGGTTCACGTTCCTTAATATTCTGATCCAGTGCTTTCCCCGTGGCTGGCTCACGTCGGGAGCGGATCTGCCAGCTTAGTGTGGCTGAGCTGCCTATCTCCCTTCCTCCTTGCAGCCGAGAGAGAGAAAGAGGCTGCGTAGAATATCAGCACTGGTTGCTCATCCAAGGTTGAGAATGGCAGGTTTGCTGAGAGCCCATTGCAACCTGTATCTGCCCTATACAGTGGTACCTTGGGTTACATACGCTTCAGGTTACATATGCTTCAGGTTACAGACTCGGCTAACCCAGAAATAGTACCTCGGGTTAAGAACTTTGCTTCAGGATGAGAACAGAAATCGTGCTCCGACGGCGCGGCAGCAGCAGGAGGCCCCATTAGCTAAAGTGGTGCTTCAGGTTAAGAACAGTTTCAGGTTGAGAACGGACCTCCGGAACGAATTAAGTACTTAACCCAAGGTACCACTGTACCTTGGGTTACAGACGCTTCAGTTTGCGTGTTTTCGGGTTGCGCACTGCGCCGAACCCGGAAATAATGGAACGGGTTAATTTGAGGTTTGGGCACTCACGCATGTGCAGAAGCACTAAATCATGCTTTGCGCATGCGCAGAAGCGCCGAATCGCAACCCGCACGTGCGCAGACGCAACGCTGTGGGTCGCAAACGTGCCTCCCGCACGGATCACGTTCTCAACTCAAGCATCCACTGTACTGGAGTTGGCTTGCTGGTCAGTTAGGCAGCCATGATGACCATCCATTACAGGTTTGGGGGATATTTTTCAAGGTCTAGGTGGAAATTTGCCTCCCTCTCCTGCATTGCCAGTGAAAGTTGCCTAGAGGCCACATTTGCATGGTGAAGATCTGTGTCTTAGACAATGTAATTCAGCAGGCTGGCGTCCTTCTACATGCAAAAGAGATGCTCTGTGGCTGAGCTGTGACCCTTAGGGTGGTACATAGCACACAGGGCTTAAATAGTCTCACAGTTCCTGGCACCCTTCGCCACCCCAGTTCCCTTCTAGGAAAGGAACAAGGAGCAATGGAACCCAGGCCAGGCGTTCATGTGCCTTTGTAGATTCTAAAGAGGCTTACAGGTGCCTGTCTGGGGCACAAAATTCCAGCGTTCTCCATAACTTCCAAGCAGTCAGTAACTCTTCAATTTTTTTGCACACTTAATTTTTATGACTTAGCTAGCATTTCTGAGATTTGTTCTATCAGCAAATAGGCGATTGCGTCGCAGACTGCTCTCCTTTGTTTTGCTGATTTTGGACTATTCCTGTTTGCATTGCAATCATGAGGATGATGATGATGATGAAGAAGAAGATGATCATGTTGTGATTTACTCCCAATTCTGTCAGAAACGGAAGTGGGTTGCTTGTCCATCAGAGGTCTGGAATGGAAATAGCGAAAGCGAAAAATGAGTAGTATTCACCTTTGAGGGGTTTTTTTTGTAGCCTGCAACAGTTACATAAATGATTGTGTTATTTACTGCATTGCTTTGACATTTCCATTCTGTTGAAGCACACTGAAATTAATTCCATAATTACGTAAGTTTCAGCCATAGCAGAAAAGTGAGATGAATAACATAGGAGGTTTTTAGTGGAAGCTGAACTGTGGTGGAACATAAGCAGCACTGATTGCAATGAACTCAGGACAGGACAGAAACTGCTTCCTCTGCACAGCCTTAACTCCCAGGTTCTGTGAACTTTCTGCTGGCTGACAGGAGAAAGGGGCGTTAAACCAACAGCTTTACTGACCAGAGGCCTAAACAGCGAGGTTTTTCACCTAGCGTTTGAAGGCCAGCAGTGCGGGTTCCAGGTTCATTGGAAAGGGAGTTCAGGGCCAAGGCAACCACCATAGAAAAATCCTTCCTGCATGTCCCACCAAATGAAGTGTTCCTAGCAGAGGAACTCTTAAGAAGTGCCTTCCCGGGCAACCTAAATTTGTGGGCAGCCTCATCGGGGGGGGGGGGGAGGCGCTCCATCAAGTACCATATTTTTTGCTCTATAAGATGCACCAGACCACAAGACGCGCCTAGTTTTTGGAGGAGGAAAACAAGAAAAAAAAATATTCTGAATCTCAGAAGCCAGAACAGCAAGAGGGATAGCAGTGCAGTGAAAGCAGCAATCCCTCTTGCTGTTCTGGCTTCTGGGATAGCTGCGCAGCCTGCATTCGCTCCATAAGACGCACACACATTTCCCCTTACTTTTTAGGAGGGAAAAAGTGAGTCTTATAGAGCAAAAAATATGGTATTTAGGTCCCAAGTCAATCAGGGCTTTGTACCCTTTTAGTTTCCTTGCCAACAACCCTGAGCGAAGAAGCCGAGAGATTGTCTCGATCTGTCACTAAGGCGTCCCCATCCACCCATTCTATTCCCTGGAGCATGTGAAATAATAATAATAATAATAATAATAATAATAATAATAATAATTTATTTGTTTATACCCCAGCCACTCTAGGCAGCTTCCAACAAAATATTAAAATACCATAATGCATCAAACATTAAAAGCTTCCCTAAACAGGGTTGCCTTCAGATGTCTTTTAAAAGTCTGGTAGTTGTTGTTCTCTTTTACATCTGGTGGGAGGACGTTCCACAGGGCAGGCGCCACCACCGAGAAGGCCCTCTGCCTGGTTCCCTGTAACTTGGCTTCTTGCAGTGAGGGAACCGCCAGAAGGCCCTCGGAGCTGGACCTCAGTGTCTGGGCTGAACGATGGGGTAAAGACACTCCTTCAGGTATACTGGACTGAGGCTCTTTAGGGCTTTCAAGGTCAGCACCAACACTTTGAATGGTGCTCGGAAACGCACTGGGAGCCAATGTAGGTATTATGTGGTCCCAGCAGCCGCCCCCAGTCACCAGTCTAGCTGCCACATTCTGGATTAGTTGGAGTTTCCGGATCACCTTCAACGGTAGCCCCACATAGAGCGCATTGCAGTATTCCAAGCGGGAGATAACCAAAGCATGCACCACTCTGGCAAGACAGTCTGGGGCAGGTAGGGTCTCAGCCTGCGTTAAGAACAACAATGGTGCAGTGCTTTTCCGGTCATCCTTTTCATGTCTTTGAAAATGGGAGACGTGAGCAGTACTGGCTCTGCTCCTTTTTGGCCCTATCACATTTCCTCTCAGAGGTCAATTTTGTTTGCGCTGGATTGCCTGCGCACGTGCTGGGGGGGGGGGCGGGAGCTGAATCATTTGGCCTCCCTTTCGGCAGCATTCAGAGGTTGCTGCTTCGCTCCTTCGATGCGACCTTCCTTCTGCTGCGAGCAGGGCCCTATCGCATGGCCAGATCCATGCAGATATCGTGCAACAGCCATGGGGAGGGTCTTTCCGGCTGGCATGGCCGGTCCAGGGCTGCTGGGGATCACTCTGCCCCCTCCTCTGGTTTTGCAGCCTGCACAGCAAATCTCAGAGCAAAATCCACAGGGCCAGCAGAGCGTTGCTGGGGGCAGACGAGCCGCCACATGCCTGCTTTCCGAAGGCTGACGGATGCCTTCCTCGCCTGACCTTGATGCTCGTCCTTTTAGAAATCCCCTGAGCAATCTTGTGCGCCTTTCTGTGGGTCTTCGCCATCCATTTTCATTCAGCTTTTCCTAATCTGTTGACGTTCAGCTGGGACACATCGTGACCCAAAGTGGATTGAATCTCTGGCGCCATTGTTCGTTGCCCCTTCGCTACACGCCACCTCAATCTCCCAAGCGTTGTGAGACTTGTTTTATTTTTAATATTTTTTGTTTTGCTTTTAGACTTCTATACTGCCCTTCATCGTAAGATTTCAGGGCGATTCACAAGATAAAAGTATAAGGTAAAAGCACAAATAAATAATTCAAACCAAAACATCAAAACAATGACAACAATCCCCCCTCCCACAAACACCATGGAAAGGCTGCAGATTTTTAATCAGCTAGCTGATTTCAGGTGCTTACCTAGGAAGCCACCAATGTAGGGGGACCATCACATATATCGTTCAAGGGGGAGCTCCATGTCACCACCCTGGGGAAAACCCTGTCCATGTCAATGCTGTCAGAGGTACCTCAAGAAGGGCTGTCCCCTGCAGATTGCGGAGCCGGAGAAGGCAGGAATAGGAGTAGGCAGCCCCTTAAGTATTTGGGTCCTAAAGCACCTTGAATTGGGCCTGGCAGCAAACAGGCAGTCAGTGCAACTCCCAAAGGAAAGGTGCACCTCCACTCTCAACTTCAGTTTATTAGCTCCCATCCAACCTGTTGCTGCCCTAAGTGAACAAGATCTGCAGTTGCCTGTTGCGTATTTAATTTTATAATGTGGCCCAGCATTGCGGGGCTCAGGGGACAGAGAGCCAAGTACGGGTGGCCAAAATTAAAAGGAGGCCCTGGACCCCTTTGGAAGGAAGGGAGGGAACAGAAAATGAATGAATGCTTGAATGCCTTGTTGCTGTTTGGAATAAAATCTTCCCGCTCCACCTGAAAAAATGTCCCAAAGAAAAGGTTTGTTTTGCTAAAGGAAGCACCCCGATTATCACACCTAATGCATTTTGTGCATAATCGCTCTTAAGCAGAGGCAATGAAGAAACGGCCTCAACGTTGCAATTTAACCATTAAATCACCACATTTATACCTTTAATATGGCATTCACTGCCGTGAGAAGAGGGCCTGCGGGAGCTGCGATTCAAAGATTCGATTAGCGTTGGCAGTTGCCAAGTGTAACCAAAACTGCACACTTAGGATTTTGCTTAACCTTTGACAGCGGCAAGCACTCGGAGGCCGCTGTGGTTAGGCGTTTCCTTAGTCGCCTGACCACTCTTTTTTACGTGAACACATATGCCTTTTAACAAGGCATTCTGTGTGTTGCATCAACACTCACACGTTTTGTGGAGCAATGGTTCTGTTTTATCTTTGGAGTAAATCCTGTGTTTTGGAAGGGGAGGGCTATAGCTCAGGGGCTCATGCAACCAGACCGTGCCCTCCACTGTCTCTGACCGCAGCAGGTTCTGCACCCCATCTCTTGCACTACTGCAATGCGCTCTACGTGGGGCTACCTTTGAAGGTGACCTGGAAATTGCAATTAATCCAGAATGCGGCAGCTAGACTGGTGACTGGGGGCGGCCGCTGGGACAACATAACACCGGTCCTGAGAGATCTGCATTGGCTCCCAGTACGTTTCCGAGCACAATTCAAAGTGTTGGTGCTGACCTTGAAAGCCCTAAACGGCCTTGGTCCTGTATACCTGAAGGAGTGTCTCCACCCCCATCATCCAGCCCAGACACTAAGGTCCAGCTCCGACGGCCTCTGGCGGTTCCTTCATTGTGAAAAGTGAGGTTACAGGGAACCAGGCAGAGGACCTTCTCGGTAGTGGCGCCCGCCCTGTGGAACGCCCTCCCATCAGATGCCAAGGAAATAAGCAGCTATCTTATCTTTAAAAGACATCTGAAGGCAGCCCTGCTTAAGGAAGTTTTTAATGTTTAATGCTGTATTGTTTTTAACACTCGGTTGGGAGCCGCCCAGAGTGGCTGGGGAAACTCAGCCAGATGGGCGGGGTATGTATAAATAATAAATAAATAAATAAATAAATAAATTATTATTATTATTATTATTATTATTATTATTATTATTGCTGCTGCTGCTTGCCACCCTCCAGCTTCCGCTGTCTGAGGCAATCACCTCACTCTGCCCAACAGCAGGGACAGGCATGGAAGTGCAGGAGGGCTTGTGGTTCCAGGCCAGAGCTTCTCCTTTGTGTGCAGGAGACACGCCCCCCCCCCCGGTTCAATCCCTGGCACGTTTCCACCGACAACAGCGCATGGTGTGAGCCACCTGTGAGCTCTAGAAAGCCCCGGAGTTCTCTTGCCATGCGCAGAGGCTCCTTCGCAGACACGCAGGGTCTTGCCTGCAGGCAGGTCGATGGAAAGTAGCGTCTAATCCTAAGATGGAGAGTCCGAAAGCCACTCTTCCCAGAATTTTGGCAGGGCCATCCAAGCGAGTTAATGCCATGGTGCAAAGATCACGAGATTATAATTATTTCTGCGCATGAAATATTAATTGGGAGCGGGATGGAAAATCTCTGGTTCCACGGCAAACTCCAATTAAGAGTCAGAGTTCCTCGCTTGAGGAGATGCCACTGGAATAGCAATGGTGAGGAGCTGATAGGAACCAGGAGCCAGAGTGTCAAGGGCGACTTTCCTCCTTTCTTCCTTTTAATATTATTTTCATTCCTGCTGAATGTGAATTTTGCTGAACCTAAAAGTGCACGGACGGGGAATATGGGTCTGCTTTCCTAAAGGTCAGGAGTCTTTCCGTATGCAGCTGTGGCGAGTGCCTTGCCAAATACAAGGTGGTTCTTTTAAAATGAGATTCAGAGGTAATACAAAACACAAGTGGGCGAGAAGATTAAAGATGCTATTTTAAACAGCAAACAATATATACATACCAAGCACGCATTTCAATCTGCCACTTAGAAGCCCTCCCTCAAGAAGTGGAGAAGTGACTCCCCCAGGTAGCTTCAGTTTGCAGGGCCCCACGGCCAGATCAGTCTGTGCATGAGCTTCTCAGAAGTTTTGCCCACAGCCATCCAATTTATAGATAGCTAGATACATGCAGATTATTCATTAGTCACTCCCTGTCAATGCCTCCCTTTCTTAAAACAATGTCCAACATCCAAGAAGATACCCATCACTATCTCTTCCTCCTAACTGATTAGGACATTATAGGCTGCTCTCATGCCATCAAAGAACTTCAGAGACAAGGAGAGGAAGGAAGGAAGGAAGGAAGAGGACAACCATGTCAGGTCACTGACTCCTTGATATACAGTTTTTCTTCCACATAGATTGCCCATACAGTGGGTGGCGTGGCGTGTCCTTCTTCTCCTTCCAGCAAAAGACTTTCCTGGCTAGGCTGGGGTGAGCGACGGAAGAGCAACCATGTTTGCCTCTGGCGAATGGTCCTTCCAGCAAATTCTGCATGCCTTGTACCACGTCCATCGGTCGTCTTAAGTTTCTGGGTACACGTTTGCAGGTTTGGGGCTGGAGAGGACAGGACTTTGCCATTGTAACTCCATGGGGACAGCATTGACTCCTGGGCCTCGGAGCCTTCAGGTACAGAAGAGGACAGATCAGTGTTTTGTTGGCCGCTGCACACAGCAGGTCTTGGGCTCAGTCTGTGACATCTCCAGTCAAAAGGATCTCAGGCCTGGAAAATGTAGGGCAGGAGTAGCCATGGGGTTCAGACATGGCGCAGAACCCCATGAGCAAAAGGAACATGCATTGGCATCTGGGTTGGCTATCAAATGCATTCTCATGTCTGCTGGAGATCTGTGTCCTGTTGTACTAACTCCAGGTAATTATATTAGGAATGGTAAAGGTAAAGGGTAAAGGGACCCCTGACCATTAGGTCCAGACGCAGACGACTCTGGGGTTGCGGTGCTCACTTTATTGGCCGAGGGAGCCGATGTAGAGCTTCCGGGTCATGTGGCCAGCATGACTAAGCCGCTTCTGGTGAACCAGAGCAGCGCACGGAAACGCCGTTTACCTTCCCGCCGGAGCGGTACCTATTTATCTACTTGCACTTTGACGTGCTTTTGAACTGCTAGGTTGGCAGGAGCAGGGACCGAGCAACGGGAGCTCACCCCGTCGTGGGGATTCGAACCACCGACCTTCTGATTGGCAAGTTCTAGGCTCTGTGGTTTAGACCACAGTGGCACCCACGTCCCGTTAGGAAGAAGAGTTTGGAGAGTTTGGATTTGATATCCCACCTTTCCCTCCCTTTAAGGAGTCTCAAAGCGGCTAACATTCTCCTTTCCCTTCCTTCCCCACAACAAACACTCTGTGAGGTGAGTGGGGCTGAGAGACTTCAAAGAAGTGTGACTGGTCCAAGGTCACCCAGCAGCTGCATGTGGAGGAGCGGAGACGCGAACCCGGTTTCCCAGATTACGAGACTACCGCTCTTAACCACTACACCACACTGGCTGTTGGTGGTCCTTTATTACTAGCCTTCGAATGGCCCCATCTGGTGGAGATAAGCCCCTGGTGCTTTTCTGCCTTCAGTCTGGGTGAGTGGAAGTTCCTGCACCTGTTACCTGCATATTTGGCTGGAGGTAGACCAGAGATCTGCTGGTATATCTCTACTCAGAGATTAGCAGGAGATTAGCAAGGATCTCCCAAGATCCCCTAAGCCTGACGTTTGCCCTGTCCTGCCATTGACTAACCTCACATTTACATCTCCATAGCCATAGATCCCACCCACACATCAGTTGATTCCAGTTCCTTGATGCTTACTGTTTCTTCAATTTCCCTTTTCCCCTTTGAGGTGAGCACTCAACTAATGTGGAGCATTGGTAGCAGTTTTGATTCAGGATGAATCATGGAGCCACTTGACCACTTGATCTACAAGTGTTGCTTCCCCTGTACATCTTGCAGATGCTTCAACATCTCCCCAGATTGCTGTGTGCCAAGTTCTGAAAAGACCCTCAAAATAAGGATGCTCTGATCTGCGCACACTGTAATATTGTGTGCCCCAAACAAAGCCCACTGTGTCCCTCTTGGTTTTGTGTATGTTCACCAGTGCTGTAAAATAGTAAGAATATTTTCAGAACTTCTTGTCGCTGCTTGACTAACCATTCTTCAGGGACTAACTTGGCTTTAAGATTCTGAAAAGTTCTGGTTTAGGAAGGTCTTACTTCTTGCCATATCTGAAAAACTCACTCGTTCTTTATGAGCTTCCAGGGGTGAAGCCAAACCTCCAGACTACGCAGCTACGTGGCATTGTTTCACAACTTATGTCAAAAGGCAAACTTTATGGCTGACGTGTTCTTGCAAAGTATGGTGATATCTTGACTTGGTTGTAATCCGGAACTTATTACCGTCCACTCCGCTGTGCTTCTGTGGAACCAAAATCTTATTATTCGTAACATTGCTTTTATCTCTCTGCCACAATCATTTCTCCAATCCACATCTCTTAAGTTGTGGACCATATGACGTGAAACCGGCAAGCCACTGTTTGTTTCTGTACCTCTCAGGCGTTTGCATTGTTATACCGTGTTTTTCGCTCCATAAGACGCACCTAGATTTTAGAGGAGGAAAACAAGAAAAAAATATATATTCTGAACGAAATAGTGGATGTATGATTTTTGTGGTTCATGCTGTGGCCACAGACATGTGATTTGACAGTGAGTTTAGGGTAGCCCAATGCAAAAATCCTGAGAATCCATGTGGATCCGTGCTTTGTAACCACGTTTTTGTGCCATTGCGGCCCCACGAAACAGTGGATGCATGGGGTTTTTTGTGTGCAGGCTGTAGCCATGGATATGCTATGAGAGCTGATGGTGAATTTGGGGTGACCCAATGCAAAAAATCCTGAGGATCCATGGGCTTTTACCTCCCCCCTCCCAGGCAGCCTCTTTTATTGCTAGCGTCCCTTATCTCCCTCCCCAATTGCTTGCTGATCAGCGGCTTTGTTTCAACACCCACTTCCCTCTTTCAAAAAAAAAAAAAGCATGATCTGCTTTTCACCCCTGGGCAATTCGGCTCCAGGGAACACGCATCCACTCCATAAGACGCACAGACATTTCCCCTTACTTTTTAGGAAGAAAAATGTGTGTCTTATGTAGCGAAAAATACGGTAGGTAATGAAATACGTTTTATTTATATATATATATATATATATATATGCAAAAATATAAAGGTGCTTTCATTGTTCCTGCTTCTGACAGCTGCCTTGTGTTCTGCCTCTCCTTGTCCCAGGGCATCATCTCTCCGGTGGAACACGGGGACCAAGGAGCGGATGCTCATCAAGGTGACGGACCGTGAGCCCAGCTTCCTCATGCACCAGGGCAACGGCTACACCCCCGACAACCAGCAGGGCACGCGGTCGCGCCGGCCCTCGGGCGGCCAGCCGTCCCCCAACCTCCAGACTTTTGCCCCCGACTCGGACAACTCTGTCTTCTTCCCGGAGAGGAAGCAGTCACCCTTTCTGAAGCGGGCCGAGCACGTCGGCAGCTGCTCCCCGCTACTGGGGCGCGGCGACTCCTTCTGCTCCCCGCTCCAGGCCCAGCACCGCAAGCACTCCAGCGAGTCGCAGCCGTCGTCTCCACGCTATGCCTACGAGCCGCCCTTGTACGAGGAGCCGCCCATGGAGTACCAGGCTCCTATCTACGACGAGCCGCCCGTGGACATGCAATTTGAGGCCAGCGGGAGCTACAAGGCCGGCTCTCCGCAGAAGTCCCCGATCCGCAAGCCGCACCCTTTCCTGCAGTCACCCAAGCAGGGCTCCAACTCCCCCTACCAGCAGCTGGTCCTGACCAAGCAGAAGGGGCCCGACCGCTTCATGAGCCTGGAGTACAGCCCCGCCGGCAAGGAGTATGTCCGGCAGCTGGTCTACGTCGAGCAGTCGGGCTCCAGCCCCAAGATGAAGACCGGCTTGCGGCACAAATACTCGCCGAACCCCATCGGCGGCTCCTACTCTCTCCAGCACAGCCCTTGCCTGGTGAGGGACCAGCGGCTGGAGGTCAAGTCCGGCGACTACAGCAGCATGGAAGGGGCGGACTTCCGGCACAGCCCGCCCGTCTCGCAGGGGGACGATTCCATGTCGTGGTCCAGCCAGCACAACACCATGTCCTCCACCGGCTACTCGCCCGGCACGCGCAAGAGGAAAAGCCGGAAGCCGTCGCTCTCGTACGACCCCAACGCCTCCTCCACCGACGGCTCGGGCGAGCGGGAGGAAGGGCTGTCGGAGGAGAGGGCGCCCTCGGGCTGCAGCCGGCCCCAGATGAACCGCATGGAGAGCCGCTCAGTGGAGGCCGAGTCGACCCGGGGCTTCCCCGAGCCCTTCCTGGCCCAGGCCCGGCTGGCGTGGGAGGCCCAGCAAGCCCACTACCACATGCGGCAGAGGAGCAGCTGGGACTCGCAGAAGGACGGCTCGGGCTACGAGAGCGACGGAGCGGTGCCCCTCCCCATGCCAGGGCCCGTGGTGCGGGCCTTCAGCGAGGATGAGGCGCTGGCCCAGCAGGAGAACAAGCACTGGAAGCGAAACACCTTCGAGAAGCTCGGCTTCCCCCAGATCCTGCTGGAGAAGAGCGTGTCGGTGCAGACCAACCTGGCATCGCCCGAGCCGTACCTGCATCCGTCCCAGGTGAGGCGCTGGTGTTTCAGGTGCCCCTTTCAGGAAGGGTCCGTCTTGGGAGCAAATCGTCCCTCTGATGATGAGGGAGAGTAGGAAACATTTAAGAAGGATTTATTTGGGGATCGGATTAGGAATCAGTCTTTTACAGAGTCAGACTATTGTTTCATTAGCTTAGTATAGTCTGCACTGACCGGCAGTGTCTGCCTCCAGGGTTTCAGGTAGGGGACGTTCCCGGCTGTACCTGGAGATGCCGGCAGGGATTGAATTTGGGCTATTCTTTGCCCTTGTGCTCCAATCCTGATTTTGAAACTACTATATTTGGCATCCTTGAACTAACGCTATAGAAGAGTTGCTGTCTCCAGTCTGAGTTGTATTGGTATTGCTCGGTGTCCTTTGGGGGACGCGACATAGCTCAGTGATAGGGCCTCTGCTTTGCCTGCAGAGGGTCCCGGGTTCAATTCCTGGTGTCTCCAGGGATGCCTGAAACCCTGGAGAGCCACTGCGAATCGGTCTTGGCAATGCTGAGTTAGATGCATTGCAGGGGGTTGGACTAGATGTCCCTTGGGGTCCCTTCCATCTCTACAGTTCTGTGGTTCTTTTGTATCACCAGTCATCTGATTCTGCATCAGGCAGCTTCCTATGTTCAGCCCCTTTGGCTTCTGCTGCTTCTGAGTATCTTTCGTCATCTTTGACCCTCACCTGCCTACAGTTTCTGCTTAACCCATTTCCTGTGCTGGCCTATGTCAATTTATCCGTGATACCCATAAACCAAACTGTTTCTCCAGGCAATCGCATTCAGCAGCAGCCAGAGCAATGAGAGCTGAGGGCCTGATCCACCAGGCTGTTCTTACGTCCTTAGGTTATTTGCTAAAAAACTGGAGACCTGCTTTCATTGATGCCTCTGGTTTACATTTTACGGCTAGATAACCCTTGGGGTCCCGTCCAAACTCTACAATTCTAGAATTCTGAGATGTTTGCTCTATTAAACCACCAAACCAACCCCTCTCCTTGAAGCTGCTTGGTCTTCCAGCAATCAAGAGATGATGCTGAGCTAAAGGCAAGGCTGGTGGAGCCAGCTGGTCTGTCCAGTCCCCCCAGATGCTTTAAGACAGGTTGCAAATCTTGTGGCCTCCCCAGATGTTGTTCAACAGCTGCCCCCATCATTGCTGACCATGGGCAATCCCCCTACCTGGGGGATGATAGGAGTTGGGGGTCCAGCAACAGGTTAGGTGCTACACAGTCTGGCTTCACGGAGATCTTTTGACTTGTTAGAGCAAGTCAAAAGTCTACCAATTGATGGATTGACTTGGAGGTCCCGGGCCACAGGGAGGTTAGGCTGGCCTCAACCAGAGCCAGGGCGTTTTTGGCTGTGGCCCCGACTTGGTGGAACGCTCTGTCACAAGAGACTAGGGCCCTGCGGGACTTGACATCTTTCCGCAGGGCCTGCAAGACAGAGCTGTTCCACCAGGCCTTTGGCCAAGGCACAGTCTGACCCCCTCCTTCTGTAATCCTCATGGAACTCTAGCCCAATGGTTGCTATTAATTTGATTCTGGTTTAAAATGAATTGATTTTAGAATGCCGTGTTACTTTTATTGTTGTTAGCCGCTCTGAGCCCGGCTTCGGCTGGGGAGGGCGGGATATAAATAAATAAATTATGATGATGATGATGATGATGATGATGATGATGATGCCCCATAGCAGATTCTCCAGTGAGCTTGGAGATGCACCAAGTCCATCTGCCCAAACCCCAGCCAGTGTTTATCTGACGTTGCGCTCGTATAAGGCTTTCTTAGCTGACGCACAGTATACTAACAATTCAAATTGGGGAACGACGGGCCTCTCGATGTTTTTTCCTCTGTGAAGAACGCCCTTTTGAACGCACGCCTCTCTCTTTCCTCCCCCCCCCCCCGATTTTCTTTTATTTCATTCTATAATAAGAGAGAGCAGCTATGGCAACAGATAAAAATTAAAAGATGAGAAGCAAGACTGTGAGATAGGGCTGCAGGATGATTAACCAAGCCAAGTGTGGCGCTTAAGCGAAGCTTGCCAGGGTATCGAAATCTTAGGTTTTGAACCGCGTCCTGGGGTTTTTCACTTCTGATCTTGGAAGCGCTGAGCAGCTGACATTTACACACACACACACGGAAAAATAGCTGGAAAGTATTTTGATTCTGGGAAATGAAAGGCTTTGTGTGAATAACATAGTGGGGAGAGGATTTCAAAGAAACTCGGATGAGTCATACTTTGAGCAGGCTGGTGCTCTGCGTTGCATCAAGGGGCCCGTTCTGATCTCCCTCTCTCCCTTTCTCTCTCTCCCTCTAATTCATAAAGGCACCCTGGAAGGGGCTTCCGAAACAAATTTCAATCTCTGTTTGTTCATTTGAATCTGCTCTTTCTAAAGGGGGGGGCGTTCTCCCCTTCCTCTCTACGCCAGGCAATCCAAACCCTTGGGGGAAACGATTCTCTGCTCAGCAGCCTGGTGTTGCTGGGAGATGGAGATTCAGAAGACGAAATCCGAGCTGCAGAAATAGAGGGCTTGAAGACCCCCCTCCCCTCAACCTGCCCCCCCCCGGCCTGTTTAACATGGGCTGTCAAATATCATCCCAAGCAGGGAAGGTTCCTTCCTTGGCTCAGACTTCAAGGGATAAAGGGGCAGGGTTCGAAGCTCAGTGTTTTGCATGCAGAGATGTCCCCGGTTCTGTTCTTGCCACCTCCAGTTGAAGGGACCTGGGAGGAAGCCATTCGACAGATTCACTTTGGCTCAGGTCTTGGAAGAGCTGCTGCCGGTCCGAGCAGGCAGCATTGGGATAGGCGGACCAATTCTCTGATCTGGGGTAAGGAAGCTTCCCTTGTTCCTAGGGCTACTAAAGGAAGAGAGCTCTGTAATAATAATAATAATAATAATAATAATAATTTAATTTATATCCCACCCTCCCCAGCCGAAGCCGGGCTCAGAGCGGCTAACAGCAATAAAAGTAACACAGCATTCTAAAATCAGTATTCTAAAATCAATTCAAAATCAAATGGCAGCCACTGGGCCAGAGTTCTACGAGGATCGCCAAAGGAGGGGGTCAGACTGTGCCTTAGCCAAAGGCCTGGTGGAACAGTTCTTTCTTGCAGGCCCTGTCAAGTCCCTCAGGGCCCTAGTCTCTTGTGACAGAGCGTTCCACCAGATCGGGGCCACAACCGAAAAAGCCCTGGCTCTGGTTGAGGCCAGCCTAACCTCCCTGTGGCCCGGGACCTCCAAGATGTTTTTATTTGAAGACTGTAAGGTCCTCCGTGGGACGTACCAGGAGAGGCGGCCCTGTAGCTATGAGGATCTAGGCCGTATCAGCATTCAGCAGCCACCAACAGAATAAAAGAATCGTCGAGTCAGAAGGAGGTCCCACGTGTCATCTAGCCCACCCCCCTGCCGCTTAACAGCCAGACCCACTGACCCCACTGCCGTAAGGGCATGAGATCAACCCCATCGACCTGCGTGCCAAGTCGCTGATCCAAGTCGGTGCATGGATGGTACCCATTCTTGGCTGATTGGGGGCAGGGAGAAGGGAAGACAATTGTGATTCCTGCATTGCATTGTGGGGGGGTTGGTCTAGATGAGCCTTGGGTGTCCCTTCCAACTCTTAAGATTCTGTGAGAGCCATGACAGATACGGTGAGCCAGAGTTGAGCAGCTGATGAGCCCTCCATCTTGCTTTTTTCCTTGCCCAGCTTCCAAGGAACACATGCCATTTCCAATTTCCTTGTGGGAGCCATAAGAGCCCCTGCCCATTTTGGGACCCAAGGTGGCCTGGGGGACCTTCACCTCAACGCCCCTCTGCTTCCTCCCCGGCCCACGGCTCTTGGGAAGCTCTCCAAAGCCCTTCCCCCCCCCCCCCGTGCATGTGTTTCTTCATGTCTAGATTACTGCAGTGCGCTCTGTGTGGGGCTTCCTTTGCGCTTCATCCGAGAGCTGCAGTGCAAGGGCTGACAGGAGTGAGGCTTTGGGCATAGAACAGAGATCTGCCCTGGTTGCCAATTACCAATGGGGCCAAGTCCAAGGTGTTACTATTAGCTTTTTTTTTTTTTTAAAGATATTTATTAAAGTTTCAAATAAAAAAGAACACATCAATAAAAGAGAATTTAACAGTAAAAAGAAGAATACACAATACAAAATACAAAATTAAAAATGAAATAATAAGAGAAAAGAAAAAAAAAACAGTTAAAAACAATTCTATCTTTTCATTACTACTTTTGAATTTACTTATTTTCTGGACCTCCTCATACCTCCCTCTTTTGTATTCCAATTTAGTTTATTTGTCCAGCAATTCCTTTCCCTCTTTTTTAATCCCAATCCTTAATCTTAATATAATATAACATTAAATTTTTATCTATTAATAGCCAATTTTCCATTCTTTTAACCTTTTTATTCCTAATCCTTAATCTTAATCTATATATCACTTTAAAGCCTGTATAGCTAGAAACCATTTAATTTCAATCCAACATCACTCTAACATTCATTAATTTTGCAGTATTTCTGTAAATAATCTTTGAATTTCTTCCAATCTTCTTCCACCGACTCTTCTCCCTGGTCACGGATTCTATCAGTCATTTCCGCCAGTTCCATATAGTCCATCAGTTTCATCTGCCATTCCTCCAGTGTGGGGAGCTCTTGTGTCTTCCGGTGTTACTTTTAGCATTTGAAGCCTTTAACAACTTGAGACCAGTTTACCTGCAAGATCGATTGACAGAACTGGCACCCATTCCACGTTTGTAAGAATTCGATATTTTAGTGCGGCTGCACCTGTACTTTGGAACTCCCTGCCGATTGATACCAGGCAAGCACCTTCCCTGTACAGCAGTACCTTAGATTTCAAACACCTTGGCTCCTGAACGATCAAAACCTGGAAGCGAGTGTTCCGGTTTTTGAACGTTTTTTGGAAGCTGAATGTCCGGTGGGGCTTCCGCGGCTTCCGATTGGCTGTAGGAGCTTCATGCAGCCAATCAGAAGCCGCACTTTAGTTTCCAAATGTTTCGGAAGTCGAATGGACTTCCGGAACGGATTCCATTTGATTTCCAAGGTACGACTGTACTCTTTTCAGTGCCTGCTAAAAACAGCCTCACGTGGACAGGCTTACTTAGAAAACTGACGTGACTTTTTTTCTTGATTCTTGGTCTGTTGCTATTTTAACTTTCCATATGTCTTAAATCTATTTTTCTTAGCAATGATTTCATTGCACTATCTTCTCCTTTTTTTTGTAAATCGCTTTGAGGTTTCTTGACAGTCGAGCAGAGTATAAATTTGATCAAGTTAAGGGGTGTTGTTTTTTCCCTCTGTTCTCTTGTCCCCCTCTTCCTTCTCCTCACTCTCCCTGGAGTTTGGGCTTCTCAGCTCACCACCCACCGGTCTGCTTTTTTGCACAGCTATTTATGGCGCTCCAGGCCGATCCCAGTGCACGTTTAGATGTGTGTGATTTATTATAAGCCGGTCCCTGGTCTCTTTACTCCCTCGCTTGGAGTCCAAGGCTGTTCTCAGCTTTAGGGATGGGTATATCTGCGTGTCTTTTCTCCCAAGCCCTCCCGATGTTTGGAAACGATTTGCTACACCCCAGATTCTTTGGGGCCTAAGTGGGAGCTTAGATGGCAACTTTAAAAGCCTTCAGATCTGGGTAATTAAAAATACCCCTGGCAAGGATTTGATTGCAGTGATAATATAACAATATGCACATGTGTTTTAGTGGCGCAGCCAGTGACCCAGCGAGAGAGTCATGTCTCCCACAGAGGATCTCCCCTTTAGATCCCTGTGATCTAGGGAAAGAGAGAGTTTATTTAGGCCCTTGGTACTACAAGCTGCTGCACCAGCCTTTGTCAACCTGGTGTCCTCCCAGATGTTTTGGATGGCGACGCACGGTGGCCTGAAACACCTGGAGGTTTTGCCAGGTTGGCAGAAGCGAAGTCTGGCCTAAACGAATTAACAGAGGAGCTGAGCCGCTGCAAAGCACCACAGTTTGCTCTGCCACCTGTGAGCCGTTGCAAAGAATATCTCCATGACAGCTACCGTTGTTCAGAAAGCATCATTGGACAAATGAGCATCTTGTTTGCTGAGGTTATATTTTCTTTTCAGAATTGCAGTGGGGGGGATGTTTAACTCTCTCCATCCTGGCTGAGAAATGAATGTTAGTGGAGCAGAATATAAGGGAAGTCCTATAAGAAGGTATTTAGGCTTTCCTCAGGGGTGTCGTACACATGTAGCGGCAGGCAGAAAGGTCCAGCCTCAGTTTCCCTGGGATCATAGGCAGGCATCTGTCCCCAACCTGTTACTCATCCAGGGATCTTCTAGGTGCAAATAAGAGATCCGTCCCCCAAATTCTGACTCTTTCCCCCCAAGTGCTATCAATTAACCAGCTCTAACTATGGGTCTGGACCACGAAATAAGGTTAATAAAGTAGAGGGGGAGATGATTCCAATGTCGGCCAAATTTGTGGGAAAGTGAAGTCATTGGTGGGACAGTTGTGCAAAAGAGGCCTTAGATCAGCCTTTCTCAACCTTTGGGTCGAGAACTACAACTCATATCACCCCTAGCTAGCAAGGCCAGAGCTCAGGAATGATGGGAGTTGTAGTCCAACAACATCTGGGGAGCCACAGGTTGAGAACCGCTTCCCTAGATGCTGTTTGTAACTGGCCAAGAGGGGTGGGAAGTTGGGAGGGTTTCAGCCCCGGGGCAGGTAGTAGTAGTAGTAGTAATAATAATAATAATAATAATAATTTATTAATTGTACCCCACCCATCTGACTGGGTTTCCCCAGCCACTCCGGGCGGCTCCCAACAGAATATCAAAAACACGATAAAACATCAAACCTTAAAAACTTCCCTAAACAGGGCTGCCTTCAGATGTCTTCTCAAAAGTCTGGTAGTTGTTTTTCTCTTTGACATCTGGTGGGAGGGCGTTCCACAGGGCGGGCGCCACCACCGAGAAGGCCCTCTGCCTGGTTCCCTGTAGCTTTGCTTCTCGCAGTGAGAGAACCGCCAGAAGGCTCTCGGCACTGGACCTCGGTGTCCGGGCTGAACGATGGGTGCTGGTCACTTATTTATTTTCTTTATTTTATAAAATTTATACGCCACTCGGTGGTAAACAGCAGCAACAACCTCAAAGCGGTTTGTGGAAAAGATAAAACAATAAAGTCACCCAAAAGGAAAATGCTATCGAAAAGTTAAAATAACAGACTAAAAACAGATTAAAACTCGCAACAGCTTTCTTAGCATCTGGGGAGTCCTTTATGAACAAACCCATTTTTAGCAGGCACCAGAAAGAATATAGTGATATCGTAGAGTTGCAAAGGGACCTCAAGGGTCATCTAGTCCAACTGAAATTATCGTGAAGTTAACTTTTTATATTTGGGCAACTTTTCTTCTGTACTTTATTGGAAGGAGAAAAACGACCATTTCCTTAATAACAATTTAAACAATTTATTTAACTAAAACAATAACATTATAACATATGTATCCATGTTTGTTAACTGATGTGGTTAAACATTTTTTAAAAAAAACACCTTAGACTGAGTTTTAGCACACATGAAAAACTTAAAGCAAATCCTTATTTCCTGATAAATAGCCTTTGGACTATAATGTAATTTAAATAGAAAACTATCTTTAGAAAGATATTTTCCTGCAATAGCATTTTATTTTAAAAATCAGTTTGTTAACTGATGTGATTAAACATTTTTTTTAAAAAAACTTAGACTGAGTTTTAGCACACATGAAAAACTTAAAGCAAATCCTTATTCCCTGATAAATAGCCTTTGGACTATAATGTAATTTAAATAGAAAACTACCTTTAGAAAGATATTTTCCTCCAAAAGCATTTTATTTTAAAAATCCAATTTTAAAAATCTGATTTCAATAAATAACCCGATTTTTCTTTTTTTAAATCATTGATTTTTGTCCACCCTGGACCTTAGAGGCAGGTGGTCCTGCCCGCCTCGTCACTCTTGCCTTGTCTCTCTGTCCCCCTTCCAGTCGGAGGACCTGGGCGCCTGCGCGCAGTTTGAGAGCAGCCGCCAGAACCGGAACATGATGCCTAGCACCAGCTGTGTCTTCCCCACCTTCAACCTGCGAAAGCCTTCCTCGGAGACGGATATCGAGAACTGGGCCTCCAAGCACTTCAACAAGCACACGCAGGGCCTCTTCCGCCGCAAAGTCTCCATCGCCAACATGCTGGCCTGGAGCAGCGAGTCCATCAAGAAGCCCATGATCATGACCACCGACCGCAACGTCAAGAAGGAAGCGTGCGAGATCTTCAAGCTCATCCAGATGTACATGGGGGACCGGAGGGCCAAGGCGGACCAGCTCAACGTGGCCCTGGAGATCGCCACCAAGGGCTGGAGCATGCAGGGCCTCCGGGACGAACTCTACATCCAGCTGTGCCGCCAGACCACCGAGAACTTCCGCTACGAGAGCCTGGCCCGGGGCTGGGAGCTCATGTCCATCTGCCTGGCTTTCTTCCCTCCCACGCCCAAGTTCCACTCCTACCTGGAAGGGTACATCTACAGGCACATGGATCCGGTGAACGACACGAAAGGTAAGGCAGCGAGGAAGGGGGAAGGGCAGACCTGGTCAGCTCAAGGTGTTAGGAAACGTTGGCTGCCCTTTTCCGAGGCTCAGCAAAATCCAGCGTGAGATCTGGCACGAAACGAGTTTGGTGGCTCTTGAACAAGACATTGGTGGCTCTTGAACTAGACACAAAGGATGAGGATTTCTTTCTTTTCAGCTTTAATAATAATAATAATAATAATAATAATAATAATTTATACCCCGCCCATCTGGCTGAGTTTCCCCAGCCACTCTCGCCTTTCCCCCGATAATATCGACCAAGTAAAATAACCCGAAAGGGTAAGGGCTGGAATAGTTGCTTCGTTCCTGTAAAACAGCCACCTTCTGTAAAACACGGTTAATGACAGAAAATAGGCCGAGCAACACAACTGCAAGAAAAGTCATATTATGAAATTTCACAAAGCAGTCAAAGCACTCATAATCCGCCAAACAATGTTAGCAACATTAGCAAGCTTCGCAACAAAAAGCAAGCAGAGCACTGTTGAATTTTGATGGTGCCCTTGCACTGGGGGGTGTTTCCAGATGGGTTTTGTCCTGGTAGATTTAAGGCATGGGTAGGCAAACTAAGGCCCGTGGGCCGGATCCGGCCCAATTGCCTTCTAAATCCAGCCCGCAGACGGTCTGGGAATCAGCATGTTTTTACATGAGTAGAAGGTGTGTTTCTATTTAAAATGCATTTCTGGGTTATTTGTGGGGCATGGGAATTTGTTCATCCCCCCCCCAATATATAGTCCGGCCCCCCACAAGGTCTGAGGGACAGTGGACCAGCTCCCTGCTGAAAAGGTTTGCTGACCCCTGGTTTAAGGTCTGGTTGGAATCTGAAGAAATGACCTCACTGCCCCTGAGTAGACATTTGGGAGCCCCTGAGTCAAAAGCGAAGACCGAGGAGGGGGGGCTCTCCCCCCCCCCCGGACCACCTTCCCTCGGAAACGTCAGCTGCTGCTTCTTATGCAAAGTTGCGTTTCACCCTCATCCTGCTAAACTGCGTCATTTCCCTACAAATGTCAGCTGCAATATGGCAGTCCTTGAATCATCAGCGAGCTCATCCCCCCCACCTTTTGCAATAGGGCTCTGCAGTTAAAGCTGCTAATTGGCTATCCTAGGCTCTCTTAACACACGGCTGTTATTCTAAATCATTAAGCAGCAAACCGCATCCCGGCTCCCCACCGAAGGCCCTCCCTCAGCTAATGTTCTCCGCCTGATGAGCAGCAGGAGGGAAATGATTTCATTAACGAGATGTAGAAATGCGTTGCTCCCTTGCCTTTTGCCCTTGGAGACAGTCTCCTTCGGACCGAACAGGATGCACGACCTCCACACGGCCCCTTTCTGCAGTTCACCGTGCAGGAAGCAAGTCCAGCCCGAAACTTGCTTTTTTTACGCTGCTGCCTTCGGCTCCACTTGAGGACGGCAAGTCCCTAGTCCTCATTGTCTTGCAGAAGGCGGGCTTCGTAAAAAACGCAGGAAGAAACAGCAGCGGGGGAAACGGGATAGCTCAGTCCTGGAACCCCCCGCTTTGCATGCAGGAGGTCTAGAAATGCAATTATTGGCCTGGCCAGTTGGAAGGAATCTTGGTTAGCAAGGCTGGTCTGTGAAGCATCAGGAAAGCTGCCATCAGTCTGGACTGTTTGCAAAAAGGCCTTTCAGCTAAAAGAAGTGTGGCAAGGGAGAAGCGATAGCAGCTGACAGGGATTCTTCAGCTGAGATTCCTGCACTGCAGGGGGTTGGACTAGATGATCCTTGGATCCCTCCCAACGCTACAATTCCACGATTCTTTGAATGGTTGGCTGGGAAAGGGCAGCCCAAATCATTAAGGGTTTGGAGCAGCTCCCCATTTGAGGAAACATCTAAAACATTTGGGGCTTTAAAGTTTAGAATGATGGCTCCCAAATAGCAGTGCCACACCCCACACCCCCGTCAGACAACTTATAAATCGCTGAGGGTCTTAATGACCACTTAATAATTTTCCTGCCGGTTGTAGCAACCCTGAAGCAGCCTTCAGATGTCTTCTGAAAGTCAGGTGCAGTGGACGCTTGGGTTGCGAACGTGATCTGTGCGGGATGCACGTTCGCGACCCGCAGCAATCGCAACCCACAGAGGCGTTGCGTTTTGGCCTTCGGCGCATGCGCATAGCGCAATTTAGCACTTCTGCACATGTGCAACCGCCGAAACCCGGAAGTAACCCGTTCCGGTACTTCCGGGTTTCAGCGGTCCGTAACCCAAAATAACACAACCTGAAGCTTCTGTAACCTGAGGTATGACTGTAGTTGTTTATTTCCTTGACATCTGATGGGAGGGCGTTTCACAGGAAGGGCACCACTACCAAGAAGACCCTCTGCCTGGTTCCCTGTAACTTGGCTTCTTGCAGTGAGGGAACTGCCAGAAGGCCCTCGGAGCTGGACCTCATTGTCCGGGCAGAACGATGGGGGTGGAGACGCTCCTTCAGGGATACTGGGCCGAGGCCGTTTAGGGCTTTCAAGGTCAGCACCAACACTTTGAATTGTGCCCAGAAACGTACTGGGAGCCAGTGTAGGTCTTTCAAGACCGGTGTTCAAGACCACTCCCAGTCACCACTCTGGCAGCTGCATTCTGGATTAGTTTTAGTTTCTGGGTCATCTTCAAAAGTAGCCCCACGTAGAGCGCATTGCAATAGCCCAAGTGAGAGATAACCAGAGCATGCACCACTCTGGCCAAACAGGGCACAAGTGGGTAGGGTTTCAGCCTGCCTTGCTGGCTTTTAAAATTTGACATGGAAACAGAAGAGCAGTAATTAGGCGTGATAATTGAATAGAAACTCCAGCTTCAGAGGCAATGCACCTCGGGCTGCCAGCTGATGGAGAGCAAGCAACAAGGGAAGGCCATTGTCTCCTTGCCCCGCTTAAGGGACACCCAGAGGCATCTGTCTGGCCCCTCTGGGAAATGAGGTGTCAGGCTTGCATTTCTGACATTGCTGAAGAGACAGCGATTCCCACCAGCAAAATCCCATTTCTCCTGGCTGGTCTTGACCGGTTGGGAGGAACATAGATCCACAATGCAGCTGTTTACCCTCTGCTTAGGGTGCCAATCCATGCCAACCAGCCAAGGCTGAGCCTCCTATAACCTGCAATGTTGTTGGAAAGAGGTTCTGCAATTCTGTCTGAGCGTGCTTGATTTTACCTGCAAAGAAGGTGGCAAACCCATTGTAGCAGGCAGGGCTTATTGTGGGATATCAGTAACTATCGGGCACGTTGAGTAGACTGGCCTAAGGAGCACTACTCCTTTCTTTCTTTCCTTCCGCCCACACACGACCCGGATTTCAAAGCCGGTTGCCGTGCTGATAATTACCATTGAGAATTTGCTACGCATGCAACGGCCCCCCCCCTCTGGTTTGCAAATTAGCCTGGAGCAGGAAGGGTGCTGATTGGTCGAGCGGCCGCGATGCCGCCAGCACACAGTCGTGTCATCCTCATGCAATAGGGGGGTAACAGTGGGATTCTCTGTCTTTTCCTCTCAAATATGAATCTGGGGGCAGAGAGTGAATAATGGGGAAAGGGCTCTTCGCTCACTTTATCCAGGGGAGTGGAACGGTTTCAAAAGGGGAATAATAATAATAATATTATATATATATATAACAATAATAATAATAAATTATTTATACCACGCCCATCTGGCTGGGTTTCCCCAGCCACTCTAGGCGGCTTCCAACAGAACACTAAAATACAATAACCTATTAAACATTAAAAGCTTCCCTAAACAGGGCTGCCTTCAGATGGCTTCTAAAAGTCAGGTAGTTATTTTTCTCTTTGACATCTGGTGGGAGGGCGTTCCACAGGGCAGGCGCCACCACCGAGAAGGCCCTCTGCCTGGTTCCTGGTAACTTGGCTTCTCGCAATGAGGGAATCGTCAGAAGGCCCTCGGAGCTGGACCTCAGTGTCCAGGCAGAACGATGGTGGTGGAGACGCTCCTTCAGGTATACAGGACCGAGGCCATTTAGGGCTTTCAAGGTCAGCACCAACACTTTGAATTGTGCTCAGAAACGTACTGGGAACCAGTAGGCACACACAAACCCACCCACGCACCGGGTCTGAGCCACACCGTGAGCACATCAAACTCGTTTCTTGCACATTGTTGCGATCCATTGCTGGATTTTTCTCTCTGGAAGCCTCACGGTTCAGGAGTGCCAGTAGTGATCAGCACCACTCTTTCCCGTTCCAGCCACTGGGGAAGAGCTGGCCGCATCTCCACCTGACGTATGCCAGTCGAGTCCACGATTCATTTGTATCTGTGCTCCACCCTGTGCCATTTTATGTTAGCAACAGCCGTGCTTTCCCTGCCGCTAGAGTTGTGTCACTTGGAAGAGCTCCTGCACAGTGCCAGCCCAAGGATTCATTCATTCATTCTGTCCCCTTCCACCCCTGAGTAGGATGGATCTGGCCCTGGAGAGAATAGGGGTTCAGGGCTAGTGGTGCCCATGCTTAGTTGAGATTCTTGCATCTGATGGGGGTTGGACTGGATGACCCTTGAGGTTCCCTTCCACCTCTATGATTCTTGAATTCTCCTTTTATCTCTACCATCACGGAGTATTATTTACCTTCAGCGCAATCCTAGATGTCGCCAGGACAGTTATAAAGAGGTTAGGGAGTTCTGTTAAAATCCCAGTGGTTGTTGGTTGTGTGGGCATGTTTAACTCGCCTGGGCAACCTTCCCGAACCTTCTGCCTCCAGGTGTTTGGGGCTACGACTCCATGGGGCTGGTGGGAGGTTGTCGCCCCAGACACTTGGAGAGTCCTAGGATAGGGGAGGCTGTACTGAAGGTATTTCTGGAAGGGTAGAAACTCTCCTCCAGTTGGTCAGCGTAGTAAAAAATAGAATAAAATGGCAAAGTGGCCGACTCTGGGGTTACGGCACTCATCTCACTTTATTGGCTGAGGGAGCCGGCGTACAGCTTCCGGGTCATGTGGCCAGCATGACTAAGCCGCTTCTGGCGAACCGGAGCAGCGCACGGAAACACCGTTTACCTTCCCGCTGGAGCGGTACCTATTTATCTACTTGCACTTTGACGTGCTTTCGAACTGCTAGGTGGGCAGGAGCAGGGACTGAGCAATGGAAGCTCACCCCATCCGTTCCGGAGGCCTGTTCGCAACCTGAAAAGTACACAACCCGCGTCTGCACATGCGCGGGTCGCAATTCGCCGCTTCTGCGCATGCACATGACGTCATTTTGCGCATCTGCACATGCGTGAGTGGCAAAACCCGGAAGTAACCCGTTCCGTTACTTCCGGCTCGCCACGGGACGCATCCTGAAAACGCACAACCTGAAGCAAACGTAACTTGAGATATGACTGTAATATTAAAATGGCAGTCGCGGATAGCCAGAGATGACGAACCTACAGACAGGTTGAAATCCTGCTGGGATAAAAAATGTAAATTAATAAAGGTGACATTTCATCAGGAAGGGGGTGAGACAGATCACCTGGGGCGGGGTGGGCCACTGGCCTGATCCAGAAGGCTATTCTTAGATTCCTTTGTGTATCTCATTTCCACCTGAGGTGCTTGGAAAAGCATCCTTCCCCCGGCCCTGATTCCTGGCTCAGCATTTCGCCTGAACCAAGGGGGGTGGTTTGTTTTGCTCCAAGCAAACCTGCAGCCAAGATTTGTCCTCAGCTTACAGATCGTGGCTTCTCTGAGCAAGACGCACCAAGCTCCTTGTTTTGGTTGCATCGCATCCTGGCCCCAAACCGTTATTCACCTTCCTGGTTCTCCGTTGCTCTCGCTTGCAGTCATTACGGAGTCAGATATCAATTACTGCGTTAATTGTGACACCGTCCTCGTTTCACTATGTGACCCTCGATTGGATGGGCTCATCCATGGGAATAATCCAGAAGCAAGTCGACAGAATGGCGCTAAATAGGTTTGGGAGATTGCAAATTGGGTTATTAGGTTGCTTTTATTTTGATTATATATTTTGCGGTTTTATTCTTTTATTTTGTTCTGTGAACCTCCCTGAGACCTCTGGGTAGAGGGTGGTTTATTATTCAATATAATAGTAATAATAGTAATAGTAATAATAATAATAATAATGATAATGATAATATATTTGCAATATTTAAACATAGGTGTTTAGGGCTGTGAGGCTCCCGCCCCACCAAAATCACTAGTTTCTACCCCACCAAATTTAAACTCTTAAGACCTTCAGCAGGTCCTTAATGCAGACCCACTGCGCCTGTGGAGACGATTGGCTGCAATCGCAGCGGGTTGGACTACATGGCCTTTGGGCTCCCCTCCATCCCAGCAATTCTTCAACGCCACTGGTGCATTCTAGCTCCTCTCCAGTGACACCCAGGTAAGGTGCAGGGAGAAAAGACCTGCCTGAGCCAGCCGGCATTGAAAGCAGAGCTGTCTTGCTCATTTTTTATTTTATTTTTATTTCCTTTATTTTGTTCTTCCTGTGTTTGAAATCCGTACCTACCCCCCCAAAAAACCCACCCCAATCCCTCTCTTTCTCTCTCTCTCTTGCTGTCTTTGTGTTCCATTCCGTGGTCCTCATCGTTCTGTTTGTTCCCCAGTGACTCTGCACATTAAAGAACTCCTGGAAAGGAACAATAAGAAGTCGTCCAAATTGAGAAAGAAACCCAAGCCCTATATGGAGGAACGCCATGGTAGGGTGCGTGTGCTCCTGGAGCACCTCCCTCTCTCCTTTAGATGTAGACGCCAACTCCGCAGCCTTCTCTCTCCTGCAGCTTCCTCGCCTCCACTCGGCTCCCCCCTTATAACATCGCCTTCACGCTTCTCCCCTCTTCTGACACCCTTTCTAACAGCTGACGTTTCTGGGTGCCTTTCTCTCTTAGCAGCTCTGTGAGCTTGGGGTCAACCGCTGCCCGTCGCGCTTCTTTTCCCAGCAGGTGCCGACTTCGGTTCGACCTCCTGAGTCAGGCGGACGCCGCTCGAGGCTCGGCGCATGGGGTGGGCGCAGCGGCTCCGCATCACGCCGGCGCGGAGGGGATCCCGAAAAGGGGTCGCCCGCTGGCTCTGTAGCTCATCTCCGGCCGGTCAGCCAGGCAGGGCTTGTTTGCATGTCACACGGCGGCGTTGCACTTGGATACCTCGCCGTATCTGACCACAAAACCCAGCTGGCTGTTGCGCACATGTTCTGCGGGTTCTGTGGACTTGAATGGTTGCAGCTGCGAGAAATATTATTATCCCCGATGATGATGATAATAATAATAATAATAATAATAACAATTATCTTAGCCTGTGATTCCTTCATTGCAGGGTGTTAGACTTGATGACCTCTTTTTTTGCTGGCGGCGGCGGGGGGTCCCTCCAACTCTACAGTTTTACTGTGGTACTGTGGGATCCGTTCCGGAGGCCCATCTGTAACGTGAAAAGCCCTCAACTCGAAGCGCCGCGTCTGCAAAGGGACGTGGCACGATTTGGCGCTTCTGTGCATGCCATAGCTGTCGACGTTTCCCCCTTTTTAAGGGAAATTCCCTTATTCCGAATAGGATTCCTCGCAAGAAAAGGGGAAAGTTGACAGCTATGATACATGCGCGAGCGGCAAAACCTGGAAGTAACCCATTCCGGTACTTCCGGGTTGCTGAGGGACGCAAGACGAAAACACGCAACCTGAAGCGGACGTAACATGAGGTATGACTGTATGATTCTGTGACCTTTGGTGCCCAAAGCGCTTTGCGTGTTTGGCCCAGCAATCCTTACAACGTCCCTGTAAGGTAGTGCAGCGGCGACATCCATCCATTGTGGACAGGAGCAGAGACAGTGCATGTTAAAGTTGGCTGATGGATCCATGGCAGAGGTGAGGTTTTTAGGAGAGAACATCTACCTTACCGCTTGGTGATGGAGCTAATTCTGCGCGCAGAATTTCCCTAGGTTCATTCTGGCTTACCGAAGGACCCAGGAAATTCAAAAGCAGCCGATGATGTCGGAATCCACTCCTCTGCTACTCCTGGATAGCTCAGTTGGTGAGAACATGGTGCTGATAACGCCAGGGTTGCCGGTTCAGTCCCCGTATGGGGCAGCTGCGTAGTTCTGCATCGCAGGGGGGTAGAGATAGATGATCCTTCAGGGTCCCTTCCAACTCTACTGTCCTATGATTCAGCCGCTGAATGTGGAAGGTGATGTTCTCTGCTTCTCACGGCTAGCAGTCCTGCTCATCTATCGGTTGGTTGGTGTGTGTTTCTATTGAACTTTCTCAGGTGGGATCCGTCTGAGCATCCAGTGGAGGTGAGTTCCACAGGTAGATAACATGGTAAAGGGCCGTAGCTGAGCAGCGGCGGGAGGGTGGGGGCATAGCTCAGTGTTAGAGCATCTGCTTTGCATGTGGAAGGTCCAACTCAGTTTTAGAAACTGTACCTTTTAGGTACAGAAACTTTTTTGTACCTTTTAGGTACCTTTTAGGTACAGAAACTTTTTAGAAACTGTACCTTTGAGTCCTCAATCCTTTATTACTGCGCTTTGCTTCACCTAGGTCGAGCTAGGATTATAATATTTCAGAATTTTTGGGACTTTCTTTGAATTTGGTCATTTAAGGTTTATGATTTCTCTTATTTCCTTCTGAGGAAACTGAATAGTTCAGTGAAACGAGGTTTGTAGCCGGCATCCCGTTAAGGCTTTGTTCAATTCTAGGTTTTTCTAATTTTCCCCTTAAACTTTTTGATTAATATTTCTAGTCGATTACTTCTCGTTTCAGGGATTTTCACGGTATTTCTTTGTTTTGTGTAATGTCTCGGTTCCGTGACTGTCATTTTTCTATTGCACACCATGGTAAGAGCTGTTTGGCGGTGGAACGGGCTCCCTTGGAGGTTTTTAGGCAGAGGTTGGCTGGCCACTTGCCAGAGATGCTTTATCTGTGATTCCTGCACTTCAGGGGGTTGGACTAGATGACCCCACGGGGTCCCTTCCAACTCTGTGGCTGCCGTAGAGAAGACCAGGATTCATCAGCCTTAGCCGGTGAATTCCAGCCGCGTCGCCTCGCCTCTAATCTCGCTTCCCTCCCCCTGCACCTGTTTGAACAAGCCTTCCTAATTTATTTAAAGCGTGCGCATTAACCGAAGGAGATTGTGCTGTAATTAACTGGAGCTGGTTAACGGGGAGGCCTGGATCTTCCTTGCAGGTGTGCATAACCTCATTTATAGAGCCGAGTCTGTGTTTAAAAATATCCGTGTGCTGAATGTCGTGCAGTCGTGGACCGAAGGCTACCTTGGGGATTCTTCTGTTTTTATTTTCTAAAAATGACATCTCTTCGCAGCCCTAGTAAGGAACATTTCCGAGGGTGTTTTCTCGGCGTTGCTTTTTGCCTCTTAATCCCTAGCGTTCAGAACCAAGGCTGGATGGCGGTGCAAAGAGGAGTGGCATCCGTTTCACATTTTGCCAAAGCGAATGGTCTGCGAAGAGTTACAGCTGAAGGGGGCTTGTCCCAAGACCCCTTTATAGGGCTGGGGTACCAACCTAAAATCATTCCATAGGAACACGGGGAGCTGCCTTGTCCTGGATGCTTTAGCTGAGATTTCTGCATTCCCGGGGGTTGGTCTTGATGCTCCTTGGGGGTCCCATCTAGGTCAGCGTTGCCCACCCGCTGTGGGAACCACTGAACTAGATGGATCTTCGGCCTGATCCAGCAGAACTTTTCTGACGTCTAGCCCTAGAGGGTGCACAGGGGTCTTGGAGTCCTCTGAAAGCGTTCCAGGGATCAGAGATTCTTAGAAGACTGGAGTAAATATATGAACTACAGTGGTGCCCCGCAAGACGAATGCCTCGCAAGACGAAAAACCCGCTAGACGAAAGGGTTTTCCGTTTTTCGATGCGCTTCACAAGACGAATTTCCCTATGGGCTTGCTTCGCAAGACAAAAACGTCTCCCCCCCCCTTTTTCTAAGCCGCTAATAGCCTTTTAGCCGCTAAGCCGCTAAGCCTTTAATAGCCGCTAAACCGCTAATAGCGCTAATCCGCTAAGCCGCTAATAGGGTTGCTTCGCAAGACGAAAAAACCGCTAGACGAAGAGACTCGCGGAACGGATTATTTTCGTCTTGCGAGGCACCACTGTATTTGAAAAGTAATTCTGATGAACAGATGACGCTGGTAGGTAGGACTGCAAGAAGTTTTGTAAGGTGGATTGTTTGAAATACTGCAAGAAAGACTATGAAAAGAATTATTAGTTAAGGATAGTTAAATGTAATATAGAAATTAAGAAATGCAGGATAAGTGATAAGGAATGGAAAATCATCAGAGGTGTGGACGGAAGTCAAAAATATTGTACAAGATGATAAGATATGTTGTATGATTGTTGGAACTGATATGTTAAAAAATGAATAAAAATGTGTGTGTGTGTATGTATGTATATGTGTGTGTGTGTGTGTGTGTGTATATATATATGAGAAAGCGTTCCGAAGCAATGCTGACAGCAGGATTCTCATTCCTCTGTTTTTCCCTCTCTTCCGCTCCGATGTCATAACCGTTAGGCAGAAACTTGACCCGCCGTCGTTCCTGGCTATTTTTGGACCTGTCCCCCTCAACAGTATTCAGCAGATATTGCGGACCACGTTGTCCTGGAGTTGGAGCGGGGAGAAGCGTTGCTCTTGCTTCCAGCTCAGCCCATTAAAAGTCGGATGGTTTTATTGCTAGCAGGTTCACAGCCCGTCCTGAGCATTGCAACAGCTTCAGTTTCCTGCCCAGAGAGACCACCTCTCGGGGAATCAGTTGCACCATTCGCAGGAACATAAAAGCCTGCTCCCCAGAGACCGTGAAAGGAGAAACTCTCCGCGCTCTGGCTCGATCAAAGAGGGCTGAAAAGGAGTTTTTGTTTGGGTTTCCAGACCTGGTTTTGCCTGTGGGTGGAAGCTTGGAACAGGAGACGTTCCCACTCTTTCATTTTTTGAAAAAGGAAAAAGGCCAGCCTGTTGGAGATCAGTAACCTTACCCTTCGTTTTTCACGTGGGAAGGCATTCTGGAGTAATAGTTTCATGTGCAAAGACCCAAAAGCTGCAGCGTAAGCGGAGGCAGAAGTCTGTCCTGAGCACTGGAACCTCTCCTCCAAGTCGGCTTCCTTGTCCTGCTCCCATAAGCCCCACCTCGGGCCCCCCAACAAGCACATCCCTGCTCCCCATAAGTCATAACATTCTGGGCAGTGGTCATGGTTTAAGCCTGTGGTTCCCAAATCTTTTTCGGGCCACTGTCTCCTTGGTTCCATAAACACATTCCCAGTGTCCCCTACTCTCTAAAGAGGGGAGCGGGAGGTGCTGTGGTCTAAACCACGGAGCCTCTTGGGCTTGCCGATCAGAAGGTTGGCGGTTCGAATCCCCGCGACTGGCTGGGCTTCCATTGCTCTGTCCCAGCTCCTGCCAACCTAGCAGTTCGAAAACATGCCAGTGCAAGTAGATTAATAGGTACCGCTCTGGGAACCACTGGGTTAAGCCCTAACCTGGAGTGGGAGAACCTCAGGGCCAGGTGTGGCCCTCCAAACCTCTCTACCTGGCCCGTGGGTCTCTCCTCAGGCCACGCCTTCTCAAGCTGTTGTTTAGTCGTTAAGTCGTGTCCGACTCTTCATGACCCCATGGACCAGAGCACGCCAGGCCCTCCTGTCTTCCACTGCCTCCCGCAGTTTGGTCAAACTCATGCTGGTAGCTTCGAGAACACTGTCCAACTATCTCATCCTCTGTCATCCCCTTCTCCTTGTGCCCTCCATCTTTCCCAACATCAGGGTCTTTTCCAGGGAGTCTTCTCTTCTCATGAGGTGGCCAAAGTCTTGGAGCCTCAGCTTCAGGATCTGTCCTTCCAGTGAGCACTCAGGGCTGATTTCCTTCAGAATGGAGAGGTTGGATCTTCTTGCAGTCCATGGGACTCTCAAGAGTCTCCTCCAGCACCTTCTCAAGCTACATGTCCCCAAGCCACAGCCTTACCTTGCCAAACTCTGCACCCTCTTCAGATGCTTTTACCTGGCTGCGATGGTGCCTCTTATTCACCTGGATGGAGAGGGAAGTGTTTGTCTTTGCAAAGCTCCAGTGTAGCTCACTGTGGAAACTGCAGAATAAGAATCACATTTGCCCAACCCGTGTTTCACCACTTTCCCTCCTCACCTCCACTGGCGTTCGGCCCTGTGAGACCTGCCCACAAGGGAATACAACCCTCAGCGTGGTGAAGGTTCCCCACTTCTTGCATAAGCCATTGTTTACCGTGCACAAGCAAGATTTTCCCTTTTGCCGTGCACAAGCAGGTTTTCAGGGCAGGTGGATGGAAGTCCCTCTTTTTTATATATATTTATTAATTTTATAATAACAAAAGCCCCCAAAACACATCACAATCAAAATTTTAAATCATACATCTTCATTGACTTCGCTCCACTCCCCCATTATTTCATACTTATTCATGCACATCCATAAAATCTGAACTATCCCATTTTAAAACCTTATTCATGTTGTTACAAGCGACCTTTAAAAGTTCAGCTAATGTAAAAACCTATACACAAAGCTTGCAAAATATGACTTAAACGTTCCCCCCCTTTTTTTAAAAAAGAGAACATTGTCCTTTTTCTTTCTAGGGTTTCAAATTATCTAATATGTCCTGCATAGTTCATTAGTTGGTTTTGCCAATCTCCTTTATTTTCTTTGGCGGCGGCTTCTTCCTTCTATAGGGATGGGCTGGTCTTGGCCTGGCGTCCACTCTCAGATGCAGGAACAAAGTCTTTTGCATGGTAAACCCGTTAAGTCCTGTGCCTTTCAAAATCATAGCTTCTGGTTTTTTTTAACAAAAGTCATTTTCAACATTCTCTTCAAATCTTGATATATCACTTCCCAGGCGGAAGAAAGTCCCTTTTTGTGCAATGCAGAGTTACTGTGGAATTCCCTCTGCCAGGAAATAGTGACGGCCATCAAGCTAGGTGGATTTAAAAGAGGACTGGGCGTTCTGGAATAAAATCCTAAAGGTTATTAATTAATCTTTTTAAGTGAAGCTTTCAATAGACCTTGATTTCATGACAATGGATATACTTGGAAACACGACTATAGAGAAAAGGGACCAGTCTACCTTCAAAGCTATGATATTAGCAAGAAAGGCACCAATAGCTTTAGGTTGGAAAGATAGAGAAAAATGGACAGTAGAGGCATGGAATAGTTATTTGTTTGAACTTATTCAGTCGGACATTGTCGTAGTCACGTCACAGGAAACAACGTGGAAGGTCAAGTCCACCACGATAAGGAAAAGATGGCACCCCTATCTTCAATGGATAAAAGCGACTGGAACAAAAGACATTCGGTGGAAACTAAAGACGCTATGCCTGTGGCTGAGGATAATTGTTTGAACCCTTCTAATGGATATGGGGGGTGGGGGTGGGAAGGGAGGGAAAGGAAAAAATTGTACGTGAAATTTAAAAATTGGAAGGAGATAATATAATGTATGTAAAAATCCTGAACTCGAATTAGAATAGAATAGAATAGAATAGAATGTGTTGTTGTTGTTTAGTCGTTTAGTCGTGTCCGACTCTTCGTGACCCCCTGGACCAGAGCACGCCAGGCACTCCTGTCTTCCACTGCCTCCCGCAGTTTGGTCAAACTCATGCTGGTAGCTTCGAGAACACTGTCCAGCCATCTCGTCCTCTGTTGTCCCCTTCTCCTTGTGCCCTCCATCTTTCCCAACATCAGGGTCTTTTCCAGGGAGTCTTCTCTTCTCATGAGGTGGCCAAAGTCTTGGAGTCTCAGCTTCAGGATCTGTCCTTCCAGTGAGCACTCAGGGCTGATTTCCTTAGGAATGGATCGGTTTGATCTTCTTGCAGTCCATGGGACTCTCAAGAGTCTCCTCCAACACTCCTTCATGGCCGTGGCAAAGGGGCTTGAATAACTCAGAGAAGCTATGAACTATGCCATGCAGGGCCACCCAAGATGGACAGGACATAGTGGAGAGTTTTGACCAAACATGATCCACCTGGAGCAGGAACCAGCAAGCGACTCCAGTATCCCTGCCAAGAAAACTCCATGGACAAAGACAACAGGCATATAAAAGAATAGAATAGGACTGGGCAAATTCATGGAGGAGGAGAGGGCACTCAGTGGCCGGTAGCCCGGATACCTGTGCTCTGCCTCTGCGGTTCGAGGCAGCAATGTTTCTGAATACCAGGAGGGGAGACTGCTCCTGTGTTCGAATCCTGATCCTGCGTTTCCCTTTGGTCGGCCACTGTGAGAACAGGGTGCTGGACTCAATGGGTCCCTGGCCTGATCCAGCCATCTCTCCTTATGTCCTTACTGCTTTTGCATCTTGACGTCTCCTCCCGGTGAGCAGCTGCTTCTTTCCAAAGCCACTGGAAATATCACTGTTGTGCTCCTGCTGCTGTTAGTCACTGTGCCTTGCTCTGGAGGCCCTTTGATGGAGATCCTAGCTAGACTGAGCACCGGGGACCCTTGTCCTCTTCCTTTCTGGCAGATCTGGATCTTGCCTCTTCCCCAGCCCCTGGACACATCGATGTGTCAGCGTCGCCCAGAGATCCCAAGAAGCAGAGGAAGACAAGCGGAACAAACAAGGCTTTGCCAAGACAGCCGGCACTGGGGGAGCTGACCCCTTCCGACCCTGCTCACAAGGAGACCTCTCTGGCGAACTCCAGATATGTTTTGTCTGTGGGGAAGATGTCTGGAGAAAGAACTGTCCCGGATTTTCAAACGCCCAAGGAATTTTATGTGGTTCAGAGCAGGCGAGGTCTCTTTCTGCATTTCTTTTCCAGAGCAATGGTAGATCTGAGGCTAGGGATGGACAGAATCTGTATTCTCTTCTGCATGGAACGGACGTCCTGATGAGAGCACAGGGTTCGGGATATGGGGTGAGATGGGCTTTATTGTATCCTGGTCTGAAGGTGCACAGGGTTTAATGTACCCTATTTATGGGACCGCCTCTCCTGGTATGCCCTGCAGAGGACCTTAAGGTCCATAGTTTAGAGGTCCCGGGCCCTAAGGAAGTCAGATTATCCTCCACCAGGGCCAGGGCCTTTTCAGTGATGGCTCCGACCTGGTGGAATGCTCTGTCCCAGGAGACCAGGGCCCTGCAGGATTTAACCTCCTTCCGTCGGGCCTGTAAGACAGAGCTATTCCGCCTGGCTTTCAATTTGAACTTAGCCTGATCTTTTATTCCCCTTCCTTCCCCCCCTCCCCTTTTATGAAGATCACCCGCTCTGAGACCCCACAGCTAATTCTTCCCTGGTCTCCTCGCTGGCCTAAATAGGACTAATTTAGCCGGCTAGCTCTGATGATCACCTAATGTTTATTGGATGGATTTTCCCCCTAAACTGATTTTTGATTTGATTGTTATTCACGTTTTATACCGTATTTTATGCTGGTTTTTTTGTAGTATCAATTAAATGTTTTAAATTTGTTGTTAGCCGCCCTGAGCCCGGTTTTCTGAACTGGGAAGGGCAGGGTATAAATAAAAATTTATTATTATTTATTATGAAACTTAGCTCAGTAGCTAATACGGCAGCCGCTGCAAGTCTTCAGAACTGGCAGTGGCGATAATCTTCCCCAGTCAGCAGTGTGTGTTAAACTGTGGAACTCCCTCCCACAGGTGATGGTCAGCAACTTGTACAGCTTTAAAAGAGAATTGGACAAATTCACAGAGATGGAGGAGAGGACTATCGATGGCACCTGTAGCAATGCCAGCGCCACCGATCGAAGCGGAAATTAAGAGCCCCGGCCTTGCCCAAGGCTTCCCTCGCCCTTTGTCACCTCGCTTCAGATCTCAACTGTGCCTTCGGTCCCCATGAGAAAATTGATGTGTGGTTGCTTTGCAAATATTTGCCTCTCTGGCTGTTTTCTCTTTCTGCCCACCTCGCCTTTCCAGCTCTCCTAGTTGCATCCTAAAGGGAAAGGAACCGTGACCTTGGCTGTTGAGGTAGGGAAAAGAGACACAAGAGTGCTATGCTGGTTGGATTTGACTATCCCAAAAGATCCGCTGTCTCTCTGCATTTTCCCACACCCCAGGAAATCCACAGAAATCGATTTGCACAGCTTTCCTGCTGAGGTGGAAGAGCTGTCCTGGGGACTCATCCTCCGGGTGGGACTTAACTGGAGCCCCAAAGCTTCTCCTTTGTTTTTAAAAGGAACCACCCCCTCCTGATTTTAAATATTCACTTAAAGGTAAAGGTCCCCTGACCATTAGGTCCAGTTGTGGCCGACTCTGGGGTTGCGGTGCTCATCTCGCTTTACTGGCCAAGGGAGCCGGCGTACAGCTTCCAGGTCATGTGGCCAGCATGACTAAGCCGCTTCTGGCAAACCAGAGCAGCGCACGGAAGCGCACTTGGCCACGTGACTTCTGGGAGTCAAAGGGTCCCTGCCTGTTAGCTGCCGCTGCCGCCACCACACGGCATTTCTGTTGCCCAAGATGCTCCTCTGTGAGCAAGGCTGTGTCTTTAATTGGATTACCAGTCCCAGGGGGCCTGTGCGGCCAGCATATTAATAGCCACCCTTTCAGGAAGATCAGAGCTCTTGGTCACATGCTCACAGCCCTCCAGGGTGACTTGAAGGTCACTCTGTGGATGGATTTTGTCTCGTGTGGGATTTGGCCATCCGAAATCCCTACGGGAATCTAGCCACGGTGCTTTCCGCATGCTGGGTTCGTGATCTTCCAGGAAATGACATTCCCAAGGCAGCTTCTGGGCCTCATTGCCTTGTTGGTTTGCAAGAATTTGGATAACCCGTTCCGATGATTGCATAGCAGGGTATCAGAGAATACAGAGCCCCTCTTGCATTATTTAAGGTTTCTCCACCATGAACTTATTGGGACGCGGGTGGCACTGTGGGTTAAACCACAGAGCCTAGGACTTGCCGATCAGAAGGTCGGGGGTTCGAATCCCCACAACGGGGTGAGCTCTTGTTGCTCGGCCCCTGCTCCTGCCAACCTAGCAGTTCCAAAGCACGTCAAAGTGCAAGTAGATAAATAGGTACCACTCCAGCGGGAAGGTAAACGGTGTTTCCGTACGCTGCTCTGGTTTGCCAGAAGCGGCTTAGTCATGCTGGCCACATGACCCGGAAGCTGTACGCCGCCTCCCTCGGCCGATAAAGCGAGATGAACGCTGCAACCCCAGAGTTGGCCACGACTGGACCTAATGGTCAGGGGTCCCTTTACCTTTACCTTACTACCATGAACTTAAACCAATGTGTTTAATATTCCCAAAGGTTCTTGGGAATGATAAGGAGCTAGTGCTTTGAAATGAAGGCACAAAACTGCCTTTTTTGTGGAGGGGTATAAACTTACTGCTTTATTGAATTTTCATAGCAGGTAGTACAGAAAAAAACCAAAGAAATACGTAGCAAAAATAAGTATGCAGGTTCCCTCCCTGGTTGCTCGCTTGTATTTTGGTTAAATTAGCATTAAAAACGGAAATCCGTCTCATACTACTGGGGCAGTCAACTCACTCACACAATGACAATCACACAGCGCTTGCCATTCACAGCAACTGTCATTCGGACGCATCCTGCCTCCAGCAGTTCCCTCCTGTAGGTGCCTTGGTAGAGTTCCGCTTTTGCACGATCAGTAATTGGGCAGTTGTTAGCAAATTACTTCATTATAATTGGGGTCAAATACCATAGCGTTAACACTTCAAATAAAATCCCTTTGCATTTACACAAAAAATGAGCAGGTTGTGGGATCTTTTCCAATCCTTTTCTGACATTTGCATTGCTACTACCACTCCCGATTTGGTCATATAAGTCGTCTTATTATCACATTGTTTCTTCAGTATTACCCGGTATATCTGCAGAACTACTCCTCTTTTCGCTGGGGGAGCCTAGGATGTTGTTATCACAACGCACCATTTTTCTTCATTAGGCATTGTGTTTAGTAATAGTAATAGTAATTTATTATTTGTACCCCGCCCATCTGGCTGGGTCTCCCCAGCCACTCTGGGCAGCTTCCAACAAAGATTAAAAATACATTAAAATGTCACACATTAAAAACTTCCCTGAACAGGGCTGCCTTCAGATGTCTTCTAAATGTCAGGTAGTTGTTTGACATCTGATGGGAGGGCGTTCCACAGGGCGGGTGCCACTACTGAGAAGGCCCTCTGCCTGGTTCCCTGTAGCTTTGCTTCTTGCAATGAGGGAACCGCCAGAAGGCCCTTGGAGCTGGACCTCAGTGCTTGCAAGTGTTCCAGCTGTGGTCGAGGGGCTTCAGGCAGTGATGGCTGTAGCCGTGTGGCCTGGGGCTGATGGGAGTCTAGAACATCTGGAGAACATCTGGAAGGGTAGCCTGTCCAGTGGTAGCTAATTACAGGTTTATAAAGTGTTTTAAAAGATCTCTCTTAATCCAGGGCAGAGATGAGTTGAAAGGAAAGTAAGTGTGCACTGTAAGGTTGAGTGCAATAAGAGCCAGTGATTTTCCTGGTGAGGTTTGCGTATAATCTCAGGGTCGTGGGTCCCACATTGGGCGTTGCAGGAGTTGGACTGAATATCCCTTATGCTTCCTTCCCAACTCTACAACTGCAATTCTACGACTTTACTCTCTCCCTTAAGTGTTGTGGCAAAGGGCGATCTGCAATGGATGCTTTAGTTGCGATACCTGCATGGTTAATGGGCAAAATTAGGCCGTAACTTTTATTGGTTACAGCATGTGAGTAGTAGTGGCTTAGGCATTGGATGAAACAGCAATACAAGACTCCACCCTGCACAGCCGGGAGTCATATCAGGGTTAACAACCAGTGGGAGGAGCTTTTTGATGCAAATACAGTGATACCTCTGGATACGAACAGGATCCGTTCCAGAGTCCTGTTCGCATCGTGAAGTAAACGTAAGACGCGTCTGCACGTGTGCAGGCCGTGTTTTGCCGCTTCCGCACGTGCACGTGACGTCATTTTGAGCGTCTGCGCATGCGCGAGCGGTGAAACCCGGAAGTAACGCGCTCCGTTACTTTTGGGTCGGCGCGGAGCGCAACCCGAAAATATTCATCCTGAAGCTACTTCAACCCGAGGTATGACTGTACAACTGGAAGCTCCCCCATGACGTCGCCGGGGGTCGTGCCATGGCCCTAGCCACCAGCAGGGCATTGGACAGGATCCACGACTGCCGGATTCCTTTAATGGAATACCCAAAAGAGGAGGGGTAGATGATGGCCCATACCCCATCCTCCAACACAGCACAGCTATTCCAATGCCTAACCCCCAATACCAGAAGTTGTCATGAGTTGCTGGGAGGTAGGTGGAAAAACCAAGAGGCTGGTGCCAGTTTGCCAAATGGATAAAGAAGTCCTACCAGGCCCCTTGGGCAACCAAGGTGACCAACCGAAGTCCATAGCAAGGTCAAGATGCAAAAAGAAGCTGACCTAAGAGGGATGGAGGGCGGGAGATTCGAAGGAAGCAGGAACAGGCTGGGAGCTGAGCGCTACCGCGGCCGTTTAGATGCGGCTAGCCCCGCCCTCCAGCCAGCCCTATTGGTCGGCCGGAAGGCTTGGCCGCGGCAGCAGAAGCAATCAGGAGCAGGGAGCCCAACACGCTTCCCTGCTGCTGCGGGAAGCTGCTCCCGCTCACAACCCCTTCCCTCTGGGAGGAGGAGAGGCCATGTCAGGGCGGGTTTGGTAATAACAATAACAATAATAATAATAATTTATTATTTGTACCCCGCCCATCTGGCTGGGTTTCCCCAGCCACACTGGGCGGCTTCCACAAAGACCAAAAATACACTAATATGTCATACATTAAAAACTTCCCTGAACAGGGCTGCCTTCAGATGTCTTCTGAATGTCAGGTAGTTGTTTATCTCTTTGACATCTGATGGGAGGGCGTTCCACAGGGCGGGTGCCACCACCGAGAAGGCCCTCTGCCTGGTTCCCTGTAGCTTGGCTTTTCGTAGCGAGGGAACGGCCAGAAGACCCTCAGCACTGGACCTCAGTGCCCGGGCAGAACGATGGAGGTGGAGACACTCCTTCAGGTATACTGGGCTGAGGCTCTTTAGGGCTTTAAAGGTCAGCACCAACACTTTGAATTGTGTCTGGAAACGTACTGGCAGCCAAACGTACTGGTAGCGGCGCTGGAGGCATGGGAGGGTGGCAAGTGGCTTCGAGGGAGACAGCGAGTCCTGCAGGAGTCCGGATGCCATTGCATGTTGCTCTCACGCGGTTCTTGCCGAGCTCACGGCCGGAGCAAGGGGTTCGCCGGAGGGGTTCTGCCAAGGTCCGTCTCGGGTCGCCGTGGCCGGAAATGAGCTTCTCGAAGGAAGGCTGAGAGGGGCTGGTTGGAAAAGGCTGCTCTGATGGCTTCTCTTGAGGACGCTGCTGGGGTTTCTCCTGTCCGGGTCTCTTTCTTGTTGGGGTGGCCTTGTGGGTTGTCCTGGCTCTGACTTGCTGCTTTCTTTCTCTCTCTCTCTTCTCTTCTAGGGGTGGCAATAAGCACTTACGCCAAGTACTGTTACAGCAAGCTCCAGAAAGCAGCATTGACCGGCGCCAAAAAGGTACTGCCATCCTCTCTTTCTGTCTAGTTTTTGGGTGTGGATTTGATCTACCGATCTGTGAAATTTTGTTAGAGTATAAAGAAGAATACAAAGCTTATTATCGAATATCTTTCCCCCTCAAACTAAAACATTAATCTAAACTTCTTATCAAAAGAAAGAGATTAAGAAAGAAAAAAGATGATAATAATAATAATAATAATAATAATAATAATTTTTAAAAAAAGGAAAATAAGGTACTTCTGCTTCTCTCTCTGCCAGTTATATATATAAAGGAATTGTCCAGTAGCACCTTAAGTAAAGGACTTCTGACCATTAGGTCCAGTCGTGGCCGACTCTGGGGTTGCGGTGCTCATCTCGCTTTATTGGCCGAGGGAGCCGGCGTACAGCTTCCGGGTCATGTGGCCAGCATGACTAAGCCGCTTCTGGCAAACCAGAGCAGCGCACGGAAACGCCGTTTACCTTCCCGCCGGAGTGGTACCTAATTATCTACTTGCACTTGACGTGCTTTCGAACTGCTAGGTTGTCAGGAGCAGGGACCGAGCAACGGGAGCTCACTCCGTCGCGGGGATTTGAACCGCTGACCTTCTGATCGGCAAGTCCTAGGCTCTGTGGTTTAACCCACAGCACCAGTAGCACCTTAGAGACCAAGTAAGTTTGTTCTGGGTATAAGCTTTCGTGTGCTTGCACACTTCTTCAGAAGATAATGATGATGATGATGATGATGATGATGATGATGACATAAGATGAGCCTGCTGAATCAGGCCAGTGGCCCATCTAGTCCAGTCTCTTGTCCTCACTGTGGCCGACCAGGTGCCCCAGTGGGAAATCCACAAGCAGGATCAAGAGCATTGCTGCCTCCAACTGGGGAGTCAGAGCACGGCCATTGTGGCTAGCAGCCATCCCTAGCGCTGTCACCCACTCGCTGGATTAGGAAGACTGGCGAACTAATATCAGTATACTGGAAGAAGCAAAGATCACCAGTGCTGAAGCCATGATTCTTCAACATCAGCTTCGTTGGACTGGTCGTGTTGTGCGGATGCATGATGATCGTCTTCCCAAGCAACTACTCTATTCCGAACTTAAAAATGGAAAGTGTAATGCCGGTGGTCAGCAAAAGTGGTTCAAAGACTCTCTCAAGGCAAATCTAAATAAATGTAGTATAAACACCGACAACTGGGAAACACTGGCCTGCGAGCGCTCCAGTTGGAGAACAGCCTTTACCAAAGGTGCCATGGGCTTTGAAGACACTCGAACTCAGGACGCAAGGGAGAAATATACTAAGAGGAAGGCACACTTGTTGGGATACTGCCAGGGAGAAAAGTCCATCATGGCCCCAAGCCGTCTGCCGGACAATCCATCGATCTCCCGTAGGCACGCAGTATCAGCAATTAGCGACATGAGTTTCTAGAAAATATCTTGCCACATTCCAGAGCTCATGCACACTCTATCAGCAGATAATGCACAGCAAAAGTCGCACTCAGGAGAGCATTATTTACAAGTTTTATTCAGCGTTGATCAGAACAAAGAAAGACATGACTGCCTGCGTCAGTGTCTCCAGACACACAGAGAGAAACGAAAGCAATAGCAAACATAAACATCCTGTGAACAGGACATGCGCAGACTCTGACTCACAAAGCCTGCTCCCTTTTAAGGTGGAACGGAAATATCCTAACAGGCAAATCCACACCATGATCAACTCCCGCCCGGAAAACTATGTCCCCATTGTGAAAGGATGTGTGGATCCAGAATTGGCCTCCACAGTCACGGTAAAGGGACCCCTGACCATTAGGACCAGTCGTGGCCGACTCTGGGGTTGTGGCGCTCATCTCGCTTTACTGGCCAAGGGAGCCGGTGTACAGCTTCTGGGTCATGTGGCCAGCATGACTAAGCCGCTTCTGGCGAACCAGAGCAGCACACGGAAACGCCGTTTACCTTCCCGCCGGAGCGGTAGAAATAAAAAAGATAATAATAATAATAATAGTAATGAAAATAAGGTACTTCTGCTTCTCTGTCTGCCAATTATATATATAACGTAATTGTCCAGTAGCACCTTAAAGGTAAAGGGACCCCTGACCATTAGGTCCAACTCTGGGGTTGCAGCGCTCATCTCGCTTTACTGGCCGAGGGAGCCGGCATACAGCTTCCGGGTCATGTGGCCAGCATGACTAAGCTGCTTCTGGCGAACCAGAGCAGTGCATGGAAACGCCGGTACCTATTTATCTACTTGCACTTTGACGTGCTTTCGAACTGCTAGGTTGGCAGGAGCAGGGACCGAGCAACGGGAGCTCAACCAGTCACGGAGATTCGAACCGCCTACCTTCTGATCGGCAAGTCCTAGGCTCTGTGGTTTAACCCACAGCGCCACCCACATACCTGTTACTTACGGACTCACTGTTAAAACCGTGTTTATGGAAGAAAATCTTACTTGGCTATGAGGGATTGCCAAAGAAAGAAAGAAAGAAAGAAAGAAAGAAAGAAAGAAAGAAAGAAAGAAAGAAAGAATAGCGGTGTCATCCTCTTCACTCCATGGTGTTGGAGAGGACGGAGAAGGGGCTTCTGAGCTCCTGTCCCATCACATCTAGAGATGGGAGGAAGGGCTTGAAGGTCTCCTTCTGCAGACCAGGCAAGGTTCTTCCCCCACCCCCCGGAACAGGAAGAAGTGCTGAGACGCTGGCATTCCTGTTTCCTGCATCCGGCCATTTTAAGAAAGGGCTCCTTTCATAGCAGGAGAATACCCAGATCTAGCCAGCCTGAGGCTCCTTTGTGGGGGAGAGACCCACAAGGAGGTGGAACCACAAAGAGAGCCTTTCACGGGGAAGCTCCCCCCGCTGACCTTTCCGCTTGAGCCTGAGTCAAGGAAGGAGTGAAGCCGCTTAAAGGGGCAGCGGGTGAGGAGGAGACGCCGGAAGGTTGGCCCAGCCTTGAAGAGCTGGGACAGCACTGTGGGGCTACATCCGGACTGGCCTTGTTTCCCTGGAGCTGTTCTAGATCCAGCAGGTTCTTCTCATGTTCTTACAGGTCCCGTTTGCACAGCTCCCGTTTGTAGCTCTAGAGAACGCCGTGCTTGATTACTCCCTAAGTTAATAAGTGGAAAGTGCAATTGCCCCCGCATGTTCCTTTGCAGGGGTTCAACACAGGCATGTGTGTGTGTTTGTACACACACACACACACACACACACACTAGGGTTGAGCGATATCTGGTTTTCAACATTGTGATATATCACCCACTAAGCATCACGATATATCACAATGACTGAAACAGAAATGGCGGTAGGGAGAGGAATTGGCTGGCTTCATAGTTTTCCCCGCATTGTGTTTTTTTTGCATATAGCACAGAAATAAACGTCATGATTTGTGATACACTGCCAGGCCGAAAAATTATGAAACAGGTATCACGGTGTGGACTTCAAACCAGTTTTGGACGATATATATCGCCCAGCCCGAAGACACGCTTCTTTTTCAAGTTGCTTCCTTAGTTAGTTAGTTTCCCCCCGACTTTTTAGAATTTGCAGGTTTTTAAAAACTCCGAAACAGGTTGAACTGCAGTGAAGAATTTTGCATCGTCACAAAGCGCACATCTGAACCCACGTGTATGTCCAGCACTCAGCCCTTTCCCAGCACACGCTACTAACAGGTTTAGGGGATTTTGCTCACGTTATTAACATGCATTTGTCATGAATATGTGTTTGCCTTTAACCTTATGCCACTCCCAACCATAGCTGTCAACGTTTCCCTTTTTTTAAGGGCAATTCCCTTATTCCGAATAGGACTCCTCGCAAGAAAAGGGAAAAGTTGACAGCTGTGCCCCCAACCCAAGTCCTCCCACAAGAGGAATAAAGGAAGGTTGGCATATTGCAAGAAATGAAAGTGACAGAATACAATGGTACCCCGGGTTACATACGCTTCAGGTTATTTACACTTCAGGTTACAGACTCTGCTAACCCAGAAATAGTACCTCGGGTTAAGAACTTTGCTTTAGGATGAGAACAGAAATCGTGCTCCGGTGGCAGCGGGAGGCCCCATTAGCTAAAGTGGTGCTTCAGGTTAAGAACAGACCTCCGGAACGAATCACTGTATTTTTTGCTCTATAAGACGCACCAGACCATAAGACGCACCTAGTTTTTGGAAGAGGAAAACAAGAAAAAAAAATTCTGAATTCCAGAAGCCAGGACTCCCACTGCCCTGGCTCCCACTGCCCGGGAGAGGCTGCGCACGGCTAAGCCAGAAGCTGCGCTGCAATCCCACTGGCTGTCCTGGCTTCTGGCTTAGCCATGCGCAGCCCCTCCCCGGCAATGGGAGCCTTCATCCCCTGGCCGGGAAAGGCTGCGCTCGGCTAAGGCTCCCCCAAGAGCTGCGCTCCCTTTAAAGAGCGCACAGAGTGTGTGTGCGGCTCTTTAAAGGGAGCGCTGACAGAGCCTCCCACCTGCATTCGCTCCATAAGACGCACACACATTTCCCCTTACTTTTTAGGAGGGGAAAAGTACGTCTTATAGAGTGAAAAATACAGTAAGTTCTTAACCCGAAGTACCACTGTATAGAGGTTCTGCTCCCACAGTATCCATACCTTGACACGAAGAGTAAAAGAAGGATCCCTGTCCAGGTTGTCTTACCCATAGAGGCTAGTGGTGCGGGGCGCCAGGGCGTCAAGTTCTGGAGGGCTCCAGGGAAGAGGCGGAGGCTGGACATCAGCTCGCCACCCTTGCCCGCCTCTGCCATGCCACATCGAAGCAGCGTTGTGCCGCGCCCGGAGCCTCCGTCTGCCATGGCCACCGCAGCGCGAAGCGTCCAGCTGAGCCAGAAGTCGCCGCATCCAGCCTCTGCCTCTTCCCCACCGGAGGAGCCCCCCTCCAGCCACTGCCCGCCTCCTCCAGCCCCACCAGCAGCGCCGTCCTCCCTAAAAAACTCTGGGAAACGGGGAGCGCCGGAGGGAGCTTTGCACCGCGGCGCCGGATATGTTTAAGACGGCCCTGTCCCTGTCAAAAGACTGAAGAGAGAGGGGGAGTGTGACATTTGCCACTGACCCATACTAAAAGGAAGGCAAGAAAGGGATGGGTTTATGTGTCCTGAAGAAAAGCCGAGTGTAGTAGTAGTAGTAGTAGTAGTAGTAGTAATAATAATAATTATTATTATTTATTTATACCCCGCCCATCTGGCTGGGTTTCCCCAGCCACTCTGAGCGGCTTCCAACACAATATTAAAATGCAGTAATGCATCAAACATTAAATGCTTCCTTAAACAGGGCTGCCTTCAGATGTCATCTAAAAATCTGGTAGTTATTCTCTTTGACATCTGGTGGGAGGGCGTTCCACAGGGCGGGTGCCATTACCGTGTCAGGCTGGTCCTCAAGAACATAGATTGAAAAGGGAGTCCACGGTGAAGCTTTGAGAGCGAACCAACCATTGAAAAGTCGGGGTTTAAGTACAGTGCTGTTTTGAGCCAATATTAGGAGATCAAGAAACCTTCCAGGACACGTTCAGGATAAGGATCAAGAAAGCTCACTGATGGGGGAGGGGTGCATTTTATATCAAGGTTTGCCAGCTTTTACTCTGGCCTTGATCTACAGGAAAATAAAGTTTTGAGAAAGTTCAGATTGGCACGGCGCCAGGGACTTTCCTTCTCGCCTCGTCCGTTTGAGCTGCTCGGTCTCAAGACATTCTGAGCCACACCTGCAGCTCTCGGGCCTCTTGAACTGCACCTGTTGAACAACGTCATGCTTGTTTACGACAGGCGCCCGCAAGAGGGTCTGCAAGGAACTTCCGGCCCCTTCCTTGCCACAGCTGTTCCGCGCTCCCGGTTTGCTAAGCTCCTTGCAAGGGGCGGCAGAGCAGACGATGATGACTCACTTGATCTCCCGCTTTCATTAGGATAAATGGCTGCGGCTCTTGTTTTTCCACACGTTGGCAAGGCGGCCGGTGGGGGAAGATTGGGGGGGAGAAGGAGAGAACGTGGTCTGCAAAAACTCGGGAGACATCTGGAGAAAAGAGCAGAGCGAGATGGAACGTGTGTATTCAGGCCCAGGAGAAGGAACCGCTCTCAAAGGCAGCTGGGTAGGGGCCTGTTCCGGATTCAGGGCTGTGAAGTCCGAGCGTCCACAGAATCTACTTTTATTTTATCGCATTTGCATCCTACCATTTCTTCAATGAAGCTCAGGGCGGCGTGCATGGTTCTTTCCCTCTCCGTGTTATCTTCAAAACAACCTTGGGAGGTAGCTTAGGCAGAGAGACTGCGGCTGGCCCAAGCGTCACTCAGTTTCGTGGCTGGAGGGGGGAATTTGAACCCTGGTCCCCCAGGGTACGGTGCTCTAGGCCACAACTAGCTCCCCAGATGGGTCACAATGAACAAGACGGATACAGTGGCAGGACAGATATCAACCTTTTCTGCCATTATTACTAGACGATAAACCTAGACAGCATCTTAAAAAGCAGAGACATCACCTTGCCAACAAAGGTCCGTATAGTTAAAGCTATGGTTTTCCCAGTAGTGATGTATGGAAGTGAGAGCTGGACCATCAAGAAGGCTGATCGCCAAAGAATTGGTGCTTTTGAATTCTGGTGCTGGAGGAGACTCTTGAGAGTCCCATGGACTGCAAGAAGATCAAACCTCTCCATTCTGAAGGAAATCAGCCCTGAGTGCTCACAAGAAGGACAGATCCTGAAGCTGAGGTTCCAAGACTTTGGCCACCTCATGAGAAGAGAAGACTCCCTGGAAAAGACCTGATGTTGGGAAAGATGGAGGGCGCAAGGAGAAGGGGAGGACAGAGGACGAGATGGTTGGATGGTGTTCTCGAAGCTACAAACATGAGTCTGACCAAGCTGCGGGAGGCAGTGGAAGACAGGAGTGCCTGGCGTGCTCTGGTCCAGGGGGTCACGAAGAGTCAGACACGACTAAACGACTAAACAACAACAACAACGTCGGTTTTGGACCGGCCTTTGCTGCCCTGCTGCCCTCCAGTTGTTTTGGACAAGCGCACCTATTAGCCCGGCCAGGTTGCTACTGGTTGAGTCTTACTTAATTTGCATAGCATTGCAGAATCCAGGATTCTTGACCGCAGAATTTTAGGCTACAACCCCCTTCTCCCTTCTGAGTCGCAGAAATAACTTGTAGGTTTGCTCTGGTGATAATCCTAATGTGGACATAGCGCTGTATATTCGAAGCATCCTCAGAGTTTGCCGCCCAAGTAAGTGCAACAGAAACAAGTTCATCTGCTTCTGGAGGGGGGCAGCTCACCCACCCCACGCTGGCAATGCAGAAAATTCCGGGGGCAAGGTGGCGGCTGCGTGGCTGTTTGCACGGCCACGGGGGATGCAAGAGGCTTTTGGCAAAGGCAGTTGTTGTGCCATATTTGTGTGTGTGTGTGTGTGTGTATGTTTGGGGGGAGAGAGAGCAATTCGAGACCAGCAGGAATTAGCACCCTGTGGATCTGAAAGCAGGGTAGCTCCTCTGCCATTTTTCCCCAGAGGTGGTGTTTGCAGCATGCAAAGGGTTAAAGCAACGTGTGCTCTCTCGAAATGCCAGGGAAGCCTGTCTTTCCCCATCAATAATGGAAGAGGATGAAATTTTAACTAGGGCCGAATGTTGGCACGTGGGCCTGGCTGGGCAGGCACATGAAAGGAGCAGCGCGAGACGGGTCCTCATTTTGTGCAGCCCCACCTGCTCCCCCAAAACCTTTTTGGACCCTCTCCTGCTTTGCTCGCTCATCCCTAGTGCCCTCTACCCTATAAAAAGCATCATTCAGCAGAGTATTTTCCCCGGCCCACTAAGGAAGGCGATAACACAGTTGAATTCAGAGCAGTGGCAATGATTTGGACAAAACCCAATTCACACTTATTCAGTTGAATTCTGAAAAACCGATGAACTGGCAATGCCAGCTTTTCCAAGTCTAATAGTTGTTTGCACCTCCAGCGCCCCCTGCTGCCCCCTTGCCCCTTAGCAGCCACCCTGGTAATCCCACTGCCTGGTGGGGGTTGCGACCCCCTTTGGGGGAACCATCGATCTAGGTCTTTGGCCACCATCTGCAGTCATGGCACTCCCCCCTAAAACCTCCCAACCCCAAAGAGTCGGACGCAGGAGATCCCAGGGCTGGGTTTCTGTTCTGGATTCAGGGCTGTGAAGTCCGAGCAGCCACAGAATCTACTTTCATTTTATCGCATTTGAATCCCACCTTCCACGAAGCTCAGGGCGGCGTGCGTGGTTCTGTCCCTCTCCGTGTTATCTTCACAACAAGCTTGGGAGGTAGCTTAGGCAGAGAGACTGCGGCTGGCCCAAGCGTCACTCAGTGAAGAGCAGAATTTGAACGCTGGTTACCCAGATCCTAGTATGGTGCTCTAGGCCACAACGAGCTCCCCAAATGGGTCACAATGAACAAGACGGATACAGTGGCAGGACAGATACCAGCCTTTTCTGCAATCCCTCTGGGATCTTCTTCTGCACCTGGGCTGGAGGGGCAGCCTGTGGGTGCCGGTCCACGAGGGTCCAGTGGGGCACTGCCTCTCCAGCATTCCGCTCCCAGTCAGCCCCCACCTGCTGCCAACAAGCCCAATGGGTCGCCCTGCCTGTCGGCTTCCTCCACCCTCGCCTCTGTGAGCTTAAAGTCGAGGTGGAAGAGACAGACAAATTTGGAAGTAGCAGACTCCGGCTGTCTTTTGCTCTGCTGCCCCCTACTGTCGACCTCCCAGCGCTCTGCCCTACCAGTCTGTCTCCCAAGGGCACCAACCAGTTGGCAGGCACTGTCAACCTCTCCTCCGAATGATTAATTTCTCTGCCCGTGGTATAAACTATAGCGAAATGAGGAAGAACATTCAGAAGGACTCTTTCTGACTGCGAGAGCTGTTTGACAGTGGAGCGGACCCTCTCAGAAGGTGAAGGCTCTTCTTTCTTAGAGGTTTTGAAACAGAAGTTTTTTGGGGGGCACCTGCCAGGGGTTACCAGTATTTAGCAATGATTTCTGCACTGCTAGGGGTTGGGCTAGATCAGGGGTCCCCAAACTAAGGCCCGTGGGCCGGATAAGGCCCAAGGGACTCGTTTATCCGGCCCGCGGCAACCCCCGCCGCCTGCTGCCGCCACCCACTCTTAGTGGTGCTGCGCTGTGCGGCTGCCCACTTCCGGGTCGGAGGAGCACTGGAAATAGCTTATGCGCATGCACAAGCGTTATTTGCGCATGTACATCTATTATTTCCGGTGCACATCCGGATCAGAGGAGGCCCGTGCACATGCGCACAAGCTATTTCTGGTGCTCCTCCAACCCGGAAGTGCGCCGGAAATAGCGTGTATGGGCACACGCTCACCCGCCCTCCGGCCCGCTGCGTTATCAGCGCTGGAGACACCGGCCCGAGGTGTGGTAAGTTTGCTGACCCCTGGGCTAGATGACCTGGGGTCCCTTCCAACCCTACAAAATTATTTTTAAAATAATAATAATAATAGTAATGTTATTTCTATCCTGCCCATCTGGCTGGGTTTCTCCAGCCACTCTGGGCGGCAGACAGCATATATAAAAACATAATAACATTATATCCTCCATTGCTGCCACACACACCCTTATAAGCAGCCAGTTTCCACTCCTTGACCTTGCTTTCTGTCCTTGCCTCCTTCTGTTCACGTGGACTGTGTTGACCTCTCCCAGCATGAGAGTGTTGCCCTCACTCTGTCCCCCTGGAGGTTTTGCATCCATGCAAAAGATGCCCTTGTTGTTTATTCCCTCCTCCAGCAGCACCCTCTCCTCCCTGCCCTTCTGCAAAGCAGCCCTTTCGCCTCTTCTGAACCAGCCTTCCCAGCTCCTCCTTCCTCCTCCTTCCCTCCCAGACCACTGCTGCCCCTCTGTGGCCGAAGGCTGGATGGCTGCGCAGAGAAGGCTTTTCTCACACGCCTCAATCTGGAGTGTGCTCATGGAGCTAATAATTGCAGAATCGTAGAGTTGGAAGTGTCCCCAAGTGTCATCAAGTTCGACCCCCGCGCACTGCCCGGGGTGGAATTCGAACCCATGACCCTAAGATTAAGATTATCATGCTCTACCGAGTGAGCTGTCCCAGGTCCATTGCAGATTCTCAAAGAGTTTTTTTAAAGGGATGGGTGAAGAGTTGGCCGTTGACTGCCCTGTTTGAGCCTCTCCCCATGACCTGCTTCTGCAAAGCCTCCAGCAACCCCATAAAGGTAAAGGGTAAAGGGACCTGTTATGTACTGAGTTGAATAGGACCCAGAATGCAGCAGTCTGATTGGTCCTAGAACAATAGGATCCAGAATGCAGCAGTCTGATTGGTCCGCAGGAGCCACCCAATTCAACTCCAGGTGGAAGTGAACCCGCAACCTGATTGGCCTACAGGAGAATCCCATAATTAGCCAATCAAGTGGGGCCCATTGTGTAAATAATGTATATAAAGCAGACATTTCAGGGGAACTTCCATTCCTCACTACTCTGAGCTGAATAAAGAGCATGAAATCCACACTCCGAGTATATTTCAGGACCCCTGGCTGTTGGGTCCAGTTGCGGACGACTCTGGGGTTGCAGCACTCATCTCGTTTTACTGGCCGAGGGAGCCGGCGTACAACTTCCGGGTCATGTGGCCAGCATGACTAAGCCGCTTCTGGCGAACCAGAGCAGCACACGGAAACGCCGTTTACCTTCCCGCCGGAGTGGTACCTATTTATCTACTTGCGCTCTGATGTGCTTTTGAACTGCTAGGTTGGCAGGAGCAGGGACTGAGCAATGGGAGCTCACCCCGTCATGGGGATTTGAACCGCCGACCTTCTGATCGGCAAGCCCTAGGCTCTGTGGTTTAACCCACAGCGCCACGCGCATCCTTCCCAACAACTTACCAAGGTGTTAAACAGGCTCCTGGCATCTCCAGCTGTTTCATGAGTCTCTTTGAGTTGGGGGGAAAAAACCTATCCCCAAACCACTAACGACTTCTTTGGAGGTCTTTAAGCAGAGGCTTGACAACCATATGTCAGGAGTGCTCTGATGGTGTTTCCTGCTTGGCAGGGGGTTGGACTCGATGGCCCTTGTGGTCTCTTCCAATTCTATGATTCTATGACTTCAATAAATAAAACAAATAAAGGCAAAGGTGGCACACATAGTTTACCCCTCCTCATTTTATCCTCACAACAAACCTGTGAGGTAGGCTAGGCCGAGAGAGAATGACTGCCCATGGCCACATGCAGTGAGCTTCATGGCCAAGCGGGGATTCGAACCCAAGTCTCCCAGGTCCTAGTCCAACACTCTAGCCGCCAAGCCATTGCTGGCTTGCAGATTTCTTCCTTGAGCGTTTCCGCTTGGTTGAAATGTGTCCTGGAACTTTGAAAAAGGTTGTTCCCTCCTCGTCCTTTCCTATTCCTCTCTGACCCTTTCCTGGCTCCCTCAGTGTCAGGATTCTAGTTTGCAGCCCGATAGACGTCATGCGAGAGGACGAGATGGCTGGACAGTGTTCTCGAAGCTACGAACATGATTCTGACCAAACTGCGGGAGGCAGTGGAAGACAGGAGTGCCTGGCGTGCTCTGGTCCAGGGGGTCACGAAGAGTCAGACACAAGACTAAACGACTAAAGAACAACAACAAGGCATCATGTGTCTCCAAAGAGTCCAGCATGTCAAGGGCACCGTTAAAAGCGCCTGGGAATTATAGGGACAGAACTACCTAAATTGTATAAAAAATGATTTATTTTATTTTATTTTCCACAAAAAATTATTGGTTTTTCAAATTTGTAACAAACATAAACAACATAAAAGAAAAAACATTACAATATAAAAAACAAACAAACAAACTTACATTTATCCTATTATCCTATTATAATATATTTTTATAACCATTATTAAATGACTTCCTCAAATCCCTCAAGCTGAGTTTCCATGTGGCTCATTGTAGCAGTTTTCCAATACTAATTTCCAATAAAATTAACTTAATCAATCAACATCTTTCTTTCTTATTCTATTCACTTATATCCATCATATTATTAAATTGTATAAAAAATGATTTTTGTACACGACTACAGCGGCAAGAATGTTACTTGCCCAAAAATGGAAACAAGTCCTAGCAAAGGAAGAATGGATGCAAAAACTTATGGAATATGCAGAAATGGCGAAAGTTACTAGAAGAATAAGAAATCAAGATAATAAACTTTTTATCAAAGAATGGCAATGGCTTATTGAATATTTACGGATAAATTGTAAACAGATAAAAACACTGGCAGGATTATTGTAAAAACTGGCAGGATTATTGTAAAAACTGGCAGGATTATTGTAAAAACCTGCAGCCGTACAAGAGTATATATATTTGAGAAATAAATGAGCAAGTTAATTTGGATATGCAGAAGATATTAAAAATAAATTTAAGGAACCGCAGAAAGAGGGGGAAGTGAAATGTATATATCTGAAAAGTATAAATAAAATTTAAAAAGAAGACGAAGAAGAGAAGCGCCATGATTAGGTCGTATCCTGCATTCCAGCGCCCAGGGACATCTCTCTGAGCTGGGTCTTGTGCCTCCGCTCACACCGACCGCCTTCCCTTTCAGGGCCTGAAGAAGCCAAACATCGAAGAGATCCGGCACGCCAAGAACGCCGTCTTCAGCCCTTCCATGTTCGGCAGCTCCCTGCAAGAGATCATGAACATGCAGAAGGAGAGGTACCCTGACCGCCAGCTCCCATGGGTGCAGACGCGGCTGTCGGAGGAGGTGCTGGCCTTGAACGGAGACCAGACCGAGGGCATCTTCAGGTAAGGCCCCCCTTGCCCTGGGGCAGCGCCCTTGGGGCAAACAGTTGAGCCGGCTTCCAGTCTGCTGGCTCCTTTAGCATATACTGTATTTTTGTGCATAAGACGCACATTTTCCTTCCTAAAAAGTAAGGGGAAATGTGTGTGCGTCTTATGGAGCAAATGCAGGGGGGACGCACGCAGGGAAAGCCCCCAAGAGCTCTGCGCGGCTCCTGAGGGCTTTTCCCCGAGGAGGGAGAAGGGACTGACGCAACCAGTCCCTTCTCCCTCCTCGTAGAAAAGCCCGCAGGAGCAGCATGCTCCTTAAAGGGTGTGTGGCACCTGTGGGCTTTTGTGGGAGGTGGGGGTATTGCCATAGCTGCGTGCAGCTCCTCCGGCCGGGATCCATCCCGCTCGCTGTCTTGGCTTCTTTAGCCGCGCGCAACCTCTCCAGTCAGGATGGATCCCGCTTGCTGTCTTGGCTTCTTTGCTCTTTGGGCCTGGCGGGGGGGAACCCGGGCTCCCCCCGGCAGCCCCAGAAGCTCTGGGAGAAGCGGATTTTTTTTCTTGATTTCCCCCTCTAAAAACTAGGTGCGCCTTATGGTCCGGTGCGCCTTATGGAGCGAAAAATACGGTATTTTAGGGCAAACTCCATGCCCGGTGGTCTGCAAGAGCCTTTGCCCCTTGAGCTTTGCCCAGAAGCCATAAAATCCACCTTAGACCAAGTTAGATTTGGCACGCTTTCTCCGTTACATAAATAGCAGCCTTGGGGTGGCGTGAGATGGGGAAGGAGAAGAGTTGAGTTGAGCTGCAGGAGTCAGCCCCCAAAATGCAAATAGCAGCTTCAGAGAGGTGATGGAAAATGAACAGGTCATCATGCCTGGTTTGGCCCTGAGGCTGTGAGCCGTTTCGCAAGCAGCCCTAAGCCAAACACAGCCACTGCCCATGGTCTTTCGCTGGGTAGACTACAGAAACAAATATTAACACATTTCCGTTGGCTATTGTTAGCATCACAGTGAATCCTGAAATGGCAATGTGACCGGATTGGAATTTCTTACCCCCATCTCGTCTCTTGTTTTATTTAATTCTATATGTGTTTTTCACGGTTTCCGTGTTGTTGCAAATAAAGAAACAGATTAAAAAGCAATGCTATGGTCAGAGGAGATTTTGGCCAATTTGCTCCTCTTCCTGCCCTGCTGTTAACTAAGCCACGGTTTCGCTTAGCACGCTGTCTGAAGCTGGGGTTGTGATTTCTCTTGCTCCAGACAAACCACAGGCTCTAACCAAGGTTTGTTGCAACCCATGGTTGATATGGCATTCTGATGCACCCCATGGTTTAGCTCACAGCAGTACAGCAGCGGGGGACATGGGAGAGGAGCGATGAGGCCATAACCTTGGCTCTGGGAATCCTCACACTCATGCATTCAACCTAAACAATGGTTTGGCCTTGTGTTACATGCAAAGCAGTTCTTGAGCGTAAGACGAGAACTGGATCAGGCCAAAGACCCTTCTAGTCCATCACCCACTGTTCTTAACCTTGCGAGTCTCTCTCTTCTATTTCTTTGGGGTGTCCCTTTCTTCCCTTCTGCAGAGTCCCTGGAGACATCGATGAGGTCAACGCCCTCAAGCTGCAGGTCGACCAGTGGAAAATCCCCACCGGCTTGGAAGACCCTCACGTCCCCGGTGAGGAGAAAGGACTCCCCTCCCTCCTTGCCTCCAGCCTCAAAGCCCCTGGGTAGCCTAGGACAGGGGCTTGGGGGCCCGGTTCTGCTCTGCAGAGGAACTTAAGGTCCATGAATAACCATAGTTTAGAGGTCCCGGGCCCTAAGGAAGTCAGACTATCCTCCACCAGGACCAGGGCCTTCTCAGTGATGGCTCCAACCTGGTGGAATGCTCTGTCCCATGAGACCAGGACCCTGCAGGATTTAACCTCCTTCCGCCGGGCCTGTAAGACAGAGCTATTCCACCTGGCTTTTAATTTGAATTCAGCTTGATCTTTTATTTCCCTTCTCTTCCCTCCCCCTCCCCTTTTATGAAAATTACCTGCTTTGAGACCCCACAGCTAATTCTCCCCTGGCCTCCTTGCTGGCCGAAGTAGGACTAATTCAGCCAGCTAGCCCTGGTGATTATCTAATATTAATTAGATGAATTCCCCCTAAGTTGATCTCTGAACTTTGGATTTCATTGTTATTCGTGTTTTTATACTGTACTTTATGCTACTTTTACAATTAAGTGTTTTAAATTTGTTGTTAGCTGCCCTGAGCCTGGTTTTTGAACCGGGAAGGGAGGGGTATAAATAAAAATGTATTATTATTATTATTAAGAGCTGGCACGGCATAGTGGTTAGGGTGCCAGACTGAGAGCTGAGAGACCAGGGTTCAAATCCCCACTCGGCTATGAAGCTCACATCAGCAACCAATGCGCCCCATTGGTTTCAGATGATACATGTTTAGACAGGTCCAAAAAGCCCGGGACTCCAATTTTCATGACCCACTAGTGATTGTGGTGGCTCATTTACCAGAAGTAGTAGTAATAATAATAATAATTTATTATTTGTACCCCGCCCATCTGACTGGGTCTCCCCATCCACTCTGGGCGGCTTCCAACAAAGATTAAAAATACATAAAAATGTCACACATTAAAAGCTTCCCGGAACAGGGCTGCCTTCAGATGTTTTCTAAATGTCAGGTAGTTGTTTATTTCCTTGACAACTGGTTCCACAGGGCAGGTGCCACAACCGAGAAGGCCCTGGTTCCCTGCAACTTTGCTTCTCGCAGGGAGGGAACCGCCAGAAGGCCCTCAGCGCTGGACCTCAGTGTCCGGGTAGAACAACGGGGGTGGAGATGCTCCTTCAGGTATACTGGACCAAGGCTGTTTAGGGATTTAAAGGTCAGCACCAACACTTTGAATTGTGCTCGGAAACGTACTGGGAGCCAATGTAGGTCTTTCAGGCCCAGTGTTATATGGTCTCGGTGGCCGCCCCCAGTCACCAGTCTAGCTGCTGCATTCTGGATTAATTGCAGTTTCCGAGTCACCTTCAAAGGTAGCCCCATGTAGAGCGCATTGCAGTAGTCCAAGCGGGAGATAACCACAGCATGCACCACTCTGGCGAGACAGTCTGCAGACAGGGAGGGTCTCATCCTGTGTACCAGATGGAGCTGGTAGACAGCTGCCCTGGATACAGAATTGAACTGTGCCTCCATGGACAGCTGTGAGTCCAAAATGACTCCCAGGCTGCGCACCTGGTCCTTCAGGGGCACAGTAATGCATTTAGCGTTAACTCTGAAAGTGTATACTAAACTTCCTGATGTGTACTGTCCTCTAGGAGGCTTAGTTTTGTCAGAAATGGGCCTGTGTGCGTCATTGAAATTCTACTCAATATGATTCAGATCCCAACATATACTTAGCCGAGTAACAACTTAAACACATTGCAGGATTCCCAAAAAAATAGACCAAAGGCAATTGTATTTCATCCAGCAGAGCTTTACTGCATAATGGGCACAAATCCAATACATTCAGGATTGGCCCTGTCCATAAGAAATCCAGTTGCAGCAGACTTAACTCAAAGTTACAACTCAAACCTGACATTCAGAAGACATCTGAAGTCAGCCCTGTTCAGGGAAGTTTTTAATGTGTGACATCTTAGTGCATTTTTGGTCTTTGTTGGAAGCCACCCAGAGTGGCTGGGGAAACGCCGCCAGACGTGCGGGGTACAAATAATAAATTATTATTATTATTATTACTATTATTATTACAAGAACTTATAATAAGACTAAACCTTAACACTGTATACAGAACACCGCACCAGAAGGAGAAGAGATAGAAAGGGAAAGAGTGAAACGCAGGCTCCTTCTGGCCTCTTATCATAGTCAGCATGACCTTGAAGATAAGATAGCAGGACCAGCTGTGCTCAGCTTCTCTGAAGGAATAACCCAAACATCAAGAACCTTCTGCTTGCTTCTTTCACACAGAGAAGCGTCCAGAACCCTCTTGAATGAAGCAGAATAGGAACGATCTCTAGACATCAGATCAATACTTTCTGCACTAAGAAATGCAAACTGACAGTGTGGCTCGGCCTCTTTCTCCCCTGACCGACCCCCCACCCCCACCCAATTCCCCTCCCCTGCAGCCTCCTTGCTGAAACTCTGGTATCGAGAGCTGGAGGAGCCCCTGATCCCCCATGACTTTTACGAACAGTGCATCACCCACTACGAGAACCCCGAAGCCGCGATTGCCGTCGTCCACTCCATGCCCAGGATCAACAAGATGGTGCTCTGCTACCTCATCCGCTTCCTCCAGGTAAGGAGGATCCGGCCCGGAAGAGGATCGTGGGCCTTGGCAGAGGGTGGCCCATGGAGAGTTACACAGGCTCTTGTCCCGAGTCCTCTACCAACCTTGGTGTTTTTTTAGTCCCGTGGTTCCCGAAGTGGGCACAGCTGACCCTCTGGATGGGGGTGGGAATACCCAGGGGGTGCCAGACATGGTGATTTAAGACCCCTGCTCAGTGACTTTAAACCCTACGTTAGGGAAATGGCATCACTTCGTCAAGCCCATCCATCGCATTGCGAGTTTGCTGAGCCGTGAAAGAGTTACTGAATGTAGTGTCTTAAGACTAAACGACTATCAGAATTTGAGAAGCAGACATCATTGCGTCAAGTTTATCAGTTTTGCTGAATTCATTAAACTGAATAGTTTTAATTGGGCTTTGGATAAATGCGCAATGAATTGTTACTCTTTCGAATTGGATTGTGTTGTCTTCCTTAGCGGGTTGTGCAAATTGCTATTCTGAATAAAGCTTTTGATAGGATAGAGTAGGATAGGATTGGGTAGCAGGCACTGGGGACGAGTTTATGGCCCCGAGGAAGAGAAGGTTGGCCAAGAAAGATTGGGAACCACTGGGTTGGGTCAACCTTTGCCAACCAGGTGCTCTCCAGCTCCTTCGCTCTGGGTTTTCTGATGCACATTCCTAGCAGATAGCCATTGTGATTAGTAACCACTGATAGACTTATCCTCAGCAAACCTCCCTTTTAAAGACATCAGAGCCACTGGCCAGCATTAGGGCTGGGTGATATATCCAGATATAGTCTAACACTGGATTGAAGCCCACATTGTGATAATTTCTGACCTGGCGATATATTGCGAATCATGATGTGCGTTAAGGCTGGTTGATATATCGTGCAAAACTGGTTTGAAGCCCATATCCTGGTACAGTCAAATGTAATCTCTTCTCAAGCGTGATCTGTTCTGGAAGCCCGTTCGGCTTCCAAAATGTTCGACAACCAAGGTGCGGCTTCCGATTGGTTGCAGGAGCTTCCTACACTCAGGCAGAAGCCGCATCAGACATTCGGCTTCTGAAAAACGTCAGAAAACCGGAGCATTTACTTCCAGGTTTGTGGCGTTCTGGAGACGAAACGTTCCAAAACGGAGGCGTTCGGTACCCGAGGTTTGACTGTATTGGTTTTACAATTTTTGACCTGGTGATATATTGCAAACCGTGTGTGTGCCATGCAAAAATCACAATGTGGGAAGCCAGCCAATGCCTAGCTCCATCCTTATTTCAGACATTGTGATACAGTGGTCCCTCTGGATGCAAACGGGATCCGTTCCAGAGCTCCGTTCGCATCCTGAAGAGAACACAACCTGCATCTGTGTGTGCCGCGATTCGCCACTTCCGTGCATGCGCATGACATCATTTTGAGCGTCCGTGCATGCGCGAGTGGTGAAACCCGGAAGTAACACGCTCCGTTACTTCCGGGTCGCCGTGGAACGCAACCTGAAAATGCTTACCCCGAAGCTACTTCAACCCGAGGTATGACTGTATATCAGTATGTTGCGATATTTAGCTGGTGATCTATCGCAATGTTGAAAACCAGGGGTCACCCAGCCCTGATCACCACGAGACCTTTCTTAGCTTACAAACAGGACGGGTTTGTGTTTGCCTACCGTAACGCCTCTCCTTTCTCCCTCCCCTCGCCCCCCCCCATCCAGGTGTTTGTGCAGCCGGCAAACGTGGCGGTCACCAAAATGGACGTCAACAACCTGGCCATGGTGATGGCCCCCAACTGCCTGCGCTGCCAGTCGGATGACCCGCGCATCATTTTCGAGAACACCCGCAAGGAAATGTCCTTTATCCGGGTACTGATCCAGCACTTGGACACGAGCTTCATGGAAGGGGTCCTATAGCGCTGGTGCCAGCGAGCCCAAACAGAACTGGGCGTATCGCCGACCCGTCAAAAGCCCCACCACCACCACCACCCCAAACCTCCACCCCAGAGCCAGACGGTCCGCAAGAACTGTTCTTGACGCAGCAAAGGAAACGTCCTTTCGGCACCCGGGCAGAGAGAGAGAGAAAGGGAGGTCGCTCCGGGTTTTGCCCGCCTGGCCTGCCTCTCTGGCGAGCCGCTGGGGTGCACGGCGTTCCCCTGCTGCTTCTGCTGTGGACAAAATGACCCACAGTGCCCCACAGCAGCCCCCTGCCTGGAAACAGAGCAGCCCAGTCGTTGGGACGAACAGCAGGCCTTCCTCGCAGGATAGTTCTGATCCGGAGAGTCTGCGTTAATGGGCAACCTGGCAAGATTCAGGTGAACTGTGGGGTTGAGCGGGGAGAGGCAGGGGACTGCCTTTCTCCTCCCCAACCTGCACTTTTCGGGGGGCGGGAAGGGGTCAGGACAGGAGTTGGGGGTTGGCATGGAGCATAAAGGCAGCTGAGGGAGTGTTTGGGTCCAGCACGGGGCCTCTGATTTCCAAGGTGGCCCTTTTGAGACCAGAGGAGAGGCCCCCAGAGGGCGAGGGCATCACGCAGAAGGTGGAAGGAGGGTGCCCCCTGCCCGCAGGTCAGATCCCCATTAGTCCAGACCCTCTTGAGGTGAAGGAGGCTGGCTGCCAGGCAAGACAGGTACTTCTGCTGCTACGTCAACCGGAGACCCCTGGGCCCATCTTCCCAGCCTGTCTCCCACACTGGACGTGCCTCGCAGGAGCTGTAGTTCAGGCTGGCCACCTCCCACCCAAGGCTCCGGGTTGAACGAACGCGAGGGACGGAGCCACGCAGACCCGGGCGCCCTTTTTGGCGCAGTCCTCCCGCCCCGTTTCCCTTCCCTCTTCCAGCACAGTCACTGCCAAAAGGGGCCAAAGCCATGGTCTCCCCAACACTTTCTCCCCCCTCTCTCTTCCAACGCTCCAGAGAATGGGATGGTTAAGCTGTCAGGCCCCCGCCGTGGGATTTCGGAGCTGGCTACTGAGAAACATTCTGCTGTGTTGCTGCGCCCCGTCCAGAACCCTCAGCCTCCTTTGGCTATCTGTGCAGCCTGCCCCCAATTTCTGCGGGGGGCAGCCAAGGCCCACAGACTCTCCTTTCTGCGCCTCTCCTGGAATGGCTGGTTAAATTTGGGTTGCATCTCTTGTCGTTTGGGTTGGGAAAGGGGTGCAGCCCTGCCGGGTCCCAGGCTGCGTCTGTGATCCCCACCTAGCAGAAGGGCTGGCGTTTTCCCTCCGCCGCATGCAAACTTCTGTTTTGGAAGCCGTCTCGGCATTAAAGAAGCGTTGAATCGGGGTGCGGGAGGCATTTCCACACAGGTCGGCGTTGGAGGCCGCCCAAGCCGCCCATTGCACTTTGAACCCTGGGTTTGTGTCACGCGTAAGACTCCTTTCCCCCAAATTCTTGCTTTCTGGCGGCCGTTCTTAATGAAGGCCCCGCAGCCGTTGTTTCATAAGGAGGCTTAAAAACTGCTTTCTTTCCATTTGGGGTGAGCTGTGGATTTCGCTCCCCCTTTCCAAAACGTTACCATCTAAGGGAGAGAAACGAAAGCACATTTTCGGGAAAAGCCTTCCCAGCACTGAGAACCTGGGCGTATTTTGGCTTGCTGTCCTACATCACTATTTCTCCCCTTTTGGAGGACCATCTTTGCAGGAGTCTTCTCGTATTATTCCAACGGAGGCTAGTTTTCTGCGAGGAAAACAACACCTCCCAAAATTTCAGGGCGATAAAGTAACCCTGTCTCTTCAAAATGTTTGAGGATGCCTCTGCCTCGAGCTGCGTGGAAAGGCCTCCCATCCACTCTAACACTGCCAAGAACAGACGTTTTCTTTTATGGATGCTATAAACTCCCAAGAGCCCCTGGGATGTGGGGTGGGGATTTGGGGTGTGTGTCAGAAGTCTATGACAGCTGCCGTAAGGAGACACTTGGCGCCCCCTTGTCCTGTCTGCCAAGCGGCTCCATGGCCCCCCCAACAGGCTTGGATTATTATAACAAAAACGGGGTGGGTGGGTGTGATCTTGTGTCCCACAAGGGGGCACAGGGGGCTGGACTAGATGGGGCGCAGAGTGGAAACATCCCCTCCGGAGGCCATTGCTCCCACTTACGCCGAAGTTTCTTCCACACCGCTGGCCTTCATCACTCAGAGGGGGGGTCCTCCGCCGTGTGTGGAACCCCCCTTGTTGCTTCCAGAGAACTGGCGTGCCGATTCTCAAACAGAGCTTCCCCATCTCACGATGGCTGTTTTGGGCAAGGCTGCAGTGGGGCGTCCGGGCAACCACTGCCAACACAAGAGGGTTTCCTCTCGCGCTCAGACGTCAGGCACGCTCGGGAGTTGTGTGCCAGCTGCTCTGCGTGGCTCTCGATCTAGAGAAAGTGCCTTTATCCAACACAGAGAATCGGCCAGGCCTCCCACCAACCCCTGGGCGTACAGTCTCGCTTCTTAAAACACACCCAAGTGTCTCAGAAGAGAGACTTCCTTGCCTTTGGTAGCTCCTTCGCTTCCTCCCCTCTTTCTTTTGCCTGTTCTTGGCATGTCGGAATATGGGTACAAGAAGCTTGTCTTATTTCAGCAGTGGAGTGGGGTCCATGTAACTCATTGCCACAGGACGACGCAGTTGCGCAAGCCTAAAGGGTTTTTGCAGAAGGCCTCGGTGAGAGGGTCCATGAATGGCGGCCGGGGAGGGCAAACGGCGCCTCTGTGGTCTGGGGAAGTCGAAGGTGCTTTCCCCCTCCGAAAGCATAAACTTTGGGGGTGAAAGCGAGCGGGAGCCATATATGGAGGCAACGTCGAGCGTGAGGATTGCAAGTTGGAGGTGGAAGGAGAGTCAGCGGGGACTTTTACTAGGGGTTGGAAGAGAAGGAAGCTCTTTTGCCAGAGCAGCTGTCTGCATTGATTCCCTGCGTCGCCCCAAATGGAGGCACAAGCCTTCCAGCCAAATCACCCGGGGGTTATCCTCCTCTCCTGTCCTAGGGCCACAGCACCCCCCCACCCGGGACCCATTGCTGTAGACCCATCTCTTGACCCCAAGAAGCTGAGCGAGACTCTGGAATCAGAGCTCACAGAGAGAAGTGATGCCATCTATGGTGGCACAACAGTGCCCTGGGATACTCAGGGCAGTCGGGACGGGCGTGGAAGCGGCGTTTACCTTCCGGGTGACCTTTTTTGTTGTGAGAAGAGACCCACCCGTTGGCTTTTCCATTTGGGGAACCCTAAGGAACTTCCTTGGGCTTCCTTGATGAGAAGAACAATAGCAAACTGTCTCCAAAGACAGCGGTCGTCTTCTCCCCGTGTGGAGGCAGCCAGGGCAGTGGGAGTATCCCGTGAGCCATTTTGGATGGCCCTGGCCAACGGCCGCTCTTAGCAGCCCGAGCTGTGATTTGGAGGACGTCATTGAATTCTCTGTAACTCCACAGACTGATTTAGGAAAGGGGATCTTGGAGAGTTAAATGTGGCGTCTCAGATTCGCTGGTTGCTGAACAGCATCTCCCACCATCACTGGCTGTTGGCCGTGCAACTGGGCCTGATGGGAGTTGAAGTTCAGCCACATCTGGATGGCCGCATGTTAGTGCGCGCCCCCCTGCCGCAGATGTGTCCATCCATTCCCCAGGAGAACCTTTGCCTGTGCAATCTTCCAGGGCCAGAGGGTTCCTGCCTCTCCTCCGCTCAGCCAGTAAGAATTTATTATATAGAGGTTTAAAGGGTTAAAAAAAATCCATTATAAATTTGCTAACAACATAGTTTTAATCCAGAGGTGTATATATATCTTATTACCCATCACTGGGGCTCTTTATTTGTATGGGGGTGGCGGTGGGAAATGCTCTAAACTCTATCTTTGCTATTTATTTTATTGCTGTTTGGGGTGGGGAATGACTTCCTTGAGTTTGACCAAAAATATATTTATTCCCCCACCCACACCCACCCTTTTCTGGTGACCAGAGCTTTCTAATTAAGATTAAAGGATTAAATAGCACCCATCTACGGTCTGCATTTGGCATTTCGCTGTAGCTGCAGAAACTTTCTAGTCCTTTAAAGCTAAAACGCAACAGCGAGGTGGTTGAGAGAAGGTAACCAGTATCAGGAGAAAAAGGTGGAATTTGGTGAAGAGTCAGCCCCCACCCCTTGCTTCATTGCCTTTCCTGGGATTGTGGGGGCTGCAACTCCATGCCCACCCCGCTTTCCCCTTGCATCCAATTCCCGCTTCTTCGGTTAATTTCCAAGCCTATTTTCCATTAAGTTATTCTGGTGAATGAAGGTAACTTTGCTGCCATTCCAGGAAACCGGCCAACCGTTCTTATGGAATGGTGGCCAGTTCTGCCTGTGTGTTTCACACCCATCGCTTTGACAATCCATCCACACTTAAAACTGCAAAGGCACCCGGCTGCGATGTGCGTCTTGCTTTTCACCGTTAGGAGTCACTGTGGACTAGCACCTTGGTGCCAGGCCCAAACTGCTCCCACCCACCTGTCCCAAGTAGCTAGCAACACTCGCTCTCCCTCTCTGCTCTCCAGGAAAGTCAGGGCAGCTTACTGAGTGCACCTAGGCTTATTGCAACTACCTACCGCTGTCCAAATTTGACGAACCCCCCCGTTTCTTGTTCTTCAGACACATTGAAGAAAATAAGGGGTTAATTGAGACAAGAATCCTGACTTGGTTTTGGACACCTCTTGAGCAAAGAACCTAATCTAAACAAGTGCCTTAACACCTTAATGGGCCATTGACAAAGCTGTAGCCTGAGCCATTTACATTTGCAAATTCCAGTTTGTTTGAAGTCCTAACTGCTTGGGACATTTGGGAGAGGGGGGGCTGTTCAGCTTGCTCTCTCCTTTTCCCTCTTGGGAACTGGCCCTGAATTCACCCAGGTCTGCACCGTTTCCATGCTTTTGGGCAGCTGTTTCAAGAGACACCGCTGCAAATAAATTGCTTGGATCCCTTCATTTTATTTTATTTTTAAACGGAGATATGCAGTGCGTGCCATAAATTTAACAGGAAGAACAGATGGGCAAATGAGACACATCCGCCGCCAAGAGAGTCTAGGGATTGCAAGCATGTCTGTTTTCAAGAGACCATAGTATCTAAGGGGTCTTAGCTAAACAGCTCCAAACCATGCATGATGCCCTTGGGCAAAGCATTCTGAGGTCCAGAGGTGGCGGGAATATCCACCAGAGTTGAGCTGGAACCAAACAAAACCCAAATAGCAAGTGGGCAGCAGCTGGCGGGAGCAAATTGCTCAACTTTGCTGAAGCATCAGGGAAGGTCCAGGTGAGTTCGAAGTTTCAGGGAGGTGGAAGCTCAAAGCAGGCCTTTCAACAACATTTGGAGGACTCCTCTTCTCCTGTCCTCTTTGAGAGCTTCCTGAAGGCATCTCTGACATGCCGCTGTGAGATTCAGGATCCTGGATTTTGGTCTTGCCCCAGTGGGGCTCTCTTTCCTATCTTAGGATGAGCCATAAGAGTGCTTTGCCAGAGGAAACAGTTGTTCAGGATGCTGCTTTCTGAGCAACCGGTGGAGATCTTGCAAGGAACCCTGGGTGCAGTCCTTCTGTTTATTAAAAAAGCATGACGGCTCACTCTCCCCCACTACTCCCTGTAGTCGAGTCGGACGGTGTTTTTTCCATGCAAATTTAACATGACATAAAGTGGTCACGTACGGGTAGCAGCTGTAGCTTCAAAGGGCCCAATTCCTGACGCAAACATTTTTAGTTAGAAAACCAGTGATGAAAATTTTAAAAAGCAGACTGAAACGAACTGTGCTTCAGCACAAAGGTCTTACACCCACTGCATTGAGCTCAACGAGGTTTGCTTGCAGTCAGGTTTAGTACAGGATTGCAGCTTCAGTTGATTTCAGCAGGGCCCTGCCTCTCCTGGAGGCTGCCTCATTTTCATGACGACTTTCCGCAAATGCCGCTTTAGCCAAGGCGGACACAAACCCGGTTCTTCGGTTCTTGAGCTCCATCCACTCAGCAACTGGGTTGCTTTCTCCTTAGGAGTGTCCGATTGTGTCTTGGCTTCCTTTGGACCCTGCCGCACACTCGCCAACCCACCAGCTGTGACCCAAGTTAATTATCTAAAATTAATTTGCTCCTTCAGCAAAACACAGACATGAACTTCGACTTCTTTGTAACGTCTCTGGGATTAACCACTAATAGTTCCGTAGAATCAGGAAGGAGAGAGAAGACTCTGGAATTGGTGAGGAAGGGGATTCGGGCAATGAGTTCTGTGCTTTGCCCCCTTAATCCCAAACAGCTGGACTCCCCTTGGCAGCTGCTCTCATTCTGGGCTGCACGGACTTTCTGTTTGACCTACTTAGCATAGGCAGAGGACGAGTGTAGGATTCGCCTTGTGCTAGCAAGTCTTTTGCAAGTAGAATTCTCTGCAAGCAAGGAAATGGATTTTCTCTCTCTCTCTTGTGGCGAACCGTTCATTAATCACCCTTATAAAATGTGGGGTCTTAGTCCAAACCACGCTCCACAAAAGAGCACTCTCTGCCTGTGGCAGGACCAGACGTGATTCATTCACATCGCATCTCTTCACCCAGAGAGACCAGCTTAACGTTTCGAAAGGGTAAATTGTCTCCGTGTTGTTTCAGCACCAGAAACCGTAATTAAATCATCTTAAGCCGTCACTGGTCCTGTGAGATATTGTAATATTTGCAGCATACAGTAGGATTTTAAAAACACAACACAACAAAAAACACATCCACACTGAACTGCGGGCCTAATTCTTGTCTGGTTTCTAAGGATGGGCGCATATAAATGTTTTAATGCGCTGGCGATTGGGTGTTGTCTGTGCTGACAAGGTGAGCGTTCTTGACAAGACTCGTGTCAAAATTGAGTGGCTTGTTGCCTTGGGATTCCAAAATGGAGTCTAACCACCTGGGTGTGAAAAGACCTTTTAAGCCAGCCACATGCACAATATCTATTGCCACCTGGGATTTGACTCTCGCCCAATCACCCGTGGCTCAGCACAGCTTGGGGTCCTAACACACGCCGGTGTTCCCCGCAGCCCACCGTGTCATAATGATTTATAATAATTTATTACATGTACCCTGCCCATCTGACCGGGTTGCCCCAGCCTCTCTGGGTGGCTAGGTCACTAACTCCCACATTGAGATGGGCAGAGCAGGACTTGAGTGTGTGAAATGCCAATGGCAGAGAAGAACCTAAGTACCGCTAAATCTGGGAGAGGAGCCTAGTGCTGGGGTAGAGAGAGAGAGATTTGGCCTGGTCTCCTTTCCCAAGTTGGTTTTATTGCAAACTTGATTCCTACATTGCAGGGGGCTGTGCTAAATGACCCGTTGGGTCCCTTCAGACTCTTCCGATTCTATGAAGTGTCTAGAACTGGAAACTATTGCAGACGGAGGTTCAATATAAGGGTTTTTTTCCTCTCTCCTTATTGGGTGGTTTATCATTTTGATTTGCCGGGCGTGTTTGCCCATGCAGAAAACCAGAACATGTTTGACTTACCGGATTGAGGTTGCTTGAACCCCATTTGGCCTTAGTTGAGAGACGCAAGCGACTCCATGTTAACCTTCCCTTCCTCCCCACCTATTTGCAAAGCTGATCTCTCCCCACCTCCACCCCACCCCCCTCCGATCCCCCCAATCTTTTCCTCGGACAATCACCTCAGGCGCTGGGCAAGGGGCAAGCAAGGAAGGCCGTTGGGTCCCTTGTAGTGATGGCTGAATGGAGACGGGACGTTTCCTGGGGCCTCCCGTGGCAATTTAGAGGGGCAACCTACTGTGTAACGTTGTCTGACTAACTCTTGTAATTAAGAAGCATGGAAATGTAGAGGCAACTCCATGTTGTGTGAATAAAAGATGAATATGGACATCCTTTTGGGGAACCTCGTGTCGGATTCTTTTTTTCCCTTTAAAAAAACCAACAACTCAGAAAGCACTACATATTCTCATTTTTGGAAAGCACATCGCAATTAAGCAATTGTGCAAAAGCAACCAAGAACTCAGCCAGAAACAACAGCATGGTGGTGTTGGCCAACAAAACATTTTGCATAGTGCCTCTCCCCCATTCTTTAGATTGTGTTGCCGAAACAAAGTGAAACTGCATCTTGGGTCCAGTCAGACTGCAAGATCCATCTACCCTTCTGTTGGCCAATGAGGTCCAGCTGGGGTAGGAGGAAGCAACTTTCCCCAGCTCCACTACAGTGGTACCTCGGCTTACAGACCCTTCAGGTTACAGACTCCACTAACCCAGAAATAGTACCTCAGGCTAAGAACTTTGCTTCAGGATGAAAACAGAAATCGCATGGCGGCAGCAGGAGGCCCCATTAGCTAAAGTGGTACCTCAGGTTAAGAACAGTTTCAGGTTAAGAACGGACCTCTGGAACGAATTAAGTTCTTAACCCGAGGTACCACTGTACTTGAAATGTTTATTTAACCAGAGATTCACCTTTCACGTTCAGAGGACACATCCTCCTGCTCAGCTGTTGACTCCTCCTTTGGAGCGAGACCCTGAAACCCATACCCACTGAGCCGCGTCCCTGGGGCAGAAGTATCCATCTCAGAAGGTGGTGGGCTGTTGGAGGGCTTTCAAAAGAATGTTAAGTAAAGGTAAAGGACCCCTGGACTGTTAAGTCCAGTCAAAGGCGACTATGGGGTTGCAGCGCTCATCTCGCTTTCAGGCCAAGGGAGCCGGCGTTTGTCCACAAACAGCCTTCAGGGTCATGTGGCCAGCATGACTAAACCACTTGTGGTGCAGCGGGACACCGTGACGGAAACCAGAGCGCACAGAAATGCTGTTTACTGGCGTGCTTTCGAACTGCTAGGTTGGCAGGAGCTGGGACAGAACAACGGGAGCTCACTCTGTTGTGGGGATTCGAACTGCCAACCTTCCAATCGTCAAGCCCAAGAAGCTCAGTGGTTTAGACCACAGCGCCACCCGCTCCCTAAACAGAGGTTAAATAGTCAAGTGTCAAAGATGCTTTTAGTAGTCCAACTACAGTTCCACAGCCAAACTAGCAATCAGATCTCTCTCTCTCTCTCTCTCTCTCTCTCTCTCTCTCTCTCTCTCTGGTACCCAACTCTTGGGACCACTACACGGTCTATGCCACGCACCAATGCAAGAATGTGCCCAGCCTTGAGTCTTCCTGGAACGAATGTGCTGCAAGTTGCACAAGACTCAAGATGCAATGGGTGGGATCCTCTCTTCCAGTCCCAAATCTCCCACCTGTGTGTGTCCCATGTGCAACCTGCCTTAGGTTGATTTTTGGTTCTCTGGCCAGGGCTTAATCTGCACACCAGGATGTAGAACAGGAATGGGGTACCTTGCAGAAACCACAGGTATCAGTGAACGTCAACTACCAGCCAGCATGGCTGCTGATCAGGACTGGTGGGGTCTCAGACTTCCCAATTTCTTCCAGCTGGGCCATGCTCCCCCTTCCAACAGTGCTTGGATGCTTGAAGATTGGCTGTAGTTACTTTGCAGGGAGAGAATACAAAGACAACCGCAGCGCATGCTCAGAGGCACTCTTTTTATTGCTATCGTCACATTTTCCAAGGCTGAAATCGGATACAAAGTAGGTCGTGGGGTTGAGCCCATGCTCATATTAACACTGTCAATGTTAAAGGTGGGCAGGGAAACGGATGTCTAAGCCCCTCTTTAGTTGAAAGTACACCCCTTCCCACATTTCCAATCCAAGTTTACACAATTCTTCATATCTGCGGTGTTTTCTCTCTCTTTCTTGCATCAGAAACTCAAGAATCCACATTAAGAAAACATAAGAATCGCCAGGAGCCAGGAAGCCGCAGCGAAAACACAAATCGAGCCCTATGTTGCTACTCAACACTTCGGCTCAAATTAAATTATTTCTCGCGGGTTCAGGAGTCCCAATCATGAGAAAAGGAAAACATTCACGGAGAAAAAAAGCAGCACTCCTGTTCTTTAAATGGACAACAACCAGGAATTTCTGCTACAGAAGAGCCACAGCGATACACAAGAGCTACTTAAAGTGGCCTCTGCCACTTTCCAGATGTTTTGCGCTACAACTCCCCCCAGTCCCAGTCAGCAAAGGCTGACTGGAGTTCAAGTTCAAAACATCTGGTGGGTATGAGGTGGACCAAGGGTGATTTAAAGCAATGGGGCTTTGCAGCTTAATGTGTCGGGCTGCCAAGGTTTCAATTTGCAGTTAGCAAATTGGACCCTTCATTTCCATGCTCTGAAAGGCTTAAACCTTACCTACCCTTCCATCTGTAAACTCCCTTGGTGGCCACAAAAATGGGTGATCCCATCTGTTCTGGAAAATGCTCCAGGATAAAATCCTTGCAAAAGAATTAAAAGAACAATGATCAGTATTTCCACCTACCCCCCAAAAAAACAAATTGCTGCATTGCAGAGGGTGTGTGTGTTTCTAAACCAGGAGCTAATGTGGAAAATATCTGCCTTTTTTTTAAAAAAAAAAGATTTGGTTTATTAGATCAAGCTATAAATTATTTCCACATTTGACCAGCTAACAAAACAACCGACCCGACCCCCCCCCCTGCAGCTTCTACAGATACTGAAAATGACAGCGGCTGCAGATTTTGGTCTCCAAAACGGCAGATAAAGGGAACCAACAGGAAAACGGGACAAAACAAACCCAAATGTGATGGTCGATACCCGTGTATCTTGCCCACTGTGGCATCTGGGCTTCCTTACTTGAGCTGCCTGCAGCCGTTTGGTCAGCTGGAAATATCACGTGGTTTTTTTGGGGGGGGGGGGAACTGCTCTCTGTGAAACGCTGTGGGACAGATGTTGGGGGTGGGGTGGGCCTGCCTGGTGGCAGCAGGGGAGCCCTAACTGAGGGTCTGTTTTATGGGCCCAAAGCAACCTCTGATTTGGAGAACAAACCACTATGCCCTCCCGATCTTTCTCAGTTCAATTCCTTGCATTTGCAGCGAAATAGGATTGGGAAGGTTTCGAGCACTGACTGCCCTTGAAAACGGGAGCAGAGCACTTTGGAGAGCCTTAGCCTTAAATCTCCTACCAGGATACTGCCCTAACCTGAGTCATCTAACTCAGCATTGTCTACACTGACTGGCAACAGCTCTCCAGGTTTTCAGACAGGGAGTCTCTCTTATTTGGCTTATTTGTTCCTCCGGTCCAGGAGTGACGACTCTGATTGGCAGTGGCTCTCCAAGGTCACAGCTCTTCAGCCATCACCTGCTACTCAAGACCCTTTTACCTAGTGATGCTGGGGATCGAATTCGAATCCACATGCATGTCTCTTGCCAGCAATAATCGCAGAGGAGGCAAGCACACAAAACGTGCAGGTTCTCCTCCTCCCCTTCCCAAAAGTGCAACAGGAGAGAGTGGGCAAGCCTACTAGGAACAGCGAGAGTTCTCCAAATATTTTGTCAATTGCAGATGGGCGAGTCATTTGGCCAGAGATTCTTATTCCTATCAACTGCAAACGCCCAGTTCATTTGGGTGAGATGAGCACCCTAGCTTCCCATCACTGCAAATGAAAATAGAATCGACCACCGGAATATTTTGCGCTTGCAAACTTCAGAGAAAAAGAGCCTCTCTCGTCCCACATCTTGCTCTTGCCGTGGCCAATGAGATACCCATGGAAAGCCCTCAGGCGGAAGCTGGGCACAACACTCTCTGCCTACTTGCCTGTTGCTGTGCACTGGACGAAACAGGCTGGTACCAGGGCTACTGGCAGAAGAGCTGCTTTTCTTTCCAGCTTAATTATTTCCTTCCACCAGATTTGGGTGCAGGTTGGTGTTTTTCGTTTGTTTTTAAAAGGACACACACACCCTGACAGGTGTGGTAATGGTGCCCTGGAAAGGGGCATTCCCTAGGGGGCACTAAGGGGCGAGCGAGGCAGCACTGGAGGTGTAAACAGCTTTCAAACTTTGGAAAAGTGGCACCACCACCTCAAGTCCACCAATCTTCTTGAACCAATCAAACTAAATAGTTTTGATTGGATTTTGATTCATCCATACCGTTTTGAGTTTTATTATTGTGTTATTACCTTCCTTGGTGCAAACTGTTATTCTGAATAATGCTTTTTGTAAGGTAGGGCGCACTCAGGGTGCCTTTATAGAACCAAGGTGGCGGTGGCCCTCTCCAAATTGGGAACCTCTGCTCCCTGCTAACAGCAGGAGGCACCCCAGGCAAAAGGGGGAGCCCACCCCAAATTTATTGATGGAAGCTGCGTAGTAGACTTGCCTCGCTTTGTCACCGACATCACCATCGCCTGCAGTGTGGGACAAAGATTGCTGCATGCCACAAGAGCAATTTGCAAACTGCAGAAGGAGTACAGAAGCAGGAAAGGAGAAAACCTGCTTGTGCCCCAATCCCAGTGGCTGCTGGAATATGCCGAAGTGCTTTCAGAAACCACTGGGCAACAGTGGCTTAAAGGTAAAGGGGACCCCTGACCATTAGGTCCAGTCGTGGCAGACTCTGGGGTTGCGACGCTGATCTCGCTTTACTGGCCGAGGGAATCGGCGTACAGCTTCCGGGTCATGTAGCCAGCACGACTAAGCCGCTTCTGGCGAACCAGAGCAGTGCAAGGAAACGCCATTTACCTTCCTGCCGGAGCGGTACCTATTTATCTACTTGCGCTGCATGCTTTCGGACTGCTAGGTTCGCGGGAGCAGGGACCGAGCAACGGGAGCTCACCCCGTCGCGGGGATTCAAACCGCCGACCTTCTGGTTGGCAAGTCCTAGGCTCTGTGGTTTAACCCACAGCGCCACCTGCGTCCCAGTCAGCTTACACAGTGGCTTACAGAGCACCAAACCTCAACTTCCCCGGGCAGATGGGAGATTTGCGTCACCGGGCAAAAACTATTTCCAAAACGCCTGACATGTATTAAAACCTGTGATAATCCTTATGAGTGACCCTCTAAGGCAGGTCAAGTATGACTCTCCAAGTTGTGGGTGGGATCCGGGGGCAAGAGAAAGACTTGCCTAAGGCCATCGAGGTAAGCAGCTGGTGGCTGCAGAATTTGAACCAGGGACTGCGTCCCTCAGGCTGTGGATCTCAACATGCTTCTCAGGGAGCAAGTGCCATTATTAACATGCCTCCAAGTAAACATGTACAGGATTGCACCGTTCGCCTCTATGTTGTGTTCACGAGCCCGGAAAGATGGGTGAGCCCAAAGGCTCCTGCAGAGGAATGCCTACCAGGATGTGCACCAAATCAAAGCACAAACCAGAGTTTACAAAGCCAGTTCAAACCACGGTTTCGGTTCTCCTTTGCGATTGGCTCGTGATCCATGTTTCGCTTTCAAAAATGGTTTGATATTTGCTTATTTGCCTCCCTTACGCTGCTTCCCTACAGGTGGAACTAAACTGAGTCATTTTGCTACAGGTGGGACTAAAAACCAGCCATTTTGTTCCTATGACTCATCTCCTAGATCTGTTCATGGTCTTCCTAGCAGTGAGTTGAAAACTGCATTGTCCTGAACGCAGAGAGGTTTGCAATGCCAGGCCACGCAGAGCCGGGACACTGTTTTCCAAGGACCGGACACAAATGCACCTCTTATACGGCGCAACTCCAAAACGGCCACTTGCCCACTGCTATGACTCCAGCAATGCCTTGGGCAGGAGGAAACTAGAACGCTGCAAACAGGCATCTTGGGTCCCTCTGAACTTACTGGCATTGGAGGCTGTTTAGAAGGTGCGTCATTTGAAAGAGCTCTGCTTGGCGGCTCCATCCTCTTGCCTCCGGCCGGATGCCCCCAGGAAAATGGGGCTTGCGGGCAGCAGCCCTCACCCTGCCACCTGGCCTTTGGAGCGACGCTGAGCCCCTCCTAGCTCCGAGTTCGAATTCCCTGCTTTTCAGAAGCCAGCCTCAGCAGAATCCTTGACTCCGCTGCCGCCTTGCACGCTCCAAAAACGCCAGTGGGGTGGGCATCCTCGGCCGGGAACCCGGCGCCTCATTCTCCCGCCCGGGGAGTGACGGCGCAGGGGCAGGAAGTGGGAGCCGCTCAGCAGGCCAGCTCATTGTCCCCCATGGCAGAGAAAGGGAGGCTGTAACTGCTGCTGCTGCTTTTGCTTCGCTTGCTGCGTTTGCCCCACGCCAGGAGGGAGCTGGCGCCTTTGCTCTGCATCACGGTCTTCCGGCAGTTCTCCTTGTTGCTTTTCAGGAGGCCGCTGCTACTGCCACCTCCAGCAACGCCAGGACCCATTGCTGAAGACTTCTTGTCCACCTTTCGGAGGGAGAAAAAAGACGGGGTTTGGGTGAAGGAGAAGTGGAAGGAGAGCACCAGCTTACTGGCATCTAACTGTTGTTGAACGTTCTCATCAAATTCCAGCAGAACGGAACCATAGAGCGCTAATCGCTTCAGGAAAAGACATGCAACAATTCCTGCCTTGTGGTGGGGCTGGACTAAATGACTCTTGGGGTCCCTTCCGACTCTACGATTCTACGTTCTTCATGCACTCATTGTTCAGACTTGGGGGAGGGCATAATTCCGCGTACAAACAAAATTACCGAAATTAGTGGTTCCTGAACTTTCCTGGGCCACTGCCTCCTTCGTTCCATAAACTCCTCCCCCCCCAGTGCCCCCTAACCTGTAAAACACATCATTGCACGACCCACTAAGGAAGACAGTAACAGAATAAAATTCAGTAGAGTAACAACCACCTGTGCATTTATTTTTTAAAAATCCGATTAAATCTGTTTAGTCTGATTAATTCAACAAAACTGACGAGCTTGACCCCAGGTGATGCCAGGTTTTCAAAGTCTAATGGCCATTTATTTATTCAATTATTTAGTTGCTTATTCCCCACCCCCCAGCACCCCCCTGCCTCCAAGCACCCCCTAGGTAAATCCTGCTGCCGCCACCCACCCAGAGGCGCTCCTGCCCAGGGCAGCTGTCTACCAGCTCCATCTGGTACGCAGGATGAGACGCTCCCTGCCCAAAGACTGTCTTGCCAGAGTGGTGCATGCTCTAGTTATCTCCCGCTTAGACTACTGCAATGCACTCTACGTGGGGCTACCTTTGAAGGTGACCCGGAAACTGCAACTAATCCAGAATGCGGCAGCTAGACTGGTCACTGGGAGCAGCTGCCGAGACCATTTAACACCGGTTCTGAGAGATCTTCATTGGCTCCCAGTACGTTTCCAGGCACAAATATAAAGTGTTGGTGCTGACCTTTAAAGCCCTAAATGGCCTTGGTCCTGTATACCTGAAGGAGTGTCTCCACCCCCATCATCCAGCCCGGACACTGAGGTCCAGTGCTGAGGGCCTTCTGCTGGTTCCCTCACTGTGAGAAGTGAGGTTACAGGGAACCAGGCAGAGGGCCTTCTCGGTGGTGGCGCCTGCCCTGTGGAATACCCTCCCAGCAGATGTCAAGGCAATAAACAACTATTTTACTTTTAAAAGACAACTGAAGGCAGCCCTCTTTAGGGCATATTTTAATGTCTGATGCTGTATTGTTTTTAATATTCAGTTGGAAGCCGCCCAGAGTGGCTGGGGAAACTCAGCCAGATGGGCGGGGTATAAATAATAAAATATTATTATTATTAGGGTACCACTGATCTAAGTGATGCCTCCTGCTGTCCCCTGAGCAATCCTAAGAGAATTGTAGAGTGGGAAGCGGACTCCGAGGGTCATCTAGTCCAACCCCCCCTGCAATGCAGGAATCTCAACACGTAGGTCCCCCATCCAATCCGAAACCAGACCAGACCCTGCTTAGCTTTGCAAATGTCCCAGCAGTTTTATTGCTGCACCACTAGGAGGACTGCCCTGACCCCCCTCCAATGGGCCTTTGCTCATCCCAGCCCCCACCCTGCTTACCACGCTCTGCCCTTCAGAGTACTGCAGGGTGATGACGCCGACATCCGCTCCTTCGTCCCCGGCCACCTTCAGGAGTTGCACCACCTCTGCATGCTTGGACCACTTGCAGTCCTTGCCGTTGATGGAGACGATGTAGTCGCCTTCCTTCAGGCCGGCGTCCTGGAAACCCAGCGAGGAGAGGTGAGGCCCAGGGAAGCTGGGAAGCCCCCCGCAGAATAGGTAAGAGGGAGGGAGGGAGGGGAAGGGGCATGGAGACCTTCAGGAACCCTAAGGCTGCGAGGGATTCCGTGCGAAGAGATGCGTCTATGGAGGGGAGTTCCTCTCCTATCCAGTAGGGATAGGAAAACACGCCTGCTTTTAACTCCACAGAAAACTAACTTCAGGCTTACCAGCCTTACGAGACTGCAGGTGTAACTTACCAGCTAACATCCTCACTGCGTCTGTGAAACTCACTGCCACTAGAACAGGAAAACAGCAGCCACGAAGGCAAAAACCACTGACCATCTAGTTATGCAAAACGTGAGTCGGCTCCTCCTGAAATTTACCTCGGGAAATGGGAAACACTACCAAGCATTCGGCTTAAGTCCCATAAAGACAGCTTCTGAGCAGCTTAAGGTAAAGGTAAAGGGAGCCCTGACCATTAGGTCCAGTCGTGGCCGACTCTGGGGTTGTGGCGCTCATCTCACTTTACTGGCCGAGGGAGCCGGCGTACAGCTTCCGGGTCATGTGGCCAGCATGACTAAGCCACTTCTGGCGAACCAGAGCAGCGCACAGAAATGCCGTTTACCTTCCCACCAGAGCAGTACCTATTTATCTACTTGCACTTTGAGGTGCTTTCGGACTGCTAGGTTGGCAGGAGCAGGGACCGAGCAACGGGAGCTCACCCCGTCGTGGGGATTCAAACCGCTGACCTTCTGATCAGCAAGTCCTAGGCTCTGTGGTTTAACCCACAGCGCCACCTGCACTGCTTACCCACCTGCTTAACACCCCAGGAGCATGTCGGTCTGCAAAAAGCCCAAGAGATAAAAGTAGAAGGAGCAAAGGCAGGCACATAGCACAGTCTCTGGTTGCTTGGCAAAAACCCGGGAAAGGACGGGACTTGGGAAGCTGTGGAAGGACCTTGAATCTCCGCCTCGTAGAGGCAAGCCCCGCGGAAGAAAAGTTGCTGTGTACTCCTGAGCAGATCTTGTTTTTATCATAAAGAATTAACTTCACTTGCTCCTTGTGAGTTATTATTTATTAAATCCATTCATCCAAAGCCCTCAGGGCGGTTCACAGCACAGAAATACAAAATGAAAACACAAGACGTGTACTAAAAACGTTATTTCTTAGGGATAAAATCCCAGTGCATTACAGACGCTCTCTCTCTGGGTACACTTCTAGATATTTTCTCTGTGTACTGAACCAATTTGTACGTTCTCTACCTTAGGGTAGAAATCCTTCAGGTGCGGGGAGCTGAAGGCTCATCTAACAACGGTTCGCATAGCAGGACGTGTGTGCGCAGTGGAACCTCGGTTTTCGAGCATCTTGGAAGTCGAACATTCGAACAAACGCCGAAAACCCGGAAGTAATTGCGTCCGTTTTCGAATGCGCCTCAGAAGTCAAATGGCAAGAAGTGAGGTTACAGGGAACCAGGCAGAGGGCCTTCTTGGTGGTGGCGCCCGCCCTGTGGAACGCCCTCCCTTCAGATGTGAAGGAAATAAGCAGCTATCTTATCTTGAAAATACATCTGAAGGCAGCCCTGTTTAGGGAAGTTTTTAATACTTATTGCTGTATTGTTTTTAAGCACTCGCTTGGGAGCTGCCCAGAGTGGCTGGGGAAACTCAGCCAGATGGGCGGGGTATAAATAATAAATTATTATTATTATTATTATTATTTCTCAATTTTCACCATTGAAACTGCCGAAAGCCCTTTGCGCCTCGGTTGTCAAACGTTTCAGAAGTCAAACAGTCTTCCGGAACGGATTATGTTCGGCAACTAAGGTTCCACTGCATAGGGCAGCTTCCCACACGGTGAGCAAGGCACCCCACGTTCCAAACTGCCAAGACCAGCCACTTACTGCCGCACAGCCTCCAGCGATGACTCCAGCGATGAGCACCGGGGAATCCCCTCGGAGGGTGAACCCAAAGCCATTCTCGCCTCGCACCAGGCGCACCGTCCTCGGGGGAAGCCACTTGTTCTTGGCAGAGAAAACCGACAGTGGGCCCTGCGGGAGGCAGATGGAATAATAATAATAATAATAATAATAATAATAATAATATATTTATACCCTGCCCATCTGGCTGGGTTTCCCCAACCACTCTGGGCAGCTTCCAACAAATTATTAAAATACAGTAGTCTGTTAAACATTAAAAGCTTCCCTAAAGAGAGCTGCCTTCAGATGTCTTCTAAAAGTCTGGTAGTTGTTTCTCTCTCTGACATCTGGTGGCAGGGTGTTCCACAGGGTGGGTGCCACTACCGAGAAGGCCCTGTGCCTGGTTCCCTGTAACTTCGCTTCTCGCAGTGAGGGAATCGCCAGAAGGCCCTTGGAGCTGGACCTCAGTGTCCGGGCAGAACGATGGGGGTGGAGATGATCCTCAAGATCAGCACCAACACTTTGAATTGGGCTCGGAAACGTACTGGGAGTACTGCAGGAGAGAGACTTCCAGGGCTGGGGGCGCATTTCGCATCCCCGAAATGCATGCGCCTTCCTGGCGCCAAGAACTTCAGAGCAGCCCCCATGGAGCAGAGAATTAGCATCCAGTTCCCAGGGGGGCCAGAGAGATGCCTCTGTGGGGAGCCTGAAAACATTCTCCCCACTCGGGGCTCCCAGAAACCGACACTCGGAGATGTACCACCTCTGCTGCATGGCAGTGGCTCGTGGGATCGTCCTTTTGGTAGGGACAAATCCCTCGCCATGCAGATGAGTGTGCTCTGAATTTCAGACCGGACTACTGCAATCTGCTCTATGTGGGACTGCAAAGAAGTTTGGGTGTTGTTCTTAGTCTTTGTTAAATTTATGTGCTGCTCCTCATTCAAGCATAACAGGAAAATTTACAGCATAAAAACACAAAAATATATAACATAATCATAAACAAAACAATAACCCCCAAAGCCCATTATTATTTATTATTATTATTATTATTATTATTATTATTATTATTATTACTACAGTCATACCTCGGGTTGCAGACACTTCCAGTTGCGCACTGCACTGGTCCCGAAAGTACCAGAATGGGTTACTTCCGGGTTTCAGTGCTTGCACATGCGCAGAAGCGCTAAATTGCGCTTTGCGCATGAGCAGAAGTGCCGAATTGCGACCCGTGCGTGCACAGACAAGGGGGTTGTGAACGTGCCTCCTGCATGGGCCACGTTCGCAACCCGAGTGTCCACTGCATTCCGCAAACGTGGAGCCACCACCAAAAAGGCCCGTTCTCACACTGCCACCCTCCGGACCTCTCATGGAGGGGGCGCAGGGAGAAGGGTCTGAGATGATGATCTCAGGGTCCGGGGCAGTTCATATTTGGATAGGCAGCCCTTGGGGGTCTTGCGGTCCTGAGCTGGTCAAAACCAGCACTTGGGTCTGGAAACTAATTGATAGCCAGCACAGTTGGACCAGGATCGGTGTAATATGCTCAAACCATCTTGCTGTCAGGTGAGCTGCCGAATTCTGCACCAGCAGAAGTTTCTGAACCGTCTTCAGAGGCCGCCCCACGCATAACGCTGTCCCGTTTCACTGCGTGACATGGAGTGCTATAGCATTACAAGGGAGGGACAAAATGGGGAAGACAGGAGGGCGGACCTCTGGGATCTGTTGGCAATGGATCCACTCTACTCTACCATTGCCGCTCACTTCAAAACCTAGCCTCATCCAGGCCCTGTGGTACGTACCAGCCGATGGAAGATGTCTGTGACTTTCACCTTGGAAAAGTTGGGAGATTTGATTTCCGGCCTCTGGTGAGTTTTTGCTAAAAGAGAGAGAGAGAGAGGGGGAGGGAGGGAGAAAAACAAGGCTGAGAGAGAGGAGGGGCACAGGAAGTGGTGCTTTGAACCAGCCTTTGTCAACCAGAATTTTTGGGACTACAACTCCCATCAGCGTGTGTTGGCTGTGGCTGATGGGACTTGTAGTCCAAAACATCTAGAACGTACCAGGTTGGGATAAGCCTACTTTTAAACCACTGCACAAATATATCAGTACGTATCGCTTCTGGAGCTGGATCCCTAAGGACTGCAAGTAGATATAATTCGAGGAAAAGCATGTATTCCGCAGAAACCCAGCGTTTTACTCTGGACACACAGAATCCAGCATCCCTTCAGCTGTCTCTTCCTTTCCTTGGGCATGTTTCTAAGTCCTTAAGCCTGCTAAGAGATCTCTTTTGATGACCCATGGCAAAATCTCCGAGTCCAGAAGGGAAGCTCCCTAGAATTCCCCCTCTGCTCAGAAGACAGGGAGTCACAGATTCCCGCCTTTCCTGTAACGCAGCAGGCTGTTTTAAAGCATTTTTAAAACATTGTGTGTTGATGCTGTAATAACCTTGCCTTGGGACTTTGGGGTGAAGGGCAGGTCATTCATAACCACAAGGGGTCTTGATCAGGAAGACCAAAATTTCAATAAGGAATGGGGAAAATATATCATTTACCTGAGAAAAATCATTGTAAACAATTACAATTAATAGTAGGATTGGAATGACGCTCGTAGTTAAAAGTTGTGGGTTTTTTTTTGGAGATTTAATAAAATTGGACAAACAGAGAAGATGCAGGAGAAAAAGTTAACGTAAGGAAACTTATGGAAATTGTTTTATTTGTTTACTTGATGACTGTTGGTAAATCTGAAAATTTAATTATTAGTATTATTATTAATCACAAGGAGTCTGGATTTTTTTAAAAAATGCTTTGTGCATTTGTGCCTAATCTTGCTCACTTACGGTGGATGTCGGGGGCGTCCGCCGTCTCGAAGAAGTCTTCCTCGTGGTCGATCTCCGAGTACTTGCCGAGCGAGCGCTTGTGGGCGAAGCAGAGGACCTCCTGGAGGATGTCCATCTTCCTCAAGATCTTGCACAGGCTGTGGATCCTCATGGCTTCCTCGTGCCTCATGATGGCCTTCCTGAGGTGAGCCTTGCCTACAAACACACCCAACAAATATATACTGTATTTTTTGCTCTATAAGACGCACTTTTTTCCTCCTAAAAAGTAAGGTCCACCACAGTTCAAGAAGGACACTGACAAACTGGAACGTGTCCAGAGGAGGGCAACCAAAATGGTCAAAGGCCTGGAAACGATGCCTTATGAGGAACGGCTAAGGGAGCTGGGCATGTTTAGCCTGGAGAAGAGGAGGTTAAGGGCTGATATGATAGCCATGTTCAAATATATAAAAGGATGTCACATAGAGGAGGGAGAAAGGTTGTTTTCTGCTGCTCCAGAGAAGCGGACACGCAGCAATGGATCCAAACTACAAGAAAGAAGATTCCACCTAAACATTAGGAAGAACTTCCTGACAGTAAGAGCTGTTCGACAGTGGAATTTGCTGCCAAGGAGTGTGGTGGAGTCTCCTTCTTTGGAGGTCTTTAAGCAGAGGCTTGACAACCATATGTCAGGAGTGCTCTGATGGTGTTTCCTGCTTGGCAGGGGGTTGGACTCGATGGCCCTTGGGGTCTCTTCCAACTCTATGATTCTATGATTCTATAAGGCGAAATGTCTGTGCGTCTTATGGAGCGAATGCACTGGACGGCAGAGGGATCCGTCAGCTACCGCTGCAGTTGCGAGCTGAGGGATGCCTCCGCAGCCGGAGCCATGGCTCCCGTCCATTGCTCGCTCTGAAACCAGCAGAGCAAGAGGCGCTGTGCAGCTATCGCTCTTGCTCTGCTGGCTTCAGCGATAGCTACGCAGCGGCTTTTGCTCTGCTGGCTTCATAGCGAAGCGGGAGGAGGGACGGATGGGAGCCCGCCTCGCTGTAAAGCAAGCAAAGCACCTGTCCTGGTGTCTCTTTTACAGCAAAGCGGGAGGAGGAATGGGCAAGCAAAGTGAGAGCTGCGCAAAGTGAGACAGAAACCATGTAAGCGGCTCTCTCTTTTCTTGCTTTACATGCTCTGCGCAGAATTTCTTTTTCTTGCTTTCCCCCTCTAAAATCTAGGTGCGTCTTGTGGAGCGAAAAATACAGTAACTATGTGCAACGGCAAGGAGAACTCTGCGGCTGCGTCAGGCCAAAGGCCAGCTCAGGCTGATCGGAACAGCACTGCAAAACATCTGGAAGCCACCCTGGGCCCATAACCTGACGTGCCAGCGTAAATGAATAACACAGAGTTTTTCAGTGAAAGAGTAAGAGCTTTACTGAGTTAAAATAAACATCTTCATAAACAACATGGTTCCAAACAGTTTGACTGAGATTCCATACTGACTCTGCTCACAACTGAGGCAGACGGACTCTGACTGAAATCTTACAGAGAGAAAATGGCTGCTAAGTCACATGTCAGAGCGACTCAACAGATAGCAGTTAGGCCTGAATAACTATAGTAGGACCAAATGATTGTGCAGTCCCAGCACTTCCCAGCCTGCTTTGCTGCTTTGGCTCTCATGTGTCTTTGTCACGTGACACCAGGTTGGCCAAGGATGCTCTAAGCCAGTATCAGCCAGGGGAGGGAGAGGGGCTTACCCAGCTTCCTTCGCTCTTCTTGGTCCTGCAAGAGCAGCCGGACGTCTGGGCCCTGTGGCGGCGTGACGTGGAACTGGAGGAAAGCTTTCTCGTGCTCCGGGAGATCCGCGTCAGACGCAGCTGCAGGAAACAGACCAGGAAAAGGCTGACTTGGCAAGCGGTGGAAAGATCAGGAGGCTCCAAAAATAATAGATTGGCAAATTAAATTACAGGAATTTGTGGAGATCGCTCAATTGACCAGCAAACTCAGAGGAAACTCAAAGCAAAAATTTGCGGAAAATTGGGATGGTTATAGAAGATACATTCAAAAATACAATAATAGTTTTGACTCCGTGCTAGCATTCGAGTGACAAAGGAATAAAAGGAGGTGGACAATAATTAAGGATTTGTTATATTTTCTGAATGTATTGGAAAATCTATATAGAAAGGTTTATTGTTTTGTGTACATTCAATTGTAAGATAAAACATATGCGAAGGGACTTGACAGGAAGTCAAAACTGAAGAAAAGTTTCTGTAAGATAAAAGGCGGAAAATATTTATTTTCATTATTATCATTATCGTTTTCATTATCATTATAATTTTTGTGTTTGCGGGTGTGTGTTTTGTATGGAATGTTTGGAAATAAGACGGTAAATAACAAATAACAAACAAAATATTGATGTATGTAATTTTTATTTCTCAATTATATTTTGTGGTAGTATGGTTGTAATGTTTTCTGTAACATAAAATCATTCAATTAAAATTATTTTTTTTGAAAAAGGAAAAGGCTTACTTGGGAGGAATCACAGAAGCGTAGCATTGGAAGGGACCCCATCGCGGGGATTCGAACCGCCGACCTTCCAATCGGCAAGCCCTAGGCTCTGTGGTTTAACCCACAGCACCACCCACGTCCCTTTTTACTCAGACTAGGCTCATTTAAATGAATGAGCGTGGCAGAGATAGGTCCATTAATTTCAATGGGTCTACTTTGAATGAAACTTAGTTGAATGCCAGCCATGGATGACTTACACTGACTTATAGGTTTAATTTAAGATGGCTGTGCTGTACTGCTTGCTTAACTCGAGCTGACGGAGGTTTTCGTTGTTTCCCTCCCCCTCACACTTTTTCTCTGTTTTTCCTCCCTTGTTCAATTTGCTATTTTCCAAAAAGATGAAGAAAAGCAGCAAGCCGCAAGGCAAGACATGCCAGACTACTCAAAACCCAGCTGGTTTCTAAACACTGCCCAATTCTCCGGGCAATCGCCACTTGACAAGTCTCTAGTCCTGAGCGTGGCAGAGACCACATGACCCAAATCCTTGTGAGACGTGAAACAGACCGACTATCGCCCTGAAGATGTAATCTCCTCTGCATTTATTATCATTCGCCGGCCAAAGCCACGGCTAATCTGCTTACGTTAGGAATGAACTTTGGGATTAGGGCCGCTCAAAGCGTCAGGAGGAGACAGTGAACCGCTAAGGAAGCTCAGCTAAGCATCTTCCTCCCTCCTCTGAAAACAACACCTTGGAATCAGCCGCCGCTGCCCTAAGCCCATTATGGTCTGGCATCAGAGGTGGCACGTGGCAGCCTGGCTTGGGGCTCAGCCTGGCAAGGAGTTTGCTGACAGGCTGCCGAGCCAGTCAGAGGCCGTTTTACTCCAGAGATGCACAAAATGGGGGAGAAGCAGTGAAGCCAAGACCACACTGATTTCAGATCCAAATCAGCTGCAGACTGGTCCGATTCAAAATCTAGGCCAGATCTACTCAGAAAAGCACCCAGGTTAGAGGATGCCCACTCTACGTGGGGCTGCCCTTGAGACTGACCCAGAAACTCCAGCGGGTGCAGAATGCGGTGGCGAGACTCCTTATGGGGTCCTCACCATGGGATCACATTCACCGGGTGCTATACCAGCTGCACTGGCTCCTGGTGGAGTACAGGATCAGATTCAAGGTGCTGGTTTTAACCTTCAGAGCCCTATACGGCCTAGGACCCTCATACCTACGGGACCGCCTCTCCTGGTATGCCCCACGGAGGACCTTACGGTCTTCAAACAAAAACATCTTGGAGGTCCCGGGCCACAGGGAGGTTAGGCTAACCTCAACCAGAGCCAGGGCCTTTTTTGGCCATGGCCCCGATGTGGTGGAACGCTCTGTCCCAAGAGACTAGGACCCTGCAGGACTTGACATCTTTCCGCAGGGCCTGCAAGACAGAGCTGTTCCACCAGGCCTTTGGCCAAGGCACAATCTGACCTCCTCCTTTGATAATCCTCACAGAACTCTAGCCCAATGGTTGCCATTAATCTGATTTGAACTGAATTTATAATGAAATGATTTTAGAATGTTGTATTATTTTACTGTTGCTAGCCACTCTGAGCCCGGCTTTGGCTGGGGAGGGCAGGATATAAATAAAATTTTATTATTATTATTATTAATTGTGCTTGGGGGCAGAGGGAGAGATTGAGGGCGGGGGCACGGAAGAGCCAAAGCAGATACTTACGGGGGCAGTCGCAAAGAGCCATGGCAGCGTAGCAGTGAGAGAGAGCCTTGAAGTGCTCAGATTTGACGTGCACCATCGTGGTCCACGAAAACGGGACGTAATCCTTCACGTGGGGCTGGGTCATTGTCTGATACACCAAGGAGTAGACCTCTTCCACCTGCAAATGCCAAGGACAGGTACAAGGTGGTAACACAGGCATGGCAAAGATTATTTCACACTCACCCACCCAATGGCAGGTAGCCACGAGGGGAAACTCCAGCTGTTTAGCGAGCATCCGTCCCGATTCGCATGCACAACACAGAGGCTGTATACAGAGAGTCTGCCATCATTCGACTGCAGGGAGATCGACACGACCACAAGCACCAGGGTGGATGAAAATCAAGGATTTTTTTTATTTTATTTAAATCAGATTTTTTAAATTTTAAACTGGATTTTTAAAATAAAATGCTTTTGGAGTAAAAACCTTTCTAAAGATAGTTTTCTATTTAAGTTCTATAATAGTCCAAAAGCTATTCATCAGGAAATAAGGATTTGCTTTAAGTTTTTCATGTGTGCCAAAACTCAGCCTAAGTTTTTTTTTTTAATTGTTTACCACATCAGTTAACAAACATGGATACATATGCTATAATGTTATTGTTTTAGTTTAAATTGTTATTAAGGAAATTGATATTTTTCCTCTTTCCAATAAAGCACAGCAGAAAAGCTGTCCAAATATAAACAGTCAACTTTAAATCTCACAATAATTTCATAATTATCTGCCTATGTATTTCTTATAGTATAACGATACCAGTAATTTTTTATATAACTGTAAAAACTACTCTGAAAATTTATTATTCCAAAAATGAAACCTTCATCTGGTTCTAAATATTAAGATTTTACCAGCAAGAATGAGTCTTTATGTAAAAAAGAAGAAGATTTAAATCGTGATTTAAATAGATTTGATTTAAATCAAATCCACCCTGACAGGCACCCATCGAAATTTGTTTGCAGGCAGGTTCTGCGAGAACAAGCGCCCGCCGTCATATGTCTGCAGGGAGGTTATGCAGCGATGAGCAGCAATTGCGATTTGTTAGCAGTCATTTGGCCATGTCTCTCTGTTGCAATTTGCCTGCACGGAGGTTACACATCAATGAGTGCCCATCATAGTTTGTTGGCGAGAGAATATACGACAAGGAGCACCCGCTGTAATTTGTTTGATGAGATATATACCACAATGACGATTCTCTCCTTTACGACCTCTTAAGTGATAATGTAATTTGCAATTTATCATTGATTTGTAGGAGAAAACTGAACTTGATAGGGCTTAATCTAACTGACTTTGAAAATTCTGACCCCTAAGATATTTGGGAAATCATCAGGAAGAATCTTACAGAAAAAAGTGTTCTCTCCACTCTTGAAGTTGCAAAACACAGCACTTGCTCTCCTCTCTATTTAAATCTCCCTTTGTGTAGAGATTTTCAAAAGGGATACATGACAAATCTGAAGAATCATGAATTGTGCAGGCTGTTTATGTTAGCCAGATTTAATATTTTTCCCTCAATGATAGTAAGAGGAAGATATTTAGCTCTCCCAGAATCAGAGCGTCTCTGTAAATGTAGTAAATAGGAACCTGATACTTTGGAGCATATTTTCTTTTCTTGTGATTTTGGCATTTATGCCATTATTAGAGGCCTTACAATAGGCTCAATTCTATGCCACCAACGGTACAGGACCTGCTTTCGGACAGGAATAATTAAATTACTTTAATAGTGGCTGAATTTTTGAGTGTTGTCCATGTAGAAAGAAAGGACCATTATAAAGAGATTTAGTGGTTCTTAATTGATTGGTGATGTGGTAATGTTGTATTGTATTATTTCTGCAAACTGATTTTCTCTGGAGTTGTAGATCTGACTGGGACAAACCTTGTTATGTTGAGCTCGTATTTTGCACAACTTGTATACGGTGTCTGTTTGATAATGTGTGGTTTGCTATGCCTAATAGATATTTGATTTGATTTACCACAATGACAGTTCACCGTAATTTGCTTGCAGGGTATGTCTTCCCCAACTTTCCTAGCCACAAAAGTCCCTGACCTCTCCAAAGGCTGCTGTGGAGGCCAGAACCAGTCTGGGAAGATGCTGAGTCACTTCTGTGCTCCGTGAATCAGATCCTAACCCTGTCACAGCTCATACGATGCTAGTTTTGCCTTCCAAACACAGAATCCAAGCCGAACTTTCTGGGCACGGATCGGAACATCCTGGAAGGGTTGAGGGGTGTGCGACTGGCTGGCTAGAACTCTGAACAGGAACCAACCCACGCTGCAACACTCTGTTGCAGTTGCAGCTTGCAATGCTTAACGGATGCATTTATCAAACTTTTTTTTTTCTGGGCGGCCTTTCACTCCGAAAGGAAAGTCACCAGTGAGGCAGTTTCAGGAAGTACTATCTAACTGGGACACAGTTTTAACTTTGAAACCCACATCACTCTCTTCCGGGCTCAAAATGTTACCTGTCAACTGGCAGTTTCTTTTGATATTTACGTGTGGCCTCCTTTACAGAACAATGATTTCTAAAAGATGTCTAATTCAAGAGCCACACTTCTGAAAAGAATGTATTTTAAAGCTAGGAAAGCAGGTGTATGTGAATTCATTCATCAGACGGAACAGAAGTTATTTTGGAAATTGCTGGACCTCTTTGTTACCGTAGTAAAAAGGTAAAGGGACCCCGGACCATTAGGTCCAGTTGTGACTGACTCTGGGGTTGCGGCGCTCATCTCGCTTTATTGGCCGAGGGAGCCGGCGTACAGCTTCCGGGTCATGTGGCCAGCATGACTAAGCCGCTTCTGGCGAACCAGAGCAGCGCACGGAAACGCCGTTTACCTTCCCACCGGAGCGGTACCTATTGATCTACTTGCACTTTGACGTGCTTTCGAACTGCTAGGTTGGCAGGAGCAGGGACCGAGCAATGGGAGCTCACCCCGTCACAGAGATTCGAACCGCCAACCTTCTGATCAGCAAGTCCTAGGCTCAGTGGTTTAACCCACAGCGCCGCCCGCGTCCCTTTGTTTCCGTAGTACTCATCTGTTATTTTTAAGTATTGTGGCACAGCAATTCAGTAACTTTATTTTCCATCCGCTTTTGCCATTTCTGCTTGTACCAGCTTCTGAAACAAACAAGTCTTAGCCGAGAAAAGAAAAGAAAAGAAAAGAAGAAGTACTATCTCAAAGCAGGGGTTTAGTTTAAAAGGTTCTATACATGAACAAAAACATGCATCTCCAAACCCCTGGAACTGCTCTGTGTTTGCAGATCAAGAGCATGCTCAGCAGTCCCAGAGCCCATGTGCAAGGTGGAGAGCTTAAATGCTCTCTCCACACTAAGTGCCCCAGGCAAACCTAGCATGGAAAGAGCTTTTCAGTCCCCCAAATGCTGGAAACGGAAATCCCCCTAGGAAGATGAGGAAAAAAGAAAATTAGGTCGTTTTGGTAGATATGATATAAAGGATTAAGTAAAAATGAGTTGATGAAATTGATGAAACAGAGGATGTTTAACTACATTATTTTAAATTAAAATACGCAAATGAAAATAAGGTTAGAAGGATTTGCTGGAAATACGATCTGAACTAGAATACAAAATTGGGAGGTGAGAGGAGGTCATGGAAATAAGTAAAGGGAAAAGGTTATGTAAAGGTTTAATTTGTTTTTGTTCTATTTTAACTCAATGCATTTTTATATTTTTTGTTTCGTCTTCTTTTTTACTCTATTTTATTGTTCATTCTTTTTCTTGTTATTTTTCGCTTTGTTATGGTTAAATTTCTCTTTGTATTTTGTATTGTTCTTTTTTCTTTTTTGCAATTTTAAACTTGGAATAAATATCATTAAAAAAAATTTAAAAAAAGGAAACGGAAATCCCCGGTCGTCCCCCCCCCGCAAACTGGCCTAGATTCCAGCCCACTTGTTGTGCCCTTTGTAGAGCCAGCTTCCCGCGAGAGGCACGCGCACGGATTCTGTACCCTGGCGGCTTCCTGGGCGAGCTGCAGGCAGGCGAGGAAGTCGCTCTGGGCTCCGAGCAGAATGACCTTCTCGAAGACGCACTCCTGCACTTGGGCGATCATCAGGCGCACCAGCATGTTCAGAGAGGCTGCGCTCATGTCCAGACTGGGGGCGTTGGAGAAGTTCTCCTTCAGGTAGTTGAAGGCACCTGCAAGGGGGGGGGGAGAAAGAGCAACATCCCCGAAGTGAGATGGGGCTGCCCCACTTAGAACCATAAGTAACCAAGCAATTAAACTCCTGCGTTGCAAACAATATACAGTGGTGCCCCGCAAGACGAATGCCTCGCAAGACGGAAAACCCGCTAGACGAAAGGGTTTTCCGTTTTGGAGGTGCTTCGCAAAACGAATTTCCTATGGGCTTGCTTCGCAAGACGAAAATGTCTTGCGAGTTCCTGCGGGGTTTTTCTCCTCCCCCCCTTTCCCAAGCCGCTAAGCCGCTTATCAGCTGATCCGCTAAGCCGCTTAACAGCTGATCGCTAAGCCGCTTATCAGCTGATCCGCTAAGCCGCTTAACAGCTGATCCGTTAAACCACTAAGCCGCTTATCAGCTGATCCGCTAAGCCGCTAAGCCGCTTAACAGCTGATCGCTAAGCCGCTAATAGCGCTAATCTGCTAAACCGCTAATGGGCTTGCTTCGGAAGACGAAAAAACCGCAAGACGAAGAGACTCGCGGAACGGATTCTTTTTGTCTTGCGAGGCACCACTGTATCAGTAATATCCAAGGCAACACGATGACCAAGTACAACAATGCAATCTCAATATAAACTCTTTATATAATCTATACAGAGCACTGAACAGTATGAAATATATGAAATGCGCACTCTGCAAAACCAAATAAACAGAAAGTCTCTGGAAGTCACAAAATATGCACTCTTGATGGATTCTCTTGAAAACATAGAACCAAATGAAAGTCTTATAAGTCTCTGACAGTCTTTGTAGACTATGCAAATCTCTGAGTGAATATTCACTACATCTGTTTGCAGACTACGTCCGCAGCGTTGGACGCCATAAACAAAGCTTTACAGACTGTTTTCACCAGATAAGAATCTGACCCATTGCTTCTTTCAGAGACTTGCATAGTCTACAAAGACTTTCAGAGACAACAGGATACCTGATGCATTGTAATACTTACTTCCACTATCGGCAAATGTTAACCTCCACTATTCCCCCCAAAAAGAAAAGAAAGTTTGACCACCGGACCTCAGCTCAATTTGTGTCAAGGGTCATAAAGACTTAATAGGTTTTCTTTCTGATTGTGCCACAAATAGCGATAGCCCAGCAGTGGGGGAAAACGGGCAGAAAAATCCACAGATCTATGGTTTAATGCTAGGTGGCATGTGGCCTTGTGAGAAAGACTTAGCTACCACAGAAGGGTTGTATGAGCAACTTTCAAAAAAGACACATTTCGACATAGTATGGCATTCGTTTATTTCTGGAAGAGATTTCCCATTGCTCGCCACCCAAACAGATCTTTGGAGATGCTATCCAAGTATTTGATCTGTCTAAAGCCGAAATAAGGGCACTCCTGTAATTTTCACTTACGGCAAGTATGCAACCATTTAACGTTTATTCATTGATAAAACAGTATATGTATTTGAAGTGGAAGGGGGGTGGCAGAGAATCTGACGTACCAGACGCCTTCTGGAAAGCCTCAATGGCGCAGTCCACGCCTTGCAAGGTGGTACGGTCCTGCCGAGCACCGATCTGGGTGTGCAAGGCGCCGATGTTGAAAAGCACGCTCCCTTTTTCGAAGGCCAAAGCCCGCTGGTGGGAAGGCACGCCCGTTAAGGAGTCATACCTAGAAGCAGGGAGACGAGGAACTCTGTGAGACTGGAGAGGTTTGGGCAGGAGTAGCAACCTGGGAGTCTCCGGGTGTTGCTGGACTACAACTCCCATCGTCCCTGAACGTTGGGCCATTCTGGTAGCAGGGGTTGATGGGAGGTGGAGTCCAGCCACCTCTGGAAGGCCACAGCCCCCCCCCCAGCAAAAATGTTGGGTGGGACTGGAAGAAAAGAGATGCGACACTTTATTCCGCATTCATCCTGATTTGCTTGCACAATGATTATGCAACTGTCAGACTACATCCTGCCTTTATTACACATTTGTTATGATTTGGCTATGCAGTGTTTATCCATCCTGATTTGCTAGTGCCTCCGCTCCCATTCTAACACGGTTCGTTGCTTTCCCCAGTAACCTTCCTAACCACACAAACACACAAATTGTGTGTGTGTGTGTGTGTGTATTTGCTGAATCAGTGCTGTTTTTTGAGAAAAAGAGGTGCCGGAGCTCACCATGAACGCCTCCCCTGTTCTCTTACACAGTTGTAACTTGGAAGTCGAACAGAATCCGTTCTGGAAGTCCGTTTGACTTCCAAAACGTTCACAAACTAAAGCATGGCTTCTAATTGGCTGCAGGAAGCTCCTGCAGCCAATCAGAAGCCGCGGAAGCCCTGTCAGACGTTCGGGTTCCAAAGAACGTTCGCAAACTGGAACACTCACTTCCGGGTTTGCGGCATTCGGGAGCCAAAACATCAGAGGACCAAGGAGTTTGGGATCCAAAGTACAACTGTAATGGCAATGGCGCCCACCTGAGAGCTGCTGGAACTGAGTTCTGGTTAAAAAAAAGCCCTGTGTTCTACTGGGGGGCCAGAATGCTTTAATCCACCTGAAATTCTAGCAAGTGCTTCAACCATAGCCATCAGTAAGTGGCCCTTACTCTGATTGCCCCTGCTATGAACCTAGCAACATTTTCTGTTTTCTGCTCATTTTGATCTGATAGAAGATAGGACATTGTGGCAGTGGTTGAGCGCCCTGGGATGGTTAGTACGAGTGGGGTGAGGATCTCGTTCCTCAGGTCTTTGTTGAGAGTACAAGACAGGAGGATGTGGGCTGCTGTTTCGGTGCTACCGTCTCCCCAGGGGCAAAGGCGTTTCTCAGGCGGGATCTTCAGTAGAAGTATGGACTTGGCAAAGAACTCTTAACTTCTGGTTCCACCTAAACTTAAATCCCTAGTACAGTGGTACCTCTGGTTGTGAACGGGATCCGTTTTGGAGGCCCGTTCACAACCTGAGCAGAACGCAACCTGCATCTGCGTGTTCACGGGTTGCGCGTGTGCAAGTGGCGAAACCAGGAAGTAACCCTTTCTGGTACTTCCGGGTCTCTGCGGGACGTAACCTGAAAGAACGTAACATGAAGCGGACATAATATGAGGTACCACTGTACTTCAAGACTTCCATAAAAGTGCCTGGCTTCAAACCGTCTATCCAAAACTTCACTCTTGTGGCCTATCCCCACAACACCTACGCACTATGGGCCCTACTAAAGCAAACAGGCTAACTGGTCAACGTCTAAAAGATATCGAGCATCAGAACAACCTGGCCACTATAAGGAAATTCTGCCCTTGGTATGTTCAGTTTCCACCTCTCCATTTTGATTCTCTGGCCCCATATCTGCACAAACCTATTATCCCAAAATACAGATGTGCTTTCACACTTGAACCACAGAATTGTAGGGTTGGAATGTCCCCCCCGCCCCCCCGAGGGTCATCTAATGCAAACCCCTGCAATGCAGGAATCTCAGCTAAAGCATCCAGGACAGAGGGGCTTCCAATCTCTACTCAAACACCTCCAAGGAAGGAGAGCCCACAACCCCCCAAAGGAGTCCGTACAAACAGCTCTTACCCTCCCAAAAAATCCCGATGGACAGCCTTGTGGCATTAGATAACTGAATCTTGCTGCTTCGGGACGAAATACTAGCAGTACTGAAGAATAAAGCATGCTGATTATACAGACAAACACCCGTCGTTTGCCTTGAACTTTAATATTCTTTTTTGTTTTAAAGCAGAGGTTGGATGGTCACTCGCCAGGGAATCTTTGGCTGCGATTCCTGCACTGCAGGTGGGGGGGGTTGGAATAGAGGACCTTTGGGTGTCCCTTCAAGCTGCACAGTTTTTATGATTCTAGGAGCTTGGGTCACGTTTCTAAGCACGGAGGCCCTGTTCGCAAGGCAATCGCTGCAGGGGGGTTTGGCTGGGCCGGACCAGGCTTGCCACCCCCACCCCACCCCCGCCAGGTCTTCCCTGTCTGCTCGGCAAGACCAGGAGAGGCCCAACTGACCAGTGGAAGAAAATCCCCAGGTTCTTGTTGGGAGGGAAGAAGCGGTTGTCCAGGAAGTACAGCTGGCTGTAGTATTCCATGAGCAGCTCCAGGCCTGCCTCATTCCGGCTGGGGGTGCGCATGGCCTGGAAAGAAGGGGGAAAGCGGTGGGGAAAGAAAAGAGAGAGAGAGAGAGAGAGAGAGAGAGAGAGAGAGAGAGATGGAAACCTGGTCAGTGTGGGCAATACTAAGCTAAGTGGATCCACAGTCTGACTCGGCGCAAGGCAGCTGCCTACATACATATCAGATCCATGAGGGCTAGAGCCTTGCTTTTTATATTTAGGAGAGTGGGCCATGAGGTCATAAATGCACTCTTCACTGGCTGCAGGGATAAACACATGATCCTAGAATCCCATGCATCTAGTAACAATATTGTAGTCATTCTCCCACAAGCAGCGACGTCGTTTTTGCGAGGATTCACGTCACATGCGTGAACTTATGCCAAACCGAACAGCAACCCTGCAAGGTAGGCCAGTGTTACTGAAAAGGAGTTCAGGGATATTTTTGAAAGATAATTTCATAAGTTGTGTGTCACTGCCTCTCAATTTGTATTGCATTATTTTATGCACCCTTATTTTTATTGATTATAGTTTATTGTGATTGTTAAGAGTGAATTTCTGTCCAATTATTATTTGCCGATATTTTGTGCGTGCTACTATGTTCTAACGAATTATTGAATATTACTTTATTTGATATAAGTTGTTCATTTAAAAGTTACGACAATCTTGCACCGGACCAGATTGTTATAAGGTGTGCAATCTTTGTGGTTTCTTCAGCTTGTACTGTAATACAGAAAGGCAGTATACAAATTAAAAGGGAAATGAAATTAAATGTTCCCAACACTGCAGATGGAGAAAGCTGAGAGGGGTTTGACCAAATCCCCAAGGCAAGCTTGATGCACAGACTTCCGAATATGTGGCTCAGTTCTTTGGCTACGATGCATCACCTGCTGCTCTACAAAGATGCTATGGACCCAGGTGCAAGGCAGGTAGGTGCAGACAACGGCTGGGCGTTATCAGCTTTCCAGCACCGCAGTATATCAACCAACCAAACATCGGAGTCTTGCAATATTCTGTTGTTGTTTAGTTGTTCAGCCATGTCCGACTCTTCGTGACCCCCTGGACCAGAGCACGCCAGGCACTCCTGTCTTCCACTGCCTCCCACAGTTTGGTCAGACTCAAGCTGGTAGCTTCGAGAACACTGTCCAACCATCTCGTCCTCTGTCGTCCCCTTCTCCTTGTGCCCTCCATCTTTCCCAACATCAGGGTCTTTTCCAGGGAGTCTTCTCTTCTCCTGAGGTGGCCAAAGTCTTGGAGCCTCAGCTTCAGGATCTGTCCTTCCAGTGAGCACTCAGGGCCAATTTCCTTAGGAATGGAGAGGTTTGATCTTCTTGCAGTCCATGGGACTCTCAAGAGTCTCCTCCAGCACCATAATTCAAAAACATCAATTCTTCAGCGATCAGCCTTCTTGATGGCCCAGCTCTCACTTCCATACATCACTATTGAGAAAACCATGGCTTTAACTATACGGACCTTTGTTGGTAAGGTGATGTCTCTCCTTTTTAAGATACTGTCTAGGTTTGCCATCGCCTTTCTCCCAAGGAGCAGGCGTCTTTTAATTTCGTGGCTGCTGTCACCATCTGCAGTGATCATGGAGCCCAAGAAAGTAAAATCTCTCGCTGCCTCCATTTCTTCGCCTTCTATTTGCCAGGAGGTGATGGGACCAGTGGCCATGATCTTCGTTTTTTTGACGTTGAGCTTCAGACCTTATTTTGCGCTCTCCTCTTTCACCCTCTTGCAATATAATAAATAATAATAATGATAATGATAATTTATTTATACCCCGCCCATCATATGGAAAACACAAGCTGCTGTGGCCTCAGCCTGCAAACTGCCAGATCAAACTGCTGCAGCTCTAACCGCGGGAGCAGAGGCCATTTCATCCCAAAACCTAGCGGGCTGGGACAACGTAGCTTGTTTGTACGGCTCAGCTGGGGCGCGGGAGGGTTTCCCATCCCCAACAGAGGCAGCGCCAGGCTGGGGGATCCTTTATCTGCTCGGCTGAGGGAAGCGGCAACCACACACTCCTCAGCCGAGCAGTTTAAATATGCAGAGGAAGGAACAAGCTGTATCAGCGCCTCACCAATTTAGCTTTCTTCTCCCTCTGCGCAGTACAGTGGAACCTCTACATATGGACATAATCCGTTCCAGAGGTCCATCCTCTGGTCGAAACGGATGCTAGAAGAGGCGTATTGTGCGCGTGCGCAGCAGTGTGCTTCACAGAAGCCGCTTCTGCGCATATTGCGGCAAACCCGGTGTTTACTTTACTCAGAGGGACTCAGGAGCGGTGGCGGTTTCACCAGCGATACACCTCTGAGTTACGCTGGCATCACGGTCTGCTCCTCATACTGGTCTTGGGCAATATATTGATATATCACCCAGGCCTAGTGTAGACAAAGTCAAGGATGCGGCAGTAAACACCTCCGTTTGGCGCTTCATCCTAATAATAATAATTTAATTATTTATACCCTGTCCATCTGGCTGGGTTTCCACAGCCACTCTGGGCAGCTCCCAGCAGAATATTAAAAACACGATAAAACATCAGACATTAAAAACTTCCCTTTAGAAAAGTCAGAGAATTGTTTATTTCCTTGACATCTGATGGGAGGGCGTTCCACGGGGTGGGCGCCACCACTGAGAAGGCCCTCTGCCTGGTTCCCTGCAACCTCACTTCTCGCTGTGAGGGAACCGCCAGAAGGCCCTCGGTGCTGGACCTCTGGAGGCTGAACGGTGGTGGTGGAGACGCTCCTTCAGGTCTACTGGGCCTTTGAGGCTGTTTAGGGCTTTAAAGGTCAGCACCAACACTTTGAATTGTGCTTGGAAACGTACTGGGAGCCTAAGGACAATCAGGGACCCAGAGCACCGCAGGCTATTTCTCGAGAGCAAAGCTGCACTCACCTGCCGCAGCTCCACGAGGTCTTTGATCTCGCTTTCGTACAAGGCACCGTCCTCGCCATAGTGCTCCCAGATCATCTCCTGGGAGGGCAGGAACAGAAAACAAGAAGAGGTTGCTCTGGCAGCTACTGATCTTCCTAAACACAGTTTCTATATTGATCACATACATTTCCACCCTTAAGAACGTAAGAGGACCCTCCTGGATCCGGCCGATGGCCCATCAAGTCCAGCATCCTGTTCTCACGGTGGCCAACAAGATAATAATAATAATAATAATAATAATAATAATAATAATAATAATAATTTATTATTATACCCTGCCCATCTGGCTGGGTTTCCCCAGCCACTCTGGGCGGCTTCCAACAAAATATTAAAATACAGTGGTCTGTTAAACAAGCTTCCCTAAACAGGGCTGCCTTCAGATGTCTTCTAATAGTCTGGGTAATAAATAGATACCCATTTTGGGAAACCTGCAAGCAGGATTCGCGCACAAGAGCAACTCTCCTCTCCTCTGGTTTCCAAAAACCGGGATTCAGAAAAATCGCTGCCTCAGACCATGGAGGCAGAACAGTGGCTAGGAGCCATCGATAGCCGTCTCGTCCTCCACGAACTTGCCTGATCCTTTTTTAAAGCCATCCAAATCATCACTGCCTCCCGTGGGAGTGAACTTCACAATATGCTATGCGTAGAGTTTTGCTGGCTAAATGCCACCCGCCTCCACAAAACGACGACAAATTAACCTTGATCTAGCCTACTGCACGAACGCAAGGTTTAAATCCACAGTGTTTTGCCTCAGATTCCGTGCAGCGGCCTGGCTGAAAAAGATACCCTGCTACGATGAGCATGCATGCACAAGAAGGAGTCTCCAGAGAGGGGGACCCTGGGCTTCTTAAGAAGCGTGAGCCTGCCAAACACAATGTCTCCATTTCCCTGTGCTTAACTCTCCGAAAAAAAGGGACGCGGGTGTTGCTGTGGGTTAAACCACAGAGCCTAGGACTTTCCGATCAGAAGGTCGGCAGTTCGAATCCCTGCGACGGGGTGAGCTCCCGTTGCTCAGTCCCTGCTCCTGCCAACCTTGCTCAAAGTGCAAGTAGATAAATAAGTACTGCTCCAGCGGGAAGGTAAATGGCGTTTCCGTGCGCTGCTCTGGTTCGCCAGAAGCGGCTTAGTCATGCTGGCCACATGACCCGGAAGCTGTACGCCGGCTCCCTCGGTCAATAAAGCGAGATGAGTGCCGCAACCCCAGAGTTGGCCACGACTGGACCTAATGGTCAAGGGTCCCGTTACCTTTAACTCTCCGAAGCCGGCCTTCGGAAGGCAGAATCGTCCCAGCAGAAGACTCCCCTACCCAGAGTGGCTGGGGAAACTCAGCCAGATGGGCGGGGTATAAATAATAAATCGTTATATATAATTATACCTTCAGGGGTTCTGCCCAGTCCACCTCCTTGGTCTCTTTGAGCCCCAGTGGGACCATGGGAACACTGATGGAGTCACTGGGAGAGAGAAAGAGATCACAGGTCAGGGGCAAAACATTTGCAAGTATGGAAGTGCCATTTTTTGCCACTTGCAATTCCTAACCTTTTTCCATCTTGAATCCAGTTCCCCCCATTTCTTTTTTTTTTTATGATAAATTTTTTAAAATATCTTTTTTTTAAAAAAATCGTTAAATCATTTTTATTAATTTTCCAATAAAAAACATCCAATTAACATATCAAATCATAATCCAATAAAAATAAAAAAATAAAATAAAAAAGATCAAATTATCTTCCAAATTGTAATTATTAATTTTTGGATTTCCCATAGTCTGGACCTTGAAGCGTATCTCCAGATCTCAATCCTGCCTCTCGTCGTTATTTCCACATTTTGATTTTAACACTCTAAACTTCTTCTGTTTTATAATAATTTTTATTAAGTTTCACAGTTTTATCCTAATAACAACCTATCATGTAACAAAAAAAAATACAATTCCCAAATTTCCCCCGGCTTCCCTCAACTTCCTCTTCTGGTTTTTTTTTACATATTAACGTCACCTGCTTGCTTTGTTTCTTAATCTTAAGTTCTTTATATTAAATATTGTTATACTTTTACCATTTTAACATCACCTTTATAATTTCTATGTGGGGTTTTTTTGTTAGTTGTGTTTACTCAATCCCTGCTAGTGAGTCCATTTCTTTACATTGTTTCTGTAAATACAACATAAATG